TCATATTTTAAATATATAAACGAATATAAAAACTGCCAGTGTATCTCATTGTAGATCTAACAAGTTTCATTAAAATCCATTCAGTAGTTTTTGCGTGAAAGAGTAACAAACTACTATCCATACTCACAAACTTCGCGTTTATAATATAATATTACATCAGCAGTAATTTATACCTATTTTTCTGTATGTATATACTATTTTAACATATCTTTAAGATTCTCTTACCTGATGATAAGTCGTAGGTAAGCGTCGTTTATATAGGTAGGTACATGAGCCACGAAAATTACAACATCATGCGACTCTTGTAATACAATGCAATCGCAATACCGTCCCAGAGGACTGACAATGTCATGCTTCTTATCCTGTAATTTCATGACCTAATCTCATCCTACAAACGAACCTGATTGCAAATTAAGCTGCTAAGCTGCTGAAATAGTGGGGTACCCTAGACGACTTCTTTTGAAGTCTACCAGTATCGGTACATTACTATCAACTAACATGAGCTAGTCTTTATTTAAAAAAGAGAGACTCGTACTCTACCCTTATAACCCATGCGAGGCCTTAAATGTACAAGCTTGGGATTTCACCATACACCACAAAATTATACCTATAGAAAACTCATTAGAAGAGAGTAACATTAAAAAAAATTGAGACCCGTACGAAAATTTACAAGTAAAATCTTAAATTTGTGTGACTGATATTAGTCGTACAAACTGGAGATATCACCCACAAATATGCAGAGCAGAGAAAAGTACTTAATACAGATCAACAGGTGCCGGCCGACGTTCTATTGTAGTCGGCAATGTCGTCAAATGAGAGAGGACATCTGTACACTCTGTCATTAGTGGAGGCGCCACGCCGACAGCGACACCTGCAGATAAGGGCTAATTGTCTATCATTATGCAGATGGCTTCCTATTGCAAAACTGTTCCTGAAGTACTGTCGAATTGCGTAAACTTTTATTATAACATCAATGTTTGTGCTATTTTTCTCTTACTATTATTATATTAACTGCAGCGCTGCCTTCGTAAAATAAATCCCATGTTAATCAATTAGAATGTAGCTTCCTATAAATTTAAGAATAATTGATATCCGCCAAATTACAAAAAAAAATTGTGTCAATTTATATTTCTGACTGACACCGGTGAAGGAAATACCGATATCAAATTAAAAATTAATCAGAGAGACGGCTGTATTTTTTTTTATTAAATTTATTTGTTTCTCTACTGTTTTTATTATCCCATTTTTTTTTTGTATTATAAATATATTATGTAGTACTTCAGCCGCGATTTGATATGGCCAAAGTTTTAATTATATAATGTGTTCCTCTGGAGGGGATGTTAAATTATCGAAATAAATACATATATATTATAGTTATATACATACGTAAATGAATAAATATATATTTCTTTTTAATTCAAATATAGTAATGTTATGATTTTGCAAATTATTATGTTTTGCTGTATTTTTTTTTGGGTTGATAATGGAATGGTGCACCCGTCTGCGCTAACGGTTTACGCTAGCGGGGCACCAGTGGAGGATCATGGGGTCGTCAAGCCCATCGTAAATTCATCACACAATATCACATGGTACATTGCTAGCAATGGGGTTATCAATCCACATTACTAACAATCCCCTTCCCCCCTGTATTACCGCCACGTTGACGCTCGGGTCCGTCAAGTGTACTACACAATATCACCAGTTGATAATGACTATGACTACCTCATCTGGGATAACAGTTGTGATGGTATGATTTTATACAAATTTGCTTCAAAGATCCCCAGATTTTTATACCCATGCCATGGCATATAAACATGCCAACTTTTTTGGTAGACGAGTAACCAGTTATTATTTCATACACAGAATAAACAAAGTTCTTTGTTCTATGTTTTAATACACCTACCGCTAGGAGGTCGATCTTCCAAATGTTCCACCTGCTCCCAACCAAACCCTCTAATATTTTTAATGCTTGTAAAAATTGTGCAAATAGAACTAATATTCCATAATATTACTTCTAAATGCACAATTTTTACGAAATGCCATGCTAAAATGTGGATGAAATAAATCAAGTTACCTCATTGTTCATCAGTCAAGTTGACAAATTCACCAAGAATTAAAGGTATTGGTTTCCAGTCAGAAAATTACTTAAAATTCGCGGCTTAATGCTGCAATATACTTATTTGATGAGCATTATTGACATAAAGGGAAAGGGGCATAATTTCGTAATTCATAATCTTTAAGGCACGCACGCTTAAAGGTTTCGCTTATGCATCAATAAATAATGCACTTATTGACTACCAAACGCACTGTGCTTATTTCTTTTAGTGGTATGGACCTTTATCTGCCTCAAAAAAGGGTAATGATCATTTAAATGTAACACGCACCGCATAATCCACATTAGTAATTAACGGTACCCGGTCATTAATAATAATATTGATACAAATGGCAAAATTGAGATGGCCGTAATCAGTTTTGTTAATAATTACTATTCAGGACAAATTATAAACCGTTATCTAGTCCTAAACTAAACACAGATTGTATTGTACTAAACAACAAATCGATGTACTTAATTTTTTTACAATTGTGTTCAGATTTACCATATACAACGTAGATCAGTCTGATATTCACAGTATGTGACAATAAAAAAAGTGGACATATCTAAACTTATAGTTTAGATATTTCCACTTTTTTTTATTGTAATACTAATATATTATGATTATACTGTTATAATAACATCAGTTGTAAAGTAATAGTTCATAAATAGTAAGGAGGCCGCAAGAAGTTCACTACTGTGTACAAATTGATTAGAGAACGAATTAGAGGATGGAGGAAGTAAAAAGGCAGAAGGATGACCTCTGAAAAGGCAGATAGAGAAACAGACATACTTTCCATTTATGCTATTAAATGCTTATGCGATAAGACCGCCTTTTGTACCCTATTACTGTAATTTATGTTGTTTGTAATTTACTTCTGGTTCAATAAAGAGTGAATAAATAAATAAACAAATGGGTAAATAGATTCCTCGCTCTTGACCAACTGCACGTTTGCAAGCAATTAATATGTTAAATCGCTTCAATACAATAATTGTTTAATAGAGAAGCTCATAACGTTCCCATAGATAAAACAAAATGTAGATATCGAGTATTTGAGATGGGTTCATCTGAAGGACGCGACGTCTTAAACCCGAGCCGTGACATCGATAATTGCGCTCCGCGCCCTGACCCCCTTGGAGTACAGTCACTAACATTTGTTCTTCTGCGCCCAAATAATATCTAATTGTAGGAAAGGGATTGTTAGCGATGTACAAAGTCAGGTGACCTCCACGCGGGTCCCCCTCGAAGCCATCGTGATAAATTCCTGCTGAATTTGTCATAATGGGCCAAACTGACCTGACCTTATGCTCATCTTATCATCCTTCACTAGTATCCCGCCATCGTAAACCTAAACGGTTTATGGTGCCTACCAGGTGCCTACCAGGGTGCACTATACCTTATTATCACCCTATAAAAAATATTTTTTTTCCTATATTTAGATGTCTAATCATCCGTATCTAGGACTAGACGGCTATAAAACTGAAACTTTATTATAATTAGTAGGTACTATTTAATATTAAAACATTTATTCCTCTGAAAACCGATATCAATCGTATAAAATTCATACGAAATAACAAAGGTCAAAATCATTCCAATTGCGAATATTTGTTACATATGATGAAAAGGAGAACGCCAAAAGGCATGAAATCGACGAATAAATAGAAATAAGGAAGATATCTAGAATAACACTTGAATCTGAAAGATATATATTAATATACTATTACTAAACATGCGTACCGTAGGATATTGATAAAGACCTATTTGAAAAGAAAATATTCAATCCAATGACTAATGCAAAAAAAATCCTCGTTAAAGAATAAATATTTTAGGTTTGGTACCTCGAACATATATATGAACAGTTAACTTGGTTGTGTAGTCAGTGACTTAATAATAAAATAATAAAACAGTTTTGTTCCCGACTGCTCCGTACCATCAAGCACGTATTCTGTCTGCAGGTGCCTAATGGTACATCTCATAATTCTCGTCTGTTGATCTTGCGTGTGCGCAGGTGATGAGGTGACGTCATCCATTTAACATCTAATGAGGACCACTTAATATTAAGACAGTTTTCGACCTTGTGGATTACTAAACTGACAAACGAACATACTGACAGATGATTAGTCTTCATGTTTAGCTTACTATAAGAATAATAATAAACTTGTACTTGTCTCGTGAATATCTTAATTTGAACACAATTAATCATAGTAAATTGGGTAATTAAATTTTACATAGTTTTTCTGGATACCTGTTTGTCACTTACTTCAATTACAAAGCACCTAAGTTCCACCACAGAGGTCTACTAAACTATCCTTCAATTCCTGTCCGTAACAGGAGTTAATAGCGTATTAAAAAAATGTTTGTACTATGTTTTTATCATAATTATGAAGTTTTTGATCAATAAAGTTCATTTAAAAAAATAACAGGACGGACACAATGGGTTTTCGAAGCTCACAATACTACAGGTTTAAAACAGTCGGCCTATTAGAAACCTCCTAGTGTAGTGTAAGATACACATATATTATAAACGCGAAAGTTTGTGAGTATGGATGAATGGTAGTTTGTTACTCTTTCACGCAAAAACGATACTACTACTACTAGTACTACTACTATTAATATTACTACTATAATTAAGCAACTTTCGGACGGATTTTGATGAATCTTTACAGTAATATACATCCGAATAACACAGGCTATAAATTTCATGCGGCTGAAACCGCGGGCACAACTAGTAGTCACCCAACACCAGCCACCACCCAAATATATATATACAGTCTATCTCCGACTACTTGAGTTGTTTGTCCTACTAAAGTCCATTTTTTTTACATAGGGCTTACATATGCGGTTTGGTTCCTATATACTACATTACTATTGAAAATGCGTATGTATTGTTACCGTTTTTGCCTGCAGAGTTCTGACAATCCTGTGGAGGAGAAACCGAGTAGCGACACTAGTTATGTTGTAGGCGCCTGGCCCGCGAGCACTCCGGGACACACCGGGTACCTAACAGTCGCTACATTGCCACCAACGTTCGCCAGAAGTAAGCTCTTAGTAAAATAGAATAAATCATAAAGTATGTATGTTAACGGCCTGGGTGGTCTAGCGGTTTAGTACAACGCCTTGCCGCGGGTTCGATTCTTAGCGCTGTAAATATATTTGTGAGTACGATTGTATCGATCTTGATATTTTCTACGTATATTATGTATTTATTCACAATAATGTATCTGGGTATTTTTATTATTTGTCTAGTACTCATAACACAAGATCTGCTTAGCTGGAGACTAGATGTATGTAAATTCTTTGGATTATTATTGTTATTAGATATTATCATTTTCATCTATTAAAGATTTAGGTAGGTTCAACACTAACGGTCGGAGTGGAATGCACATGCGAATCCCCAGCTCCGTCCGGCGTAGGCACTTGCGGGTACATCATATGGTTTTTAGTGCGTAAAATTCTTACACATCACCCCTACATCCCTCCGGCGAAGTACTGTCTTTTGAAGATTTTCCACACGTTAAAAAAAAGGTTCAACAATAGCGTGTTAGTCCTCCTAATTGAAATAAATAATGAGTGAATAAATAAATAGCTAGATACATTCCTCGCTCATGACACTATGTTTGCAAGCAATTAATAGAATAAGTCGCTTTATAACAGCGTGTTAATTTTAACTGATGAAATGCAAATTGCACAATTCAACTGTATTCTTATTCAATGTTACACATGTAGCGCGTGGTTATCACCTCACCAATGTAGAGTTACATATGATGTGATGCCGCTACATTAAATATTGTTTGTTGTAGAGTGTAGGTAGTGAGTATACCGATGAAATCATTGTACTATTTATTGTACATTAGTAAGTTTATTTGGTAGTGTAGCAACATGGCTAATTGATGACGCGTACATTCGACGAGGAGTCGTAAACTAATAAGGTCTCAAGTGTTGACAGAAATATTACAATTGTAGGCACACACACGTTCTTGACTATAAGACACTGCATATCAAGTATTATTTTTGATATTCTTGTTTTTTTTTTTTAATTTACTTTACAAAAAAAACTCGATATGTATAACGTCCTGATATTATTTTACATTAGATACATCATAATTTTTGTATTTCAGAAAGTCCACAAGCAACGATTCAAGATATCGATGTAGAGATGAAGCTGGTCGGAAACGGAAGTGAAACGGTTGTTACCGAAACTGTATAATTATTATTTATATAATAAAAATGTACAAAATAATATTTGGTATTTTTAGTTTATTAGTAATAAATTAAGATTTATACCATTCGATGAAACAATATCAGTTTAGCAGTCGTCAGTCAAGCAGTCGCCTGACATGAACTGATAATCTAAGGTCGCCTAATATGGCTGACAAGGGTGGTGAGTCTTTTTTATAAGTAAAATAAACAAAATAACTTACTCACGAATCTTTTTTAGTATATATATCTTTTTTACTATATTTTATACAACATAGAAAAAAAATGATACAAAATAAGAAAAGAACTCTATATAAAATGAAGTCTGTCGCCAACAGCCGCCTTTAAAATACATGAACAGCACTATGGATCTCATTTAACTAGATACCCTTCCGCCATTATCACATCCTAGTAGATTTTAATTCCAGTTCCAGGTTCATAGGTTCCAGAGGAAAAAAACATATATTTTTAAATATTTTATTAGCTTTAAAATTAATGTTACACAACTTATAATTAAATATTGGGTAAATAATAAAGTTAAAATAAATATTAGTAAATAATTGCAATAAAAAGCAAATGTGTTATATAATCTAATCTCGTTGTTTACAATCATCATCATTAAAATATCATAAAATGATTGTTACGATTATATTTTAATAAGTTACTTCCATTCCATCACATTCCATTTCAACGTCAGATAAATATTTAGTTTCAATTTCTACCAATATTTATATTTCTTTACATTAACTCACTAGTTGTCACAATAACATTATTATTAAAAATAGCTTAATATTTTTCGTGTTTTCAATAATATTATTATGACAATGTTCTCTAAAGCATCTCGTATTTCGAATTCCTTGAATTTTCTCTTGCGTATAGTACCTATTTTTCGAATAATATATTTTAAATAATTATATAATTTATGAGATAAATGCAACGAGAAAGTTCATGATGGATATAAATGTATATTTATAATAAAAATGCTAAACAATAAAAACAAACTAAAAAAGCACAATAACTAATTTTAAAAAATATTGTAGGAGCCAATCGTAAGTTGTTTAGTAACATACATTCTTCAATTATCGCATATCTGCAACATTTACGTAACGTTATAAACCTAAAAACATAATTAAAAGTATTGTTATTAAATTTAAAATTAAGAAATGTATGAGATTTCAGAATATTTTGGAAGCAAATGGCAGTATCAGTAATATAACGATTTATATTCTAAAGCGATCAACACACGGAACAAATCAAATTAAATCAAAAATCATTCATGGAGGACGACATTTTAGCCGCTACAGAAATAAAATGTTCCGTAAGCAATCGCTTAATAATATTTTAAATTTGGCAAACTGGATTTAAGACCACGTATGCGCTTTCCCTATCACAGTATGTATAATTTCATATATACTAGATAAAATTCTTTTATAGTTTACATTATATTATATGATAAGATATCTTCTATTTACTATAAAAATATTAATAATGTAGCTAAGTTTTTCTAGTAATTGCTTTAACTTACATTGTTTACTACAATATAAATTATTAATGTTTAAGGAACTTATTCTGTTATGTTCATTTCGTCTAATGTATACATTAATTATAGTCAAGTCTAGAACGATGTCTTAAACAATACAAAGACCATTGTTAATATATTTTTGACTAGTTAGTGGTACTTGTTTACTTCGACAGGGTACCATATTATTTTATTACGTCACTGGACCAGACTAATTAAATAAACATAATTGTTGTGCTCTGCTATAATGTCATCAAGCAAATGAACTGAATATTTTATTTAGAACTGAATATTCTACATTGGGTATCTAAATAGTTTACAAAATGTCCACTACTTCACTCCATTAATCGAAATAATAATATTCTAAATGCAGAATATGGTCCCATGCGCTGTGACGTCATACATTGTTTAATTCTTCCCGTCCTGTGCATTTAAACATTGGATGGCCAACAAATTTGCCCACCAAATATTAATAAATAGACATTTTGATGTATCGGTTGACATTAATAGATGTATGCACATGGTATCGAAAAACAGGAAGTGAATGTGTCGATACATTCAAATAAAAATGCCAGTTACATAAACTGTCAAAAACCAAGTTAGGTTTTTATTTTGTCATATATACTAGTTTAATAGAAATATGAATATTGTCATAATAGCGCCGTTAACGTATACCGATTTACATATATACTCCTAATTACACTGCGTTTCCATCAAAAATATTTAAACACATCTTATGTGATGTTAATGTTATACATATAAAATATTCAAAATTGTTCAAAACCATTGTCATTTATACTCATTGTCATTCATGTTATATGTAATTTTAGTACTTAAAAATAATAAAATCTCAGGACAATTCACAGAGCGCCATTCAGTGCCAAGCTTGGTATGGGTACTAGATAACTAACATAAATACATACTAGCACTTTTTTTAAATACATACGTATATTTAAAAAAATACAAATATTATAAATTATATATAATATAAAAAACACTCAGACCGATACATACAATCATACTCAGGAATACAAAAGTTTGTACCGTGCAAGGAATGGAACCTGCAAACATCGGAAGTAAGGCGGTGTGCTAAACCGCTAGACCACCTAGGTCGTCAAAATGCTATAATTGTAATATAAAAATGGTTTATTTTTGATAGAAATGCAGTATTACAATATCATGTGCGTATATGAGAACATAATAGAAAATCTTCTAGTTACACCTTTTAAAGGTTTCCATATGTTTACCTGAAGTCACTGAAGTCTGTCTTGAGTTGTATGGTGGGTTTGGCGGGCTTGGTGTCGAACAGTGGCCGCTGGTGTTGCGAGTGGCGGGCGGCGCGGCTGTTGGCCTGGTTCGCTTTCACCGCACTCTCCAGTTTTGTGCGCAGTTCAGAAGACTGCTGCATCATCGCTTTGAACTCCTGTAATTTTTTTATTTAACATGAATCACATATGTGTTAGTAAATGGCAACCGGTGTACATAAGCGAAGCAGTACCAGAGATAATAAATAGAATGTGTGTATAAGTTTGTTCGTTTATATGGAACACGAACTAGATACTAGATGGAATCTAAGTGATAAGGGTAAGGTAAGGGTAGTTCAACTCTAAAAAAAAATATTATATTTTATTTATATTGGGCATTAAAAATACATTCAAAGTTAAATTTTCACCCTTCTATCACCAAGATAGAAGGGTGAAAATTATTATTTAATAAGAGCGATTCTAATTGATATTGCAAAACAACGTTTGCGGGTCAGCTAGTAAATAGATCAATATCGTGGTATGTACCTGCGGGAACTGCGGCGCGCGGCGAGCGAGCCACTGCAGCGCGAACTCGTGAAGAGCGCGCTGGTGCGGCGGCAGCACGGACGCGCGCAGGAACGACACCACCACCGGCACCAGCACTCGGACCAACGCCGCACCTATACACACATACACATCACTACGCAAACCTACTTAACACACCATTCTAAATGGACCTACCTATGCTCCGGTAATATTATTTCATTTTTCTTTTCCTTTATATAGGTATAATAAAATCAATACAAATAGATATACAATAAATAGGAAGATAAATAATTAACTCATTAAAAATATTTATGATAAATATACCTACATAATACAACTATGACACTTTAACAGTACTTATTATAGTTAAATTTAAAAGAATCATTCTCAATTTAAAGTAATTTGTTTGACTCTTTATTATCAGGATGTCGTTACAGGCAACTAGATGAAGAAAGCTCTAAATGGATATACCACAATGTAAGGAAAATTACGAAACAATAATTGGATTATTTGTGATAAATGTCTCCCAGATGATAAAATTATTATCACCGGAGATCTATGTATTTAATACATATTATTTTTGTTGAGATTTTTTACACTCCCTATAATGTTTCTATGTTATTTAATACAAATGGTACAGTAGTGATAGTGTGACAAATAGTCCCGTCGTCATTTCTGGCCTATTTATACATTACCCATTATTATAATTTTGTTTAATTAATAAAATAAGATCTAGTGATCACAGAATAATAATGATTCAATTTACAAAATTGTATATTATAATGGGTACCTTTATATTTGTCCTCTGCAGCATTACAACAAACAAAAACTTATTAACTATACTATAAAAGTACTATAATATAATATGTATAATATATATAATTATAAAATAATATGTATAATTTAATTTAGTTACGAATTTTAATTATTGCATGCTCTGCCAACGTAAATATTGTTTAAACACAAGTTAAGCGATTTACATTCATCATAAAACAGGATGAAGTTTCCCACCTCGGTGATTTTGGGCCTTATACGCTATATTCACCGCGGTACAAATAAACGTTATACATACTGGCATCGTCGGGCGCGGAGTCGAGCAAGTCGTCGAGCGCCGCGAGCGCCGCGAGCGCGGCCTTGGCGGGCCCCGGCTGCGGGTCGGGCGGCGGGCCCTGCCCCACGACGGCGGCGCGGGCCACCAGCCGGGCCGCCAGCGCGCGCGCCCACGCCGCCGCCGGCCCGCGCGCAGCCCCGCGGCCCCACACTCGCCGCAGCACGCCGCAGCATGCCGCGAACGCCTGCGCGTTCATACATCATATACACGTAAAAAGCAACTCTATTACAAAAAGAGTACAGAGTAATTTTGCTTCGCGTACCATCGATTACACATTTATTCACTAGTCATTTATATTCGAACACTTGCGTGTCCACACTCACGTCATGTACCGTAAAAAGCAACTTTCCTATAAATAGGATACAGTATAATTTTGCTTGCATGTAGCGTCGGTTACATCTTTATTGAATAAAGTTATTTATATTCGAACGTCTGCATGTACACGCATCATATACCCCAAAAAAACGCAACAAAAAGCAACTCTCTCCTAAATAGAATACAATTTTGCTTTCGAGTCGCTTCGGTTATTTCTTTATTGAACAACTACTTTCTGTTCTACTTTGAAACTAGCTTTTAACTATTTTTTCATTCCAAATGTATCTTAGTATAAAACTAGATAATATTATATGATAATTTTAGATCTATTTACGTTTTGCCATTTGCACTTGAATATCAGCGAAAATTAGACAGATATACTAAGAATGAAAACTTTCTAAATATTGTCTACTTCGTATTATCTATTATACAAAAAAAGCAATCAGCAGCGATATCACAATTTTAGTAATATGGTAATGATGTTAACGTATTCCGATGTGGGGAGTGTGCGGGTGCGTACCTCGTGGTCGTCGGTGTCGAGACAGTGCCGGAAATGGTTGAGGCACGGGTAGTGCAGCTTGGGCGTGGGCGGCGCTCGGCCTGCCAGCGCGGCCATAGCACGCGCGCCAGCCACCGCCGCGATACGTTGCTCCGGCTCCTCTGCAATTGTACGTGTTATTTTAATTTATGTATATAAACCGACATATATCAAACCTTGCACAAATTTGTAACTAGCTGTACCTATTTAGGATTGTTAATAATGAGGATAATAGCCTCATTACTAGCAATATACTATATCAGTTCGACCTCCATGGTCTCCTCTAGAAGCCATCGTCGTAAATTTTTGGTCAATTCGCCACCACGGAATCACCTTCCATTATCATACTTAAAGAAACTGTACCGATCTATAGACTTAATTATTAGATTATAGGTACAAACTAACCACTCTTAACTCTCTCGATGAGTTTAGCGAGCGTGGCATTGAGCAGCTGCGCGTGCTGCGTGCGTGTGTCTTCCGTTACGCGCACCACGCGGCACTCTGCCGCCGATTGCAGCAGCAGTAGGGCCGATTCTTCCACCACGGGCGAGCCCTCGCTCTGTCGCAAGATCTCCGTCGATAGGTACAGCAGGGTTGGCAGCAAAGACAGAGCACCTGTACCGTTATAAACAAACATATCCTGTCATGTATCACAACGAAGTGTTTAAAAACTGAAATAGGACATAGAAAGTTTAAAAATTTGCTTAGACTTTCAAACGTCGTGCGCAGCGGCTGTGTTGTCGCGTTGTAACACGAGGCGGTCGCCGCGTATGTACGTGGCGGCGAGCAGCGCGTCCGCGTACGTACCGTGCGGGCTGGTGAGCGCGGGCAGGGCGGCGAGCGCGCGCAGCGTGGCGGCGAGCAGCGCGTCCGCGTACGTACCGTGCGGGCTGGTGAGCGCGGGCAGGGCGGCGAGCGCGCGCAGCGTGGCGGCGAGCAGCGCGTCCGCGTACGTACCGTGCGGGCTGGTGAGCGCGGGCAGGGCGGCGAGCGCGCGCAGCGTGGCGGCGAGCAGCGCGTCCGCGCGCGCCCCCAGCGGCCTGGCCGCCGCCGCGCCGGGCGCCGCGCCGGTCCCGGCCCGCAGCGCCGGCAGCCGCCGCGCCGCCACGCACACACCCAGCTCCAGACACGAAAACACCTGCGCACGTGCACACGCTCTCACTACCGTATAAGCGGAAATTGATAGTAATGAAGACTATGGCTCCATGACTATGGAGCAATAAACGCTAATGCTGTCTCCCTAAAAAGTACCGCAGTGAGCTACGATATTTGATTGATGATCTGGCATCATCGTTGTCCCTTCAACTCACTTACGACCAATATATCTTTCAAACTACAATATACACACACAACAATGATCAACGAACACCTAAAAACACAGTATAATAAAAATATTATTTTTTCATACACTGTGTTCTTAGGTGTTGTACTGCGTTCAAAACTCGCGCTTACTGTGTTCTTTAAAAAATATTATCATGTTAACATAGTCAATCCCACAAAACTCCATAGCAATTTATTTTTCTTCAAAATTAAATAGAGTTAGTAAAGTGTAATAATACTCACGACAGACTTGCCAGGTACGAGATCACCTGTGGGCCCACCCTCCCCCAATGTGTGTACAGCTTCCAGCACCGACTGCGGAATGCTGCCCGCTGCCGATTCTTGCGGAGCCAACTCTGTTGATAAACACGTCATTTTCATGTTAGTTAAAAAAATAACCATACACTGTGTGGAGACCAGTTGACCCCATTGCTAAAAATGTATTCTATCGGATATGATTTACGGTCTTTGTATGGTGCAAAAAAAAAAATAGTAGTCCTGCTAAAAAAAATTGCATTTACATGTTCAATCTGCGTTTCTCTTTTCGCTTTCGCTTGCGGCACCTCGCCAATAGATACGGACAGCGCAGATGGATTCAATATTTTAGAAATATATCTCTTTCAGAGTAACAGACATAAATCATGAACTCAGATCGTCGATATAATTATATACATATTGACTAAACATTTGTCATTTGTGCTAATTGAAAATACATTTAGCCCACCTTTAATTTTAGCCTGCATATTGGCATGTAATTGCTCCTTAGCACCCTCTATAATCAGCCTGAGCACATCAGCGCATAAAAACAGCGCCTCGATACTCTCTTGTGTCAAACCAGTGCGGTGGATTATTTGACACAACTCTATAGCTAGCGCTCTGAAACAATACAAATTGTATATTGAAAAAATAGTGCTCCCAACTCTACGGATAAATTATACAACTAGATCATAGAGTTAGGCTGTACAAAGTTGTGCTGCTGCTGTGTTTCACCTTGTTCTGTCAAATAAAACTTGCTTGGCGTGGTATTATGGCAATGAAATTATAGTGTAAGGATGCCTGAACCCTTAATCCTTAAAAACTACATGAGTACAAAAATAGTACACGGGCATTGTGTCACGACGTTCGTGTTGATATTATAGATATACATGTATATAAACGTAGGTTGTCCTTCCACCTTCCATCAAATGGGCAAAGTTTCAGCGACAATTCAGTTCCTAAAAAAAATCGTTACTTATTAAATATATTTACTTTATTTTGGACATGAGAAGGGGCTCCAGCCCTTATCAATTCCGCAGATCAAATATACCTGGTGTCTTTGCGCACTCTTATTCAAAAGTTATCATTTCTAAATAGATGAACGGTCAAGCCGCCGATTTTGAACGGTGCAAATATACGTCAAGATCGTACGTTATTATATAAAAATGTATTTATTCATTTATTATAGTAAAATAGTAAAAACAGTAACTACGAAAACCTGTAAAAGGCGCTAATTTTATAAGCGTTAACACCCTTACCTGTCTTTCAGTAATCTAGCTCTATTTTCAGGTACATCTAATAACGTTACCAGAGACAATAATACTTGTATTGTGTTCTCCACACTCATATCTCTCTGTGCACACAGTGCTTCCATGCATATACCTGTAAAGAGACCATCGATAAATATTTGAACAGGAATTATACAACTAAAACTATTGTAATTAATAATGAAGATATTAATATTTATCTTAGTAATATTATAAATATGAAAGTTTGTAAGTATAGATAGATATTTCTTACTCTTTCACGCAAAACACATGGCCTATAAATCTCATGGTGGTGAAACCGTGGAAACAGTATTGTATATAAATGTATTGAGAAAGGAAATGAAAAACAATTGGAAAATATTTGAATTACTTACAATTATACAGAAGATTAATTATTAATTTTGAACTTGAAGTAACCCATGGAATACACAAGTTATTGCAAGTATGAGATAGAAAGAGAGAGTAACATCTGGCGTCTTTGGTCGTTTGTTGATATCAATCGTTTCAATACTATATTTACATTCATTACTTTTACTTATTTTTATTTAAATAAATGATTATTATAGCGAATAGCCTAAAATACTTACCAAACAATAAATGGAATCTTTCATCAAGTGGTTCGAAGAATTCGAAGTTTCCATTTTCATTCTTTGCTACTCGATTGTCCAATGTGCTTTCTATTTTTTCTGTAAATGTTAAATGGACATAAGACTAAAAAGTCTAAAACCGAGCGTATAAATTTGGAATTTGTTATTTCTATTGTATGTATAATGATTTAAAAAGAACTAGAATAACATTATATAAGCGATTTGGAGTAGAAAATGCTCGAGAATACGGTAGTAAAGCGTTTTAAAGATAAAGATACAGCAGGTAAAAGAAAGAGCGGTTCGGAGCGGTGAGTTCTGAGTGGAAATGTTCATCCTGGTCGTAGTAAAAAAAGAAAGTTTAGTGGAAACCTCAGCATCAATTTTGTCAGAAGGCAAAGACAGTTGGTGTAAATGGCGTAAGGCTGAAGCATCACGATAACCACCTCTTTCCGCAATGAAGCTATCAAACCGGTTTTCGAAGATTTATCGAAAGACGAATTATTAATTTTGTTTAGGAGCAGAGACACAAAACAATAACGAATCTTTGAATTCTTTGATTTGGACGATCTTCATTCTGGTCCCAAAGTTGTTGAAATTGCTAGCTACTAAATGTTAAATGGACATAAGACTAAAAAGTCTAAAACCGAGCGTATAGATTTGGAATTTGTTATTTCTATTGTATGTATAATGATATAAAAGAATTTTCTAGTTACTAAATAACATTATATAAAATTTTAAATTAAAACATTAAACATTTTAAGCTTAGTAGGTGCGTAGACAGTAGCGTGGCGACTCACCGTCGGAGACCGCATCGTCGGTGCCGGTGGGTGCGTCGGATGCGGGTGCGGCGGCGGATGCGGCGGCGGATGCGGCGGCGGATGCGGCGGCGGATGCGGCGGCGGGCGTGGCGTACCGCAGCGCGGCGGCGTACAGGAGCGCGGGCCAGGCGCGCGCGTAGTGCGGCCGGGCCGCGTCCGCCGTGGCCGCGCAGTAGAACGCGCCGCCGCCGTGCGGCAGCTGCGACGCGAACTCTGACACCGACACACGCATATCACCATCGACATCCTCACTACACACTATAAATCTCGCGTCATAGCAGAGTTTGAACTAAGGCTACTAGAACTAAATGTGGTAAAAGTATGTCATTTTGACAGTATTATTTTTTGGTAGATAGATTTAAAAGACGACAAATTATCAAACGATAGAGATAAGGTTAAGGAGAGAAATTGACAAAGATATAAAAACAAATAAGAACAGGCGAAGCTTTACTTTACACAAAGAAAATGTAAGTAAATACTAATGTAAGTAGCATATTTGAATACTAACTATATAACTCTAAAACCTGATACACAACTCTACACACTACAACACTTACAACTCTACAACTTTAAAATACTGCACTAACCTGGAGGTAAACTCAACAATGCATGATCCTTTAACGCGGCGAGCCAATTCTCGCCCAAACTCTCCAACTCAGGTTCGACCAGCCTCAGCAAACTTTCACCCTTCGACTCAAACTCTCCGTACTCGTCATCATCATCACTTTGACTAGCATTGTCGATCTCGTTACTGTTCTGGAGCAACTCGTTACGCCATTTGGCTAGCTCAGCCTTGATGTTGAACGGTTTAGTATCCAGTTGTTTTACATAGCTCCCTGGAGCGCTCCCGTTGCTAACCATTGCCACAATGTAAATCTAATGAACAATAAATTCATAATGTAATTATTTTAAAATAATATACAATAATCAGATCTTATTAGATACCATAATATCGTACATTTTAGGAAATTCGAATTAAATATTTTCTAATAAATGAAAATGTATTGGTTAAAAGCGGTAAGCCTTATAGCCAATTTATCGAGGAAAGCTATAAGACATATCATATAACATCATCCTATCAAATAATATTCGAAAAACATTAGATTATACACTTACCTCAGCCCATGCCTTTAGAATTGACAGTTTCTCAAGTGTTGCCATACTTTCATTGTATATGAGTGTTGTATTGCCTTTAGTATTCAATTTGTCTAAACTAGACACGAGTAACTGATGAACTCTGAAAAATAAAAAATAACGTAAATCCTTGAATGTAAGAGAAATACGAGTATGTTTATGTACAGGACTTGACAGACTTATAATTCTATATACATAGGTATATAGAGTAATATATTAACATATATGTATCCTGTCAGAATGACCATTTTACAATTTTATTTTTTTAAAATTCAAATTATAATTAAAGGTAGTCCTTTTACACATTAAAGTGTTTTATAAACCTATTTCAAGTACATCTAAAATAAAAATCAATATATATATTTTTTTATGTAATAAGCCGTGTCGCCGAAGGCCGTTCACTAATAACAATATCACTGTCAATGTGTACAGTTAAAAACCTGCGCAGGTTCATGTCCCTGGCGACATCACTACGTATAAAGGCATAATAAAGTTAACAAAGAATATGAAAATTTGTCGCACGCGGCCGTGTCACGTGGCCACCTGCATCCGTCGTGATCACTGTCAGTAGTGTGTACAGTTACAGTACCTGCGCAGGTCGCTCATGTCCCTGGCGACGCCGCAGCCGATCCAGGCGGAGCACACGTCGCACGCGGCCGTGTCACGTGGCCACCTGCATCCGTCGTGATCACTGTCAGTAGTGTGTACAGTTACAGTACCTGCGCAGGTCGCTCATGTCCCTGGCGACGCCGCAGCCGATCCAGGCGGAGCACACGTCGCACGCGGCCGTGTCACGTGGCCACCTGCATCCGTCGTGATCACTGTCAGTAGTGTGTACAGTTACAGTACCTGCGCAGGTCGCTCATGTCCCTGGCGACGCCGCAGCCGATCCAGGCGGAGCACACGTCGCACGCGGCCGTGTCACGTGGCCACCTGCATCCGTCGTGATCACTGTCAGTAGTGTGTACAGTTACAGTACCTGCGCAGGTCGCTCATGTCCCTGGCGACGCCGCAGCCGATCCAGGCGGAGCACACGTCGCACGCGGCCGTGTCACGTGGCCACCTGCATCCGTCGTGATCACTGTCAGTAGTGTGTACAGTTACAGTACCTGCGCAGGTCGCTCATGTCCCTGGCGACGCCGCAGCCGATCCAGGCGGAGCACACGTCGCACGCGGCCGCCGTCACGTGCGAGGCTGTGTCGCCGGAGAATGCAGGCCGCACCGCCGCGCCCACCTGCACAAGCGATTGTCACTCTCATTGATCGCATCCGATTGGTTCTATTAAGACGGAGATCGAAACTTGTGGCGCCGCCGAACCGGAGCACACGTTTTGAGCGGCCGCCGTCACGTGCGAGGCTGTGTCGCCGGAGAATGCAGGCCGCACCGCCGCGCCCACCTGCACAAGCGATTGTCACTCTCATTGATCGCATCCGATTGGTTCTATTAAGACGGAGATCGAAATTATGACGCCCCGAACCGAGTTTTGAACCCCTAGCTGTGCCCTCAGATTGCCCCAGATGCGGGCAACAGTATTAGAATAGTTCGAAAAAACACTCATTGATCGATCATTTGAGAAGATTTTCTTCTCAAATGACCACATCCGACTCGAAGGAACAAAAGTTTGTAACGTTACGATTATGTAGACTAGTAATAATATTTTTATGTTTTTAATATAAAGACCATGACCATTGGTTGACTATTGTAAGTTATATTAATATAAGATGATAAGTTTAACGCAAGTACTTCGTGCTTGAACTGGCGTTAATGTATTGTCTAAGGTTATCTAGCATTTAAAAATAAACTTCCCCTTCCAAGGAGGAATTCCAAGGCGGTTCTCCTCGCCGTCATAGTTCCCCAGTTCGCAATCGACCGCGACTTAATCGAATCGACAACCAGCGGCGGTTACCCACAAGTTACCCACGCGTTTAGGGCGGACCCTAAACGCGTGGGTAACTCTTTCCCCGCCTCCGCCCACCGTGGGGGAGACGTGACGAAATACAGAACGCGGTTCCTGGGGGTGGTAGGTACCTGCGCCTGGTACTGCTCGAGCAGCAGGTGTCCTGGGAAGTCAGGCTCGGGCGCGCGCGCGAACAGCTGCACGAGCCGCTGCAGCGTGCGCAGGCCGGCCAGCCGCAGCGCGTCCGCCTCGCCCGTGGCGCCCACGAACGCCATGCGCACCACGTCCGACAGGTGCACCGACAGGCACTCCGCTACCACACAACACATACACACCTTTAAATAACTCATCGATTTTTTTTTCAAACGTCAAATCCTGCAGCTCTCGTAGGCACTCCACTGACACGACTTATTTCTTTCTACCATAGGTTTTTTAACTAAAAAAGAACGTCAAATTCCACAGCACCGACAGGCACTCCACTGACATAACACAAACACGGCTTTAAATACCTATCGGTTTTTTTTTTATTAAAAAAAGTCAAATCTCGCACGCACAAAAATACTACTTTAATTACCTCCTATTTTTTTTAATTCAATAACAACGTCAAATCCAACAAGGTGAAAACAAAACTGGTTTATTCAAGATATTTTTTTTCCTTCAGAAACAAAATCGTATAATCTGCTAAGGGCTTGGCAAGCCGATGGCAAGATATAAAAAAACAAATTCAAAGAAATTTTGAAGTAAATTTAGTTATTTCCCCAGTCCCAACTGAAAATCAGCACTGGAAACTATTTCCAGCATTATGCTGAGTTGTGGCCCACATTGACTCCGTTTTTTAATGTGTAAGAATAATTTTCTTGTATTTCTTATGTTATTACTATAAAAACGAGTTAATAAAAAAATTCTATTCTATTCCATTCTATTTTATGCTAAAAAACAAAATGGCTTTATGAGCAAACAAGGTCGTATGTTATATAGTAAATATATGCTAAATTTATTCAACTATACAACGAGCTTCAGATTGTATACTTGCAACTAAGTGTTGAGAGTGAGCATATAGAGTATAGCAGTGAAATTACAGGTTTATAACACGTGATATTTTATTTTTCTGGAATGTCAACCCATGAAGGATACCATGGGCGTCACGTGATACCGCGATATACGTGGTGTGCTAATCATGTATATATACGAGGGTGGCCACTTACCATCATATATTATTCTTTACTCTCTCTTACTTCTACTAATACATTTATTACATACCATTTGGATCAGTCTGCAGTTTCTCTTTAGCTTTAACTAGATCGAAGTGCGCACTGTCACCGGTCGCTTCGCACGCACCCATTATCTTCTGAATGCACTCCATTGCAAATACCTACAAAATATATTTATATATAATTGCTGGAATAAAATAACTTCAATTTAATTGTTTCTAAAATGAACTAAATATATGTAAGAAAAAAATATTAAAAAGATACAAATTGATACATCCTGCTGTCTGTACAGAGAAGATCTATTTATATCAGAAAATGTATTATTGATGGACTTTATTCTCAAAAATTCCTGTTATGTTATATATTATATAAATCTCAAATTCTATTTAACTCATTTATGTACGGTTTTGTCTAATATATTGTGACTTTAGTATCCCTTTTAATCTAATGGGTATACAAACACTAAAGTTATATAGATATGAAATAGCAGGCACAACTAGTTATTAATAAGAACCGATTGAACAATATTAATATATAGCAATAACAATAAACAATGTACTTTATAAAAACTCACCCTAGTTGGCCACCTAGACTGTACGGCAGGGTGCGTGGACTGCTCCGACTCCGCGTGGAACTCGGCCTGGTCGTCGTCACCTTCACCATCCAGGTCTGTCTCCGGATTGTTGCCGTCCTCTGGATATGTCAATAATGAATTTACATTAATCTAGATATAAGAATCGTGGTTTTCAATGTGGCATGGACGTTATACGTTCAATGAAGCTGTAAAGCCAGTTACGCCCAACACCATTATATTAGTTTGAAATAATAATCTAAGAATTTAAAAGATAGTGTGTTAATGGTCTAAAATATTACATATGAGGGCATGATTGTTAGTAAAGAGAACTAGAAGATTCATTGCCGGAAATGTAAATAAACAAGTCATTTTCCATGTCTTCTTTTCTTGAAATTTTCTTCGATAATTTCTGTGATATACCTATGTTAAAAGTGGCCTCAAAATTGGAAATTGGAAACAAAACCATGCATCGCCTGAGCATAGCAGCGGGTTACAATTAGTATTACATTAAATACAATATGGTCTATGCTCACCGAGTCTAACAGTAAGTACACGCTTCAGAAGCGCGAGCCAATCACGCAGGCGGGTGATGGCTGCTGCGGGCACGGATGCGGATTCGGAGTCGAGCGCGGATGCGGGCGCGGATGCGGGCGCGGACGCGGCCGCCAGCACGCAGCAGGTGAGCGTGTCGCGCGCGTACCGCAGGATGGTCGGGTCGCGCTCCGTGTCCAGCAGCGCGAACAACGCGCCCGGCAAACCCGTTTCCGTTATCACTACGCCTGTAGATGGAAAGGATCACTCATCGATTGGAATAAAATAGCCTAAAAAGCTAACGGCTGAATGGTAAGTGATAACCATCACCTATACACACGAACAGTCGATTGGACTCTTCTATTGAATATAAAAGAGCAAATTTTCCTGCCACACGGCGGCCCTGTCTTTCTACAAGCTGTCATACAATGTGCTAGTGACCTGTGTAGGGGCGCGGCGGCACGTGGTCGCGTGCGAGCAGCGCGTGCCGGCACACAGCGGCAGCTTCCTTCTGTGACAGCTGGCGCGCGCAGCACAGCGCAGCACGCCGCGTTGCCAGCGAGCAGTTCGACAGCTCCCGCTGGAAAATAAAATAAATCCATTATTGAGATCATCACGTCGCCGTCGCCATTTGTGAGGATGGAAATATAATTCCTGCGTACCTTGTAATTTCACCGTAACATATTCTGGCCTTCAAAACCAAAAACCAATAATGACGAATACAATACATATTAACTACAAACTGGTATAGAGATAACAGGGAGGGTACTAGCACAAAGCAACGAGTGAAATAACTAATAACTATAAATTGGTATAGAAATAGCAGGACGGGATACTAACGCATAGTTGGGGCACGAGCGTGTGCAGGTTGATGTGCTGCGGCGCGAACAACTGCAGCTGCTGGAGGCAGCCGATGGCCTCAGCACGCGCTCCGTCCGCGCCCATCTCCATCAGCGCTGCACTCGCACACACGAACCGACTCACCGCGCACACTGCCAAACGTACACATTTCATAATAATAATAATATTAACACAGCGCCATCTAGTCCCACGGTAAGCAGAGCTTGTGTAATGTACAATTGATATCTTAGATATTTTTATTTTTGTAACAACATACATAATATACTTAAAAAACACAGATTTTTTTAATATAATCATAGTAAAAGTGTGCAACAAACGGACAAACTTATCGCTTGAAATCTTCTAGAGAACATAAAGCACGGTAAAAATATTATTCCAAATGTCTATTGGTAAATTTGTCCAACTCTAACATACCAAAAAAAATCTCTTCACTCAACAATACAAATATATTACCTTGTAACTCTGGGCCGACAACAGTAATCAGTGCAGACAAGAGTCTACCAATGCTCCTGTGCAGGTCTTCCTGGTACGGTGGCGCACTGAATAGCAGCTTCAGAGCTAGGTTGAGAGTCGACTCCACATGCCCTCGGAACATAGGTCCCGATGCATCTGCTAGCACTGACAACGCGTGGATAGACCACACCTGGTATCAGAATAATAATAATTAAAAAACATATAAAAAATGAGACAAAAGTTAATTTAAATTATAATATAATCAAATCTTTTCAAATTTGTCTAGGTAAAACAATATACAGGTGAATCATATAATCTTAAAGGTCGTTAATAACGTGTAGTAACATGTATTTTAATAGTAGCCCGCAAACCTGGTTAATGTGACCAATTTCCTACCAGTTAAAAACTTATACGATAGTTAAAGTTATTGTATTAGGAAGCCTAGCGAACGTCAGCTGCAGTTGCGAGGATGAAAGACAGGACTCTTACAATCTTTTCAAATTCAAGCACAAATATACCTGTACTTCAACAGCGGCTGTATCCTGCGCGAGTGCCCTCAGCACCGGCAGCGCTGCAGCGCTAGACGCAGCGCCCCGCGCCCGCTGCACAGCTCCTACAGCGGCTGCAGCGGCGGCGCGGGTTGGCCGGTTTACAGACGAGCGCGCTAAAGCGATAACGCGTTCACTCAACGCTTGGCTCTCCGCTTCGGTGATGCAACCACATAATCTACCAGAGCACGCAGCCGCTGCAGCGCGGACTGTAGCGCTGTTTGTTGATAGACCACTCTAAAAAAAGTACAAAGTTATCATTCCTCATTTGAACTTTTGTATCTACATATAGGCAAGACATAACAATGATGATACTAACAATAATAAGCTCCGTCGCGATGTTCTTGACTGCGTCCTGTCCGAGGGAGCTCTTCATTTCAGCTAACGTCCGCAGTGCAAGTAACAGTGCCGTGTACACGTTTATTTGTATTGCTTCTTGGCGAGGACCCTTAGCCATCTTGATGCATTCCACAAAGTGTTCAAGCATTTGTTGTCTGCAAAAATTATAATCACTTATGATTAATATTATATAATTTACACATTATCCATCTCATTTATACACATATATATAGAAAGGAAATAATAAAAAACTCAACCTAGCATACAAAACATTTTTGCAAATTATTCCATAGACAAAATATATTTTACATTTTACGACTTGCAGTAATAGAAATTATTTAAGCACATGACGATGACGGCCACGCCCAGCGGCTGCTGAAATGTAATTGATCCGTAGGTACTGACCTGTGCTTGTTGGCTTGCGGGAGAATTGGCGGCGCGGGAGAATATTAGGTACTGACCTGTGCTTGTTGGCGGCGCGGGAGAATATTAAGGGGAAGAGTGCGACGGACGCGTCGATGACGGCCACGCCCAGCGGCTGCTGAAATGTAATTGATCCGTAGGTACTGACCTGTGCTTGTTGGCGGCGCGGGAGAATATTAAGGGGAAGAGTGCGACGGACGCGTCGATGACGGCCACGCCCAGCGGCTGCGCGTCTGCCGTGCCCGCCGCGCGGTACACGCAGCACGGGTCGTGCTCCAGCGCGCCGGACCCGCTCGCGCTCAGCGGCGACACCAGCTGAGGGGTCAACCAATATTGGTTATATCACTACTCTGATGCTAACATATGTACATATATAGTTTACACTACGTTTTTATATTGTCATTTATTACAGGCGGACTATTAGCGAAATATTAGATAATTGAAAGCTACTAAGCCAGATCTTAATCAAGATAATAATTTCAGCACGCCCAAAACCAATTTTAAAGAATGTATGAATCTAGAAAATAAGATATCAAGACTCGAACAAGAACTATCGCGATCTAATGAGTGTATTAAGGATCTAAATAAACAAATTACAATACTTGAGTTGAAGTTGCATAAGCCTGACAATGGAGTTAATAAGACAAGGTTTACACTCGAAAATACATCACTTGAAAATATATATACATTTACAGTACACAACAATGCACTGGATTAGCTTCAGCTTTAATACATTCTCGACAAAATACAGTATATCAAAAATATGAAGTATCAGGCTATACAAAACCGTACGCACCTTCTTTCGAAGTATTAAATAGTTGCCGCGATATAAAGGCACATAAAGACGACAAGATAGTAATGTGTATTGGAGAAAATGATACAAATCCTAGACATACTTTGGAGGAACTTGAACTAACACTAAACAAATTAAAGTGTTCTGTCGTAGTTCTAAATGTTTTAAAAAATAAGTCAATGAATATAAATATGCTAAATAATAGTATCCTGTGACAAATATATTAACTGCTATTTCACAAAATGCTATTCTAAAGATTTAACTGTCATCTGTAAATCCATTAATTATACTATTGCTGTATTGATTATGACCGAATTTATTGTAATCACAAAGAATTAAAGAAACTTATAACATTGAATAGGGCAAGTGCCAAGTCAAAAATTCAAACGTGGAAGAAAGGAACAATCCCGTTTTGGCCATAAAACTAAAGAAAACGACGCGCTGATATTCATTCAAAAAAACTGAAACACAAAAAGGGAACAATTCCTTACTACTTCCCAGTTGTAAATCGCTCATTTTTTCGAGGCTAAACATGAAACAGAGATATATATGAATATTCTTCATCAAAATATTGCTAGTTTTTTTTCTAAAAGAGAATTATTAGAAATAACGTTACACGACCTACAAGACCAATGAACCAGATATTATATGTTTATTTTTAAAAAAGGGAAACGATAGTTATCTAAAACTTCATAACTACAATATGGTTACTAATTTCTGTAGAGATAGGCAAAGAGGTGGGACTTGTATTCTGGCTAAGGAGAGGTTATTATGTAAAGAATTGCCATTTATAAAAGAGCATTCAGTACAAAAAATGCTGTCGAATCTGATGCTAACATAAAATTATTGTACATATATAGATTTTACTACATCAAATATCAAAAAAATATAACGGGAAGCTAAAAATTGTTGTGGCAGGGGACTTTTTAAAACATGGAACAGCATCAAATTACCTAAAAGATCTATATTGTCATTTATTACAGGCGGACTATTAGCGAAATAGTAGATAATTGAAAGCTTGTTACTAAGCCAAACCTGCATCTTATTACATTTATAAAAGTTTATTCTGAAATTTCGATTTTTTTTGGTCTGATATTTACGTAGTTTAAATGTAGCGTTTCACAAATGAATCAAAAAATAAATTGTGTTTCTACCAATACCGGTTGTAGAAAGTAGAAAAAAGCTGAATATATATAAAAAGGCAGTTAAATTGAGAACTTCCTGGAAATCGAAATCGCTGAGAAAATTACCACAAGTACATAAGAATACTGTGAATTTGTAATATATACTGTTTATTATACATATAAATTGAATAAACGTAACAAGGTAATTTACCTGTTCTTCAATGTCAGCTTGATCTGTGTCGTAAATCCATCCCTCTTCACCGAGCAATATAGTATCTCGCGGATGCATAGCAGTTATCAGCATACCTGTATTAGATAATAATAATAATAATATAATAATAATAATCTTTATTAAATTCAGAAGGATCGTTACAATATTATTTATACAATAGGTACACATTCCAGACAATATCAATCCTTTCAGTATTTATGTGTAGTCCTGGCTTCTGAATTCTGAACTAGCATTAGCCGTATGACAGAAGCCAGTTCCTTCCCAATACAAATACTTTTATTATTATATATTGTTTTATTCAACTATTTCCACAAAAAAACCATTTGTTATGTAATAATTTCATCTCTATATCTAATTACTTAGACAATGCTTAAATTAATATAAGAGGGTACCAAGGATTCATTTTAAATTGAAATGTTGTGGTACCAAAAAATAATGCAGCATACAATTTACTGGATTTTCCTCCTCGGACTGGGCCACCTACACAGAGTTCATTGAACAAACCATCAGGAGTTGAAGACTACAATATAGTCGTACATGTAATAGTGATCCTAGTAGCACAGAACGGAAACAGTGCCGACGAACGCCTAGTACACTATACCACCATGGTCCAAAATGGCGCACTCATGGTACTACAGAGCGGCGGACGCCTGATACTACAGAGCGCCGTACACCTAGTACAGCGCGCCGCACCTCTGGTACAGCGCGCCACAAACCTGATACAGCGTGCCGCAAGCCTGGTACAGCGCGCCACACGCCTGGTACTATGGGTGCTGCGTACGTACCGGTAGCCACCGTGGCGCCGCCGGGGTCCGCCGAGCCCGCCAGCTCGGCGGCCAGCAGCCGCAGCAGCGGCGCGGGCGCGGCGCACGCCTGGTACAGCGCGCCGCACGCCTGGTACAGTCGCAGCCGCAGTAGTGCCGACGGTGCTTTTAACGCACCGCCGTAGTTCCGGATCACGGCTCCCACGCTGGTATAACATGGATTATAACTTTCCAATGCTTGCTTAATTTATCAATAACGATTTTAAGCAAGGAATTAAATAGCATCATGGTAAATTTATAGTTAGAAATTGAACCGTCCGATTCGATAGTGAAGATGTAATCCATAGACACTTTTATATTGCAATATTTGTATTGTTCATATCTTTATTTACTGGTGGTAACACCACAACAACCTGTATCTATTTTCGCTGTATAATTACATACTAGAAACAATGAAATAAAATAAAATTAATGCTATTTAATTTTTACATACAGTTGTAGTCCTTCGAACCGGATAGGAACTGGCTGAATTATGAAAATGTAGTAAAACTCACTTAGTAAGAACTGCAATAGCTCCATCTATGGGTTGTGTAAGTCGTTTAGCTGTATCGTCATTGTTAACAAGCGATGGGCAGTGTATTAACAAACTGTGCAATGCTGATAAGGCGCCGGCACGGCCTTCCAATGTCACCTATTGAAAAAGTCAATATTATTACAAAAATATAAAACTAAAACTATTTTATACTTAAACTTAAACTTTTTTTAATTATACCAGCCGCAAAATGAACGTTACTTTTTGGAAAAAGATACATAAAAACTCCAGCCAATGTGATGAAGTAACTGTTTAAAAATCAACATATACTGAGACCTATACAAGAAGGAATTCCAATCGTAAAATCATTCAGCCTACAAGTAATAAAAACACTTAACTGTGACTCTCTACCAATGCAACACATCTTAGAAGCAATCGCAATGCATTAAGAACCGACGCAAAAAAGTAGCACAGGTTAGGTTGTTAATAATATTAAACCATAAAATAATATTCACCTGCCAAGTGAAAGCATCTCCTCTAGCTTTTTCCGATTCCAATTCCTTAGCCGACCTAGGGAAACTATTCCTCCAGAGCAATAACATCCGGGGCAACAAGCCTCGAACAACCGGTACACCTGTAACCGAAAAATCAAAACATCATATTCAGTACTGTAATCTCCAAAAACAAAAATTAATTCCATAATTTATACATTCTCTAGTAGATTATACAATTCGAAGGATCAATATTTTTACTATGTATATTGGTCCTTCGAGCCACATATTTGGTATTAAAATAAATGTAAATGATATGAGAAATAAAATTTTCACATTAGTCGTCTTTACACGACACATTCTATGCGCGCAGGAATAAATAAATAAATAATGAATAAACTTCTAAGTTGCTCTGGCCGGCGGAGCGCAGCAGCTGCTCGGCCGCGTCGGACGCCAGCTCGCGGCGTACGTACCGAGCGTGCAGATGGCGCCGACGAGCAGCCAGCCGGCGTGCGTGCGCGCAGCGGTGAGGCGGCTGCTCTGGCCGGCGGAGCGCAGCAGCTGCTCGGCCGCGTCGGACGCCAGCTCGCGGCGTACGTACCGAGCGTGCAGATGGCGCCGACGAGCAGCCAGCCGGCGTGCGTGCGCGCAGCGGTGAACGCCAGCTCGCGGCGTACGTACCGAGCGTGCAGATGGCGCCGACGAGCAGCCAGCCGGCGTGCGTGCGCGCGGCGGTGAGGCGGCTGCTCTGGCCGCGTCGGACGCCAGCTCGCGGCGTACGTACCGAGCGTGCAGATGGCGGCCGCGTTGCGCGCATGCCACCTGGCCGGCGGAGCGCAGCAGCTGCTCGGCCGCGTTGAACGCCACCTTGCCGCGTCCGTGCGGCACGCCCAGCGGCGACCGCCGCACCGAGCCCAGAATGCCAGCCAGCGCCGCCGAGTAACCTGCAAATAGCAAATTGTTGACTTTCAAATAATGTTCTTTTTAAAATACCTACTGACCATCAGAATGAGGTATAACTGTTTGGTGTTGAATTATATATATATATATATATTACAATAATATATACTATGTATAGTACTTTTATTTATTTTTTGTGTATATTTTAAATATATCTATTATAATTTTTATGGCCACATTTTTTCGCCACTACTACCCTACAACGCGTTCGTATTTCTACCTAAAGCTTAGCTGGTAGAGAATGATATATGACATTAAGCTCGCCTTTTGTATGCGTGATTTACTACAATAAAGAATAAAAAAAATAGTTGACTGAAATTGAGGTCGATGTTCGCGGGCGGTTCGACCTACCGGAGATGTGGTGCGGCGAGGGCCTGGGCGCGTCGAGCGCGTCGAGGCAGGTGTCGAGGAGCGGCGCGGCGCGCGCGGGCAGCGCCTCGCACACGGCCCGCACGCACCGCGCCGCCGCCAGCCGCGCCGCCGCGCACGGGTGCTCCAGTACCTGACCGTGCAGACACCTCCCAGATATAACTCTTTTATATTCATATATATAATATGTATTTATTTACAAATATCTTATATATAAAATTCTCGTGTCACAGTTTTCGTAGCACAGTTTTTGAGCGTATTGACTAGGTCTGAGAATCGGCCAACATCTATTTTTCATCCCCCTAAATGTTAGGGGTAGTCCACCCCTAAATTATTATTTTTTATATTAAGGCAAAACAACGTTTGCCGGGACAGCTAGTATATATATACATCCCTGTATTTATATCAACCTGTATGGACATACGGCTTACAACTTTGGGGAAGTGTGTCAAAGTCAAGTATTGACATCATCCATAGGGCCCAAAACTGAGAACAGTATAAGGTGTCCCTTGGCACATCACCAACAAAGAATCTTGGCATGCTAACAGTAAAGGAGATCCTCAATTGCAAAGTAAAATAGAAAAGCGACTATGTATCAATTTGCCAGAAAAAGAATTCAAAAATGTTTCAAAACATATTTTCTTTGTAATTATTACTTACAATATTATAAAATTGAAGAATTTATAAATGATAATAATGTTTTTGTAGAAAATATCTAACTTAAAATTCATAGCGCTGACAATGTTATCTTATTGAACAGAGATTAAGTGTAATAAAGAGTATATAAGCTTACTAACAGCACAAATGGCTTGTAACATGTTCAGCGAAGGATCTGCGACGAGATGATGCAGCGCGGTGCCGAGCTGTAAGGCCAGCTCACCTGCTTCCGTCAGTGCACATACCAACAGGTGCTGGCTGAATAACGTCTCCTGTAAAAAACAATAAAAATAGAAATTTCAACAAATTTAAAAATTAATTAAAACTAGTAAAAGATATTGCATTATGATTAGAACCGAACCTAATAATTAACATGATCTTCCGAACTTGAGCATTAATTAATTGGGCTTGGGCTTAGGTCTTATGTACAGGATCAGACGCTCCTTAATCTTGAAGCTTGATATTTATAATTATTAATATGTACACATTTAGCTTCGTAGTAGTAAATTTACATATGAAGGTATATTAATTTATTAGACTACTCTGTGTGAACTTATAAATAATGCTTACCTGATTACAATCTTTGGCATTCTCCGGATTGAAGTCTATGCTGTTCATTTGTTTGATGACAATCTGTATGATCTCGCGACAGGCGGACGCTTGGGCTTTCTCACCCAGCATCTTGCCCAGCGTATTGCGCAGTATATAGTTTATACATTTCCTGCAAATATAATGAAAACACTGTCTAATTTTCACAAGTCAAAATAAGTTACTAAATGCCATATAAATGTGACAAATATAAATTCCTTTGATGATGAATAAGGTAAGAATACAAACTATACTATACCTTGAATATACAGCGTCGACATGTGAGCTGGCTGCTTTCGGATTAGCAACCAAGTCCAGCACGTGCGTTAGAAACGTGGTCATATTGCGCTCCAACCATACGCCGCCCATGTTTTGCACGAATACTACGTAAGCCTAAAAAATATTAGTACATATATTAATACTGCATACAAAACGAGAAACTTGATGACTTTATAGTGACAAATCAAAATATCTTTATTCATGTAGGTCTATTACTCTTATGATATGTCAAATTTGCCGACAGCTCGAAGTATTTTCGAGCTACTAGAACTAATAGGAAACTCATCTCTAATTTCTCTTTTCAAATGAGCTTGTACAATCACAAAAATACAGATTCATTTTTAAATTCAGTTATGGAAAATGTAGTGACCTGCACCTTATGCTATTGCATTTTTGTCCAAGGGATATATTCAAATCAGTAACCATAATCCACACGATAAATATAGATATACAGACTGCTAAAGACTATGTTAGATCTATGTAAGGTAGACTGCGTCTATCAGTTGTTTAGACGGTGCTGTGAATTGAGCAGGTAAAAAAATTGCTATATGATTTAGTCAATACTAACTTGTGTAACACAAACTCGGACTTCTCTGTTAACACCCGATCCAGATTTAATAATTTCTCCCTTCAGGAAAGATGTGCCTCCTCTTAGAAATGCACCCATCAGTAAGTTTAGAGCCTCGTCCAGAGACACGACATTCTTAGGCGCATCTTTCTTATTTTGTTGAACTGAAAACAAAACTCTTATGATGAAACTCCAATATCTATAATTGTTAAGAAACTTTTATAAAAAAATGATATTTTTTATAAAAAAAGGATTTTATATATATTACATTACCTGACTGTACGCCGACTTTTAACTTAGTATTTAAATTCGTGGCTTCACCAGCTTGAGTAGTTGCTATTAAGGCACCAAGAAGTTCGGCAATGGCACACCTGAAAATAAATTTAAATCAGTCTGTTGAATCAATTATCTAGATACTATAAAAGACTCTACAGTCTAATACGGTACGATGAATGTTCTAATTCCTAAATGTGTTTCGCGCCGGCCCGCAGGCTCGCTGCACACTGCGGGACACGTACCGCAGCGTGTAGTCGCTGGGGTGCGCGGCGCGCAGGCAGGCGGCGGCGAGCGCGTCCAGGTCTGCGGGACACGTACCGCAGCGTGTAGTCGCTGGGGTGCGCGGCGCGCAGGCAGGCGGCGGCGAGCGCGTCCAGGTCTGCGGGACACGTACCGCAGCGTGTAGTCGCTGGGGTGCGCGGCGCGCAGGCAGGCGGCGGCGAGCGCGTCCAGGTCTGCGGGACACGTACCGCAGCGTGTAGTCGCTGGGGTGCGCGGCGCGCAGGCAGGCGGCGGCGAGCGCGTCCAGGTCTGCGGGCGCGAGCCGCAGCAGCGGCAGCAGGCGGCGCAGCGTGCGGGCGGCGGCGGCTCGCACGCCACCCGCGCGGTCCGTGCCCAGCGCCGCACGGCCGGCTCGCCACACCTCGCGCAGCGTACTGCCGGCCGCGGATCCCATCCCCACGCATATCTACGCGACACAAATGCTGTTAATTTGTTTATAGCTGCCGTCGATTTATCGAGTCTAAGTATTAAGGTGCAAAGGGTCATAAATTAGCAAGAAAAGCAAAATCTTTGTATTTAGTCTGTCAATAAGTCTTGAAGATATACAGTCACCTAGTTCTGTTAGATATCACAAACAACATGATTCCTGCACCTGTTGGTCTACATGCCCATCTAATGAGAATACTAATTGGATTAAATTAAATATGAATCTAATCTAATTATGTACCTTCGGCTGAAATCGCAATCATGACATCACATCATCGTGCGACACTTGCGATACCCCTCTATACCACTCACTGCTTTATACCTATTCACCACTCTTTAAACAGTACCACAGCATGCTTCTTAGTGTAAAATATGTACTAACTAGATGAAAACCTGGCTTCGCTCGGGTGAAATGTGGGTAGATATTTCTGTAGTTATCAGTTCTCATGGAATATTAAAAGTAAGCAAACGGCTCTCTTTTGTAAAACAAATAGATTTGTAAAATAACTAAAATCGTTCATTGTGTTTAATAAATATAGTAAATAAAAAGTGCAAAAGTTTTTATACAAATAACTTTTATTTTTTTGTAAATTTTAAGTTGGGCTAAAAAGAACTTGTATCCAGAGCCGTAAAACAAATTAATAAAAAAAAATTGCCAAATTTGTCTCGCAATCGGCCAATTTCAGGTTTAAAGAAAAAACACATACTCTTTTATCATAAAAAAGTGTCAAAAACAATATTTTCGCGAAACGTCACCGACCGAAGAAAATGCTAGTGAAATGAAAAGATGGCGACTGCGGTTTGTTTGTCAGTGTCATTAGAATTTAACGAAATACTCCATAATCCGAATTTTGCGGATATATGTTGTCGACTCGAAATCAATATTTTTTTATGTTTTGTAAATAATAAATATATAAATAAATAGTATCACCTATTTGTTACTAACCTACATATATTTCACTTAGTATTCTGCTAATAATAATACTACTCATGTAGGCAACTTGAAAGTATAGTTCATTATGTTGTATGTTCAAATAGTTTATTATTTTTTATATTAATTACAATTGGTTATAATCTAATACATATATGCCGACAATATTCAGTTAGTAGACAAGCAATAAACAGCAACATAATTGCTCTTGCTCACTGAGGCATTACATACTTGATCTTAATAAAAGTACAAATCTCCAAGGTTGTAAATAATTAGATATGTTAGATATTAATACATAACAGGAATATCAACACATCTACATACAATTTTTAAATGGGAATTTCAAATAGAGTTTATTATGTTTTATAATAAATTAGGCATTACTAAAACTACTTCATAGTTGATATTTTAACATAACTGTTAAAAAATAAAATATAGCAGTTATTCTAGTCAAATCTACCAGAAAATAGCAATATATATTATAATAAATAGTAGTATGAAAGACAAGTCTACATGGCTGTATGTATCATAGTATTCCAGTATTTTTTAGAAAAAGTCATATAGTAAAAATAAGAAATGGACATCATACCTTCTCAAGTGTAATCATGATCTCCAATCTGGTCTGTGATTCTGCACTCTTCAGAGATCTGATTAGATTGGTTACAGTCTCCTCATAAGATCTTCCCATCATTCTACCAAGTTTCTCATACATGCTACCGAGACAACAAATTGCAGCACTGAAAATCATAGATTATTATTATTAAATTACTTCAAGTTTCAAGTTCAACTTTCAAGCAAGTAACAAAGAAACAAATAAACAATTTGAATTTGAACAACACACACATTAGACATTCTATTTAATGTCTATCTGATATATTATTAGTTAACATATAACTTTTCCCTACACTGTATCATCCTAATGGGTTAAAGTCATTTGAATGACATTTTATACACAGAACAGAACCATATAAAAGATTCTATAATACTCTTGTTTGGTGATCAGTCATAACATAAACTTGAAAAAAAAGGTCATTTAAAGTATTTTACCTTGCATAATGATATCTAGAGTTTGATTTTTAATTCAGTCAACCAAATATATGATATGATCTTTAAATAAACTGGTTGGATCATAATAGTCTGGGCCAGATTAGCTCCCAAGTCCCACCAACATCTATTTTAGCTGCCTTATATATTAAAATAGGGAAACTATTGTATGATTTAACAACTATAAAATAATAACAGCATAACTCACAGTCTTGTTGGTAGATAAGATGGGGAGTCATCCTTGACTTTGATGATGTCATTACACTTGTTCACAGTATCAAACAGAAGGAATGTATCACCGACTGAGAACAGTGTCGCTAAACACCGCGCCAACAACCTCCGAGCTGGAGCACCCAGTGACTCTCTGAGTAGATTCACAAGTTGAGCAACTAACTTCTGTTGACAGCTCTTTATATCAGACTGCAAAAGATTAATATTAATGTTTATTATACTCACTTTTTATGCAAATTTTAAGCGATCTGGACTGTCAGTCCACCTGATGGTAAGCAGTAACCTACATATACATGAACAGCACAATGGACATTATGTTATCATGTGATACACATGCTTTGCCATTCCAGAGGTCTAAGATGTCATGACTCTTATAGCCTAATCACACCATACAACTTAATAGCATTACATTATTTTAAAGTTTGTACACATGATGTATAGACATTTGTTACTCTGTCATGTAAGAACTGCTGGACAGTTTAAATAGAACTTCATATGAACAAAAGATATTCTAGATCACATAAGCTACTTTTAACTCAAAACAAATAGACAATGTCTATGTAGTTGAAAATAATTATTTAAGTAAAAATTAACATAATAGAGATATTTTTATATTGTTCAAAAGAACTAAGGCATAATACCTCAAACATCAACATGTGTGATACCAAATACAGTGGACCCGCAGTAATCCGGCCCCCCTTATAATCTGCCATGGTCTATTATTTATTATTTTTTTCACAATCTTCTCTAATGCATGATTAGACAAATTTAAACAAGTTTGAACTTGTAGGCATTACCACTGTTGTAATCGACGCGTAGGGTATTGTTTTGATTATGATTGCTTAGTTTGAATTTTACTGCTAACATGTGATGAAGATAGCTGTGCAGTATAGCATGTGTTCATTGTTATATGTACATAATGAAGTAAAATTTGTACTTCAGAGTGCATATACATACATGCATATATAACATAGAATCTTATATCTGAATCTGTAATTTGTTGGATTACAAGGTAGTCTTTTTTAAAAAATTCTGGATTATAAGGAATGCCTTAGGCCTGCTCTATAATCTGACAAATTTGATTGCCCTGCAACACAATTGATGGATAACCAGGGGTCCACTGTAATCCACTATGTAATTTGTAAACAGAAATGTGGTGCTTTGCTTGACTATAGGCAACTGCTTATTTTGCCAATCCAGTTGTATTAAAAATTATAGATAAGTAAATATTATTCAAACATACTCTACCTTATGGGCAGCAACCAAGACCTTATCAAGAAACCGAAGCCATTCAAATATAAAATGTGGTTTTTTATCATCAGGCAGCTGCTGTAAGGCAGCCTCATTCAGGGTTAATGAGTGTGACACCTCCATTGTCTATAACAATAGGACACATCTAATGTAGCATCATAAGAAAAATAAATATCAATATTCAATTTAACTAATAGAATAGAATAGAATAGAAAATAATTTATTCAAATAAACTTACATTGAAGCACTTTTGAATAGTCATAACATTTTTTTTTAATCTACCGCTCATTCGGAATGCTGTCTCATCACAAGAAGAACAAGCAAGAAACTTGTGTGTTGCTCTTTTAAATAATTTATTATTACTTACACTTTAAGTTGAAGTTAAATTTAAGTTTAAGTGTGTATTCACACACTTAAACTTAACTTGTAACAACAAACCACCGATTAGAACTAATTCAATGAAATAATAATAAAATAGAAAAAATTTTCAATACACAACAACTGGTTAAGCAATTAATAAGAGAAAATAAGTCATAGTGATTAGAGCAGACCAGTCCACACATATATAAATAGTACTCTATTTCAGCATTTAGCATCTCATTTCAGAGCTTTAAATTTAATTAATTAAAATAAAGTTTGTAAGAAGCCAATGCATAACCACTGTTCACTTGCCAAGGTACAAAATAATAGTTTTATTACCCTACACTTTTTTTAATAATTTAATTTATAACAATTCATTTATTTTCAAAATACTATCACCAACAAAGACATTCTTCAGACATTAAGATCTTGTTAATATATATTTATTTATTAGTTAAAGACAAGTACAAATATCAATTCCAGTAATAACTCGGTAAGTACTTAAATTAATTTAAATGTATTTGAAATCAATCCTTGTTACTATTTAATAATGTCTAACTATATAGGCAGTCATAGCAGATTTCTATCACAACTCTATGACACCTCAAGGTAGATCATGTGGTGTATTTTGTGGGTAAGTTTCTGATTTACACTTGTGCTCCATGTGTGGAGCATATTGATGAAGATTTATGACTTGTTTAAAAAGACATATTGCTCCGACCCCACATAATGTAAAAAAGGCAAGGCACTAATAATGATTTGTAGAAGGATAACTGTGGTGTCTCTAATTAAATAGAATAATATCAGTGAATTTGTGAATAGGAAATAAGTAGTGAGTAATAAGTGAAACAAATTAAATAACAACAAATGTGATGAGTATAGTTATCAGTCATCCAACATGAGCCATTGTAGACTGAATAGAAATGCCTTAGTGAACATAGTATATAGTTACACAAGCCGTAAACAGCACAGTTACCTACTCCCGACCCGCTTGTTTATTTAGTTTGTAATTAATGACGCCAGTGTAGGATGAATCATTTTCTTATAGAACTTAGGAAATCAGAATAGGCCAAGTAACTTGCAGTAAATAAAGTTTATGCTACGAAATAGCTTTTAGCTAAAAACTCACCTCAATAAAAGAAATTAATTCACACTCGGTCTTATCCTAACATAATACTTATTTAGAAAGAGTTTAAGGCAGTGGCTTACAACCAAATAAAATATCAAGGTGTATCAATCAATATTGCTTAATTTTGTAAGAATAAACGCTGAAAACAAAGACTTATACTGAAAATAAAATTGTAAACCATCAAAGTTTCTTCTATAATATTTTCTATTACAAAAATTTCAATCACATCACATCTTCTGCCTTCTGCAGCACAGAATAAAAACTAAATGACAAAGTCACAGACTATCTTACTGATCTTATCAAATGTCAAAAAAGTTGGCGTGTTTGACTATAGTTCTTCACAGTCTGTCTGATCTGTGCTTAATAGAGAACATTTTCATAGTCTGGAATATTCTCTCTTAAAATAATTTTTGAAGTCAAAAAAATAATATCCAACAATCCCTTTTGTTAAAATTTTATTATAATTCATATTTACCAATATTTTTATCTTAGATAATATATTTTTCATTGTTCTTTATCAACATTAATAGAGTAAATTGTGATCGTTAACGTTTATAACCTCTTGTTTGGACTACGTGTTTTTGATCAAGACTTAACTGCAATGTTATATATGAACATCAACCTGATTCAATGAAGACTATGAGTGCACAACAGAGCCCGGCAAACATGCAAACCGTCGTGGACCGAGAAAAGATATATACTTGGATCTTGGAGCTGTGCAATCCAGAAACAAGGGAAAATGCTTTATTAGAACTTAGCAAAAAGCGTGAAGTTGTTCCGGATTTGGCGCCTATGTTATGGCATAGTTTTGGTACAATCGCCGCCTTGCTACAGGAGATTACTAATATCTACGTAGCTATGATACCTCCGACACTCACAGCCCACCAAAGCAACCGCGTATGCAATGCTTTAGCATTGATGCAGTGTGTCGCTTCTCACCCAGAAACGAGATCTGCATTCCTCCAAGCACACGTACCTTTGTTCCTATATCCGTTCCTTCACACCGTGTCTAAAACTCGTCCATTTGAATATTTACGCCTTACTAGCCTTGGTGTAATCGGAGCTTTAGTAAAAACTGATGAGCAAGAAGTGATCACGTTTTTGCTGACAACTGAAATCATACCACTGTGTCTGCGCATCATGGAGAACGGTTCTGAATTATCTAAAACCGTTGCAACATTTATACTGCAGAAAATTCTGCTTGATGACAGTGGTTTGTGTTACATTTGTCAAACTTACGATAGGTTCTCGCATGTGGCTATGATACTGGGAAAAATGGTGTTGTCTCTGGCGAAGGACCCATCGGCTCGTCTCCTTAAACATGTCGTTCGTTGCTACCTTCGTTTGTCAGACAATCCGAGGGCTCGTGAGGCACTCAGGCAATGTCTTCCGGACCAGCTGCGAGACGCGACCTTCACGGCGTGCCTCCAAGAAGACAATTCCACCAAGCACTGGCTGGCGCAGTTAATAAAGAATTTAGAAGCTCAACCACCCCCTGCTAGTCCTGCTCAACCAAACATGTGAGATTCAGCTTTATGGAGGCCCACTACAGACAATGCCCAAGTAGTATTGCAAAGAGGGCTATCCTGCTTAACACCAGACTTTTAACCATTTACTTATAATTGTTCTTTTATAGTTATATGAAATTTTCTTTTAAACTTATATATACTGGGTATATAAGTCACTAAAGATAATTAACAAAAATATGATCACAATCTTTTAAAATCAGCATAATAGTTTAAGAATTTCACATTAAGTAATTTTATGAATAAATTCACATTATTCCAAATATTAATGGAAATTAGTAGTGTGTTATATAAGGCTAGTGCACATGTTGAAAGGTATCCTTATGTTTATAAGTAAAATAGTTGTTTAAACTAACTAAAATGTTATACATTATATAGAGTAAACAATAATCCTTACAACAAAATAGTTTAGTTTAGTCAAACATTAATATAAATAAAAATTAATAAATGCAAATTAAATTTCAATTTGTATGTTATTGTAGGTTATACATTAACTATAAAGTTATACTCTTTAGGATAAGTAATATGTAGTTTAAATATATTGTAAAAGTATTGTTAAATAATTTTGTACAAAATATTTAAAATTTCATCTCATTCTATTTCTCATTAGTATCATAGGTCAAGACTGATTCAATTCTTCAAATATTATAGGTAGTCACATGTAGAGTGAATTTTGATTATAAAAATCATATAATAATGATAATAATTTAGCTGGCCTCAGTGGTTAGCACACCTGCTTACTTCTGATGGTTAGAAGTTCCATATATATTATGTATGTATTTATAAAAAAAATATATATTGTAGCAGTTGTCTAGTGCCCATAACACAAGTTCTGCTTAGCTTGAGATTAGATGGTGTTGTGTGAATTGTCCTAAGATATTATTATTGTACTCCAACTTTACATATAGTATAATAAAATTAGATTGGCATTTGATAACCTTACAACATTAATAAATTTTGTATATTTAAGCATCATGCACTAGCAAATTTTCAATCGATTTTGATATAATATTACTAGAATCATTTGTTACATTTGATACTAGTACTAATTCAAATAGATTTATAATACAAAATAGTATTGACATTGCTCACAAATATGCCTTTAGTCTTTATGATAGCTGATATTTGTATTTTATTTGTCTCTTACATCAACTTGTAAGCTAACCAAATTAATAATTTCCATGTTAGATTCCTTTCCTGTGATCTAACAATTAAAATCTAAAAACATTTGCATTTATAATACAGTGTTGTTTCAAGCTAAGTTATATGCTACTGTGCCATTGTCTCTGATGATAATAGTGTGAAAGGACAGTTCAAGAGTGGAGTATATAAATTATTTTCTGTTGAACATTGCAGTTCAGTGAAGAAAGTTATGTAAGCACATGCAGTAAGAGTGCACCATATCTTTAATCTAAGTTAACGTAAACTATTTCTGCTAGGATACTGCTATTATAAAAAATAAATATTAAAGCTGATAGACATTACTTATCTAATCAAGTTAGAAAAAGTTTAAAATCTTATCCAGACTATGATTGTATTTGGGACCTCATATGGCTACATCAGTGCTGAATGAAGTAGAATAGATTTTAATAGCTTCTTGAATAATCTTGTTAATACTATTTTTTTTTAATCGTTACAAGCAAGGATTATTAGTTTGCTCTACTTGACTTGAATAAATAAATTTGATTGTTAATTACTAACTACTACTTTAACAGTTATTACATGTAGTGGTTGTACTATAGTAGGTCTTGGGTATGGTCTATTATTTATGGCCAGCACAGACAACAGGCATTTGATCACAGGGAATAAAATTTCACTTTTATGTATACTGGTGGCTAGCTGTATTCAATGATTTATTTTGATATACAAATAAATTTCGTAATTTGTCCGCTCGTCTGCGCAAGACCTTGCTATGTTGGGATGTTTATTTGAAGTCTGTTAATATATTTATACTTACTGACATTACATTATTATTGTAATATTCAATTATTGTTTTGAATTATATTATGTGGTCTCATTACTTCAATAAAATTGTAATTATTTTTTAGGTACAAAACAAGATGAGGTCCACTAATATTGTATGCAGATGTAGTGGACTGGATTAGAGATAATAAACTTTATATTAATTTGCAATTTAGATCTTTTATTTTTTCATTGTGAAAACTGGATGCATAAATTAATTCATATTATTTATATACATCAAGAAAACAACTGCTTATCAAACTAATACTGTTGGCCTTTGCCCTTGTTACTTCACTGGAGAAATAAGTAGGCGATTGGCTAACGGATACTAATTTAACCAGAGGACACAGCTAGGTGTTCGACCCTTGCCTCGGATTACCGTCCTGTATGCTTTGAATAAGACTAAATTATATAATGCAGGTATTCTTAAAAGCATATTAAAGAACAAAAAAAGTAAGACATGCGAAGTAGTAGGTACTTACTACTGTCACATATAAAACAAAATTACATATTCCTATAATTATAATGAGCTGACGTACTACTTCATTTGCGCTACATAGTCTCCATTTCTGCAACATTTTTTCCAACACTGAAAGAGTTTCCAAAATAATTCTTCAATAATTTCATTAGTTAATTATGTTCTAATCCAGAGATTAGATTATCGCCTACAACTGAGCCGAGGTTTCTACCCCTAGCGGCGTCCTCAGAAGAAAGTAGTATCCGTCAGGCAGGAGTTGGCTTTCGGTCGATCCAAAAGTCCTTCAAAGTCCAAAGGTTTGCGCTCGTTTTTAGAACCAATCCGATTTTGACCACATTTACATTTGTTATCTCTTTTTCGCACCATCGTCACACAATTATTATCACATCGTAATGAACCTGTAACTAGTGTATTGCATGCAATATGAGTGAAGTTCTTTTTCAAAAGAGTCTCTGTTTTGATTTGAATTTATTAACTACAATTGCATTAGTTTTATTTCGCGGTATGAGCTGACTTATAACTTTGTTTTACTCGACAACAATAGATCTTGTTGACTTGTATCCTGTTTACTACTTGTAGCTTGCCGTATCCGATGCTTAGATTTATCTTGTGGTGTTTTTGGTGAAGACTTTAGGGCTAGATCGACGTTGTCTTTGCAAAGCTTTTGAGCTATTGTCGGCATTTGAATGGTCTGGGATAGCTGTTTATCTTAGTAAATCTAATTTATGTTTGCCATATTTACCGCTTACCCTCTATGTTAAGTAATGAAGTTGTAGGCATTGGTGAGCTTTTACAATCATTGCTAAAGTTTAAGAACCCTTTTAGAAGTATTAAATACGTTATATCGAAGACAAGACAAGGGTGACAGGAAAATGACGGTAAATTAGATACCTACACACTATGGATATCTCCATTAAGTATACATATCTACGTATATTGAAGTAATTTTTATTAATAATTTAATTTATTTACATAACTTGATTGTACAACTAGAACCTAAAGTTAAAAAGGTTAAACAATATAAATACATAAGTAAACATCACAGAAGACCGAAGAGCTGGCAGCTACCTCGGACAAAGAATTAGTCTAGCCTTAGCTATTCAAAGAAGGAACGCTGCCAGTATCTTCGGAACTTTGCCAAAAGGGACTCCTTTTAATAATATATTTTAGTTATTATATTATACATATATTTAAGAATCGATATATACATATAATGATTATATGTCTAGTACCATAGTACAAATATACTTAGTTTGAAAGTTGATAACGCTATGTCTATACTGGGTGAATAATTTAATTTTTTGTAGGTAAATTACTGATATGATATTATGTCTTGGTACCTTACTTCTATTTTTTAAACTATACAGTCTACACCACAGAGTACTTTATTATATATAACACATTACACTGCACAAGTTGTATAACAGCAGTCTATTTTCCATTAGTGTCAATCTGTCATTATTACTCATTCATTACGTCCGTCGAATGTTATTATCATATGATTTCGACATGAATTATCTTATGCAATAAATTGTAGGTATTTTCAATATTTATCTACGGCATATTTATTGCTTAAATTGTAAAAAAATGTGGGTATTCGGATATGGATCTTTAATATGGAAGGTAGATTTTGCATACGAGTTAAAAGTTATAGGTTATATTAAAGGTTTTTCTAGGAGATTCTATCAACACAGTATAGATCATAGAGGAGTTCCTGATCAGGTAACTGATTACTTTTTTTATTTTGATAGAGTGGTGATTATGCCTGCGTTAACTACTTACGCTGGCAGGGAACCAGTGAATGATGATAATATGAGTCAAGTTAGATTAATAAGCCTATCGTGATTTAAGAGAACTGCTTGGACGTTGATCTGACATAGCAATCTATTTCTCACTCCTAACAATTCCCCCTTATGTTTTCTTGCTTTTCATATCTATCTAATACTGTACTTTTATATATATATATATAAAATTTGAGTATAAATAGTAGAAGATCAGTAACAATAACAAATAACAATCAGAACATATATTTAGAGTTTTATGCACCTATACCTGTATGTACCCATGGGCATACACAGCTTCTGACCTAGGGTGGGGTATGCGTTTGGTTGAGGGAGGTGCAAGTTAGATTATTTTACGACTAGAATGTGCTTTTTTCCATAGATAAAGCATAATATATTGTAACACACAATTCTTAAGACAGCAGCTCTTCCCTGTCTATGTATAATATATTTATTACAGAAACTATGAATAACAGCATACCAGTATCAAAACTTAACTCCTCCCTCAGGGAAGGAGATTGTTAGTAATGTGAACTAGTGATCCCATTTTTAAAAGTGTATCATGTCAGGTTGCCTCCATGCGGTTGGAAACCATTATAATTAATTTCTGGAGAATTTGCCACTATGGTCCAATGTAACTGGTGCCCCACCAGCATAAATTGTTAGTGTAGGTTGACCTGCACTATCAGTTTGACCATACCATTATCTAATAAAAAGGAAAAAGGAAACTCCTCCCTCAGATAATACACCATGTATGGTCAGGATACTTATAACAAATATGTACACAATTTGTAAAATCAACTCACACAAAATGATAATACTTCTTCTTATTACTAATACCACTTTAGGACTATAGCTATAAAAAAAAAAGTACCTAATCATTCTGGACACTGAACCAATTACTATGTATTGAAGGTGTGGCCAATTGGCTTACTAGCAATGATTGGCTACTCTATTATTTATTTAGTTACATATCATAAATTACTTAGAAACATTAATCCCACTTATCTGTAAAGTTATGATTATTACAACATAATGACTCACATTCCACAAACTGTAACAGGGTGTTGATGATTTTCAAATGAGATGACATTTAATAGCAAATATTATAAAGTGAGCAAAACATTTATATTTATAACTAGCTGTCCCGGTGAACATTGTTTTGCCATATAAATTAATATCGCTATTGAAAATTGAGGGTTGTATGTATTTATCAATACTAAATAATAATAAACTAAAAATAAAATATGTGGAAAAAATAAAAAATATATATTTAGGGGTGGATCTCCCTTATCACTTGTGATATGAGAATTTTATATATAAGATTAATATGTTTCACCATATAGAAGGTAAAGAAAATATTTGTTTAGAGAATTGTCTGTTCTCTATAAATTATTGCAAGATGAAGATGTTAATTTAGTAATTTATATTTTGTCACATATGTTCTGTCTAACATAGTGAAGATTTATAAATCAAATACTTACATTTATGTCCTTTGAACTATGCTCATCGCTTACACCATTATATAACGCACATAGACTGGCTGCAGTCTTAAACATATCATCATTATATCCAGATGGGGCAGTTAGTCTAACATATTCCACTATATCATTAATAATCTAGGTTTACTCTTTTTTTATTATAATAATGATTCTCTAATTATATAAAATTATGTTTATTATAACAGATATGCATTAAGGAATAAATAGTAATTTAATATTCTTGAAAATTTCAGCCAGGACGAGTGGTAACATTAATACCAAGTAAAGATATCAACAGCAATGTGTGGGGGGTGGCATACAAAATCAGAGCCCAAGACATAGAACAAGTGACAAACCATTTAGACTTTAGAGAAAAAAATGGTTACTCTAAAAAAATTGTTAAATTCTTCCCTAAGGATAAGAATCTTGAACCTTTCGATTTAACGTTGTATGTTGCTACTGAGGAAAATGAATCTTATGCTGGTGAGTTATAATCCATATTTCCTATCTTTTTTATGTAACTAGAATAGCATATTATAATATACCATCACAATAACATATCATACAAAACAAGTTGCTTGCAGCTGAAATAGGTGAGATACCCTCATACCCAAAATGATAATTTTGTACATGTCTAGTACATCTACCTTGGTAAATAGATGATTTAAATGATGAAGTGTGAACACTTATCCATTCATCATCACTTAGCGATTACTTATTATATCAAATAATCCTTATCACCTGTTAGGGTTATCATTCTTTTTTTAGGCATATCATTTTCTGTTTAGAATCATGACTACAGTCTGCAATGTTTCAATTACATACATTTTTTTTTAAATATTTTATTTGAATTTTTATTACAACGCCATCTAGCGGTGAGAACTGAGTTAATGTTGTTCTACTGTGGTTTTAGATGTCGTTATGTATATATGAATAACCTTGACACAACAATCAAGGAAATATTACATTTTCAGTTTTGTATCGTTTTAGTTTCATTACAATCATTAAAATTAAATTGTGTTAGTTATAACTACTATAAAGTATAACTTGCAAATAACTGACATTGTATGTTTCAAATTTCAGGGCCAGCCTCAATAGAAGATATGGCGAGACAAGTTGTCAAATCTAAAGGCCCCAGTGGTACCAACAAGGAATATTTATATAATTTAGCCGACGCCATGCGTCAATTGGCACCTGAAGTGGTAGATGATCATCTATTCACTTTGGAAGCAGCCGTAAAGAATTTAGACTCAGATTCAGATTTAAAAAAAAGTTAATATATGTATGAATTGCATGAGCGCAGCCTGGGGTTCAGAGCAAGTTTGGCATAGGACTGGATGAGGTCCGCAGACAGCAATAATAAGAGTCATTAAAAAATCCTGGCTGTGTTCGTGAACTATACATAATTTTTGAGTAACTAATTGAATAGCAAATTTTTATACTAAAACATTAATATATTTTTTACATTTATATTTAATATTATATATATATATATACATATACATATATAAATATAAAATACATATATATTATATGGACTACACTTACGTATAATTTGTGTTCTATACAAATAAGAAAACCAACCTAGTGTGAAATAATGGTACAGATGTATGATACCAACCAACCAATATCTCTAATACTAATTTAAAGTTTCTTGACAATAACTCCTTTCAAAGTCGTGGCAATCCGGCTTTTCCGTTACCATCGATTAGCTAAAACTACTGAAGTTATAAAATCAGTATAATGAGGCATGTAACGAGAAAATTAAGAGGAAAATCATGAAATTTCTCACAGAGTAAATTAACAAGATGGATCTTTTAGAAAGCATATAATATTTAGAATTTATTAATATATAACAATATTCTTTCAAAAAGTTTGTATATATTGTCCGATTTGGCAATTAAAGAATTTGTTTCGTTAAAATAAATGTTTTATGTATACTTTGTCGAGGCGAAATAAAACTATCATATTTGTTTCCTCTTACCTCTTCTACTAGTAATGTCTGGATTTTATTTTTTTAAATATTTAAAGATTCTCTGTTTTCCCTAAATTTTAATACATATTGTTTTTTTTTCTCATAGATATATCAACAGCTAGCTAAATATTTATCTGTTGGTTACAGGTATGTGGCTCTCTACTTTTTTATTTTATCTGTAGTCTCCATTAGCTAGGGACAATTAGGTACTTATTCGTATTAAAAAAAAAATTCATAAGTTCTAAGTAAGTTCCATAGTAAAAATATTTCACGTTTTACGTCATTCACATTAAACCCAGATACCTGTATGTAATATAAATAACAAATGCTTCTGCATTTGTTATTTATTTTAAACATTGTAACTTTTTAATATATTGTTTATTATGTTATATTTGTGTGTTATACAGAGTTGTTATTATTATATAAACCCTTATAAAGTTAAATATAAGTGGCTACATATATAAGTTTTTTTTTACTAATCTTCATAATTATTCTAGTTAATTTTGTCATGGCTGTGCAATAAGTTAAGAATATATAGTGGGGGGAAAGGGCATTGTTAGTAAGGTGGATTGATGATTTTATTGCTAGCAATATACCATGTCAATATACCAAGTTGACCTCTACACGGTTCCCCCTGGAAACCACCGTGATAAATTCTTGGTGAATTTGTAACGATGGGCTAACTGGCCTGACCTTATGCTCATGCTTATCATCACCAGCACCAGTGGATGTGCAACGCCAGCATAAAACGTTAGTGCAGGCGGGTACACCATTCCATTCATAATCCATAAAAAAACTAGTAAACAGAAAGGCTTTTGTACTTTTTCACAATAAAATTTATTAATTATTATAAAGGACATATCTAATTGTAAATGTATCAACTGTTAAAACAAACAAGAAAGAAACTATTATACTTTAAAAAGTTGGCTAAGCAGGCAACACAAGTTATTAGATTGACATTTGACCTAAAAAGTAAATTTTTCTGAAATTATACTTTTAAGACGAAATTGTTTTAACAGATTTTAGAAATTTTGGAAATATGTGAATTTTTTAATAATGTCACTATGACAAACTACTTAAGTGTTTGCATGTCAATATTTTCCTTCGCTATACTATCGCATAAAATATACTTAAACTTAGAGATACAATTTTTAAGCCAGTATATATGTACAATTGGATTTTGGTGCTGGCTGTTTTAGTCACAGAACAGAGAGGTCTGTTGTGTGGTATTAATTAAATAATATTTTTAAAATAATGTTCCTCGAATCATTCCTACTATCTATAATGTTTTTAATTTACTCAACAATAAATGAATGTTTAAATACTATCCACTATGTGTTTTTTTATAAATAAATAGTGAACCATTTGGGCCGGCTGATGGTAAATGGCATAAGTTGGTTATATTCATGAACAGCATCAAAACATCACGTAATCATAAAAAAATACCCTTCATCCTGTCTTCATACCCTGTAATTTCACTGTCATATTGCTAGGCGAGGGCGTCATCGTTAAAGTATTAATGTCGTCATTGTATAAGGGGTTTTTAGATTGTCTTTGCCTTTTAATTTTAGTATTTCAATACTAAAATTGACACGAATTTATTTATATTTCAGCGAGGCGTCATGTAGCTATAATTATATGTGTGTATCATTTTAACATATAAAAAATTTACACTCAATTTATAACATACCGACGCATATTTCATCAGTTTCGTGTATTATTAACAAATTATATATATAAATAACGCAAAATGGAATTGGTTATTAATTAGTTAAATTATTTATAATAATGTAATTAATAGTGTAGCAACCAATTCTATTTTGCATTGTAATTAAACGAATCATAGTACGTAAACAACATGTTACGGGGAAGTAACTGTAACATGATAACCCATACATACTAACATAGTTAATGATTTTCCTTCCCATAGTTAGAATAAACACGTATTTTTGTATAAACGTATTGTATATTTATATTACAATATTTGCGATCAGGTTTTCCTGAACAATTGTTTACTTTATGTTACGGTTGTTGTCATCATGTTGAAATATACCTAATATTACCTAGATTCTTTATAAGGATTTTTTGAGCCTAAACATTTATATTTGTTAGGGTAACAGTAACGGTAGGTAAAATATTATAATAAAAAAAAATTGACATTCATGAGTGGTTAAAATGTCCTACATGAATACACCATTCAAAATTCAAAATCATTTAGATTTTGAATTTTGAATAGTGTTCGCCATCTCCGGAAATTAACCGGTAATTTGAAGAAAAAGTGAATAAAAAAGAGATTGTTGCAGAAGCTAAAATATGTAATATGGTCATTATACATCAACATAATACTATATTTGTTATATATTTCTTAATTGTCTTGCTTCGTTCCATCAACTTGGGTCTGCGCAGTAGGTAATTATTCTTCCACTGATCCATTCGAGTCCATTCATCATTTTTCTGTTCTCTTTAATTTTATTATGAATTAATTAATTTAATCCATCCAAAGTTCATATTAAGTATTTTTTTCAAAACATGATGCCATCTTAATATAATATTATAAACGAAAAAGTTTGTGAGTATATGTTTGTTACTCTTTCACACAAAAACTACTGCGCAGATTTTGATGAAACCCTACGGTAATATAGCTTATACATCACAATAACATATAGGCTATAAATTTCATACTAGTGAAACCGCGGCCACAACTAGGAGAGATATAAATTATAATTTCGTTTTCGTTACACTCTAATTCGATATATTCATAGCAAAATGCTTCATGTTCTTAATCATTTAAAATCAGCGAGTAGATTTCGCAGTTGTTCAAATAAATTATTCTGTATTTGGATAAATATTGTTCTAGGTACATAACTATATTTATATAAATTTAAGTACAATGTAATACTAAGTGTGTATACATACTACACAAGTTTGCTTCTTTAATGCCAAACTTATCGATCTACCTGGTGGTAGGCACTGCCTGTCACATTTATATTTTTAGCTCATATATAAATAAATAACTTTATAATATATTAATATGTAGGTATATATTACAAATAGTAAAGTCTATAACAGTATATAATTAATTTATAGGTACTGGTCAACAATATGTAAGTATATTATATTTGTCACTATAATGTGGTAGGTAATGAGCACTACTTAGCCTAAAGTATATTTTCTATTTAGGGAGCAGGGTTTCTCCTTATATTTGAAGGATAAAATGTAACGTTATATTGTACCATATATAAATGAACTACGTCACAGATATCATGCTATCATGTGATGCCTGCACCCTGTAATTATTTTTGCCGTCATATATCAATCACCCTTCAGCCGAAACGCAGAAATAACTATTTACTTCTCTGTTCTGTGGGCTGAAAGGTTACGGACAGAGTTTGTTCTATAAGTAATAATAATAATAACTACGTGAAGTACAAACAATCATACTCACGAATACAAATGTTTGTAGTGTGAGAGGAATCGAACTCACGACTATCGAAAGTAAGGCGGTATGCCAAACCACTAATCTACAGAGGCCATCAATATATTTCCTAAGTTTGGGTATAAATTAGGAAATATATTGATGGCTTCTGATGATAGCCTTTGATGCTCTCTATTATTATACTATGTAATATTATGTTATCTGTGATTATACTAAGGCATGTTACATTTATTTTATACATACAGACATGCCAACAACTCTGAATTGTAACAAATTTTTAATTGGTAGATTTGCGCTTGTAGGTATATGAACCATTTAATTTACTGTTATCTGTATTATAAACAGTTTGAGAGTTGCAGATACAAGCTTATTGTATTAAGGTGTTAGTATTGGTTCTATAAATGAAATTGGAATAGTGCAGTACGATAACTATATGACCTTGCGGGCAACCAGCGGATAATAGGTCTGTTACCTCATCGTTACAATTTCATTACAAGTTAAGTACAATGGTTTCCAGGCACACGTAGAGACCTCCATTGTTAGAACTGGACCCACTATTTCCTATTCCTGACTATCCCATCTCCCTTGGTTGTATGGATGGCAATTTCAACTGAGAATTGGTTCAGGCGTAATAGTTATACCACAGGTAATATTACATGTTATACTAATTTTAAATTATTAATTCAGGACTATAAGTAACGGTTTTAAATAAAGTCGTGTTAATTGGGAATCTTCGTTGCGAATCATTCCGATTTATTCATTATCAAAAACAAAAATTTTTCTGGAAACAAAAAATATTAAAAATATGCGAATTAGTACATACCTATATATATACATGCGAATGTTAGACTATCTCCTATTACGTACAAATCGACTTACATATGATTTGCGCAAGTTATACATAGATAGGTATTACCAGTAACAACTATTACATACATAAGTTTATGTTGTAACATATCTGTAGCGTTAAATCAGATTTTAGATACTTTTCAAGATTGGTCTGTTTCCACTGTTTCTTTTGCGTGATCCCCTCTCTGTGGTAACGATGAATAGAATAGAATAGAACTTCATTTATTCAAATAAACTTAGTTTGAAGCACTTTTGAATAGTCATAACATTTTTTTAATCTACCGCTCATTCGGAAAGCATTTTTACCGCAAGAAGAACGTGCAAGAAACTTGCGTGTTGCTCTTTTAAATAATTTTATTATTACTTTACATTTAAGTTTAAGTGTGTGAATGCAAACTATCAATTAGCACTAATTCAATTAAATACTCAAATAGAAAAAAATATTGAATATATAACCAACTGGTTAAACAATTAATAAGAGGAAATCAGTCATAGCGATTAGAGCAGACCCTACAAGCAGCACGCGATCACGAGTATGACGGATGAGCCATCACTGCGCTGTATATCGATATATATCGTATGTGGTATTGAAACTCGGAAAATATCTACATATGGATTGTGTGCAGAAAAAGAGATCATTATACATAACCTCCTTCATCCAAATTCTGGACAAATGTTCAGTTTTTCTATTTTATATATATCTATATTATAGAGTGGTTATTTTCATTCTACATTACAGTACTGACCGATATCCACGACATCGTGTACCATATTGAATATATAATAATGTCCTTGGTTCACCTATTTTTAACCAAATTGCTGTGGTACTTAGCTGTGAAATCGTTAATTTTAAACAAATAAATAGACGAACCGAACCTAAGTGCTTTTGCATTTATAATAACATACATGTGTTCCATATTTAGTAACTGATATTTAGTATGTCTATATCTGTATGGTGGCGGAGTAACAAATGGTAACAGTACATTGTCACCACTCTTTTGTATTCCAAGGAGTTCGTAAGAAGCTAATAATAAGAGCATACCTAGATCACAAACACATAGTGTTCAAAATGAAAACTTGGAAATAAAACTTTAAACCAAGTCGCCTGGCCATCATAATAAGGTAGATCCTACTCTACAAAAGAGGATAGGCCCAGGAGTGACAATACAATAGATTATTACGATGATGCTGACTTAGTACGTAGGTAAAAGATTAAAAATGCATTTAATCCTATAATTATTTCAACACAGTTGCATTCACAATGAGCGTCATTAACTTGTTCACACGAATGAGTAAGATTATCATTTATCTAGAAAATACGTAATTTATTGTATTTCGATCTCTCCATAGACATTTTATTACACAGCAATGTAGACTATATTTTGCTATGAATGAGAAATAAAAACATTATTTACAAAGAAAACTTTATTATTAAAAAACTGTCAAGAATAGACACTTAAAAGCACCTACCTATTATTTTTTATAAAAATAAGAATACTATTTTTAAGAAATAAAAAAACACTTTTAACTATGTCTAGTTGTATTTTTAATTTAAATAAAGAAATAAATTTAAAGAAAATTTAAATAACAATTCCATTTTTCCTCGAAATATGTTTTTGCACCGTATAACTCATATTTACAGTCAATAATTTGGGTTTGTTTGCAGTCCGCATTGAATTATTGAATATTGTATTATTTGCGATCCGTATTAACTGTAATTCTGAATATAACTTTGTAGATAGAAACGAAACAAAAATATTTTACTTCAAGTCATAACTTTATCGCGCTCAGAATTTGGCAGATAGCGTCACATGGCACTTCCATTTATCAGCGTTTTTGATAACCCAACCAAACCCAATTGCATTAAGATAAAAACAGAGGAAGTCTGGCCTTAATTATTTTTATAAAAATACCATTTACTTATCATTCATAAAAGCTGGTTACTTATGTAAAACTAATCTTTAGTTTTGTCTTTTTCCATCGATCTTTATATCAATTGTGGCGTCATATGCCTACATAACCTTGATTTAATCTTTGGCAGGTGTGTAGTAAATTATGGTAGTGTTAAAATTTGTATTATCACTTCACTGTATTATTTTTATTGCGTCCCAACAGCTTATCTAGAAAACTTCGCTTTCGTTTCACCTTTTTCGTACTTTTTCTATTGTTTTCCAAGTTGTCGCCTTCTGTTGAAATTTTCTCTATCAACGCTGGAATGGTCAAATCGTTTTCAATGTGAAGTTTCTTATGAGAATCTTTACTTAATTGTCTTTGCACCGATGTTAATTCCGAAAGATGATCATTCTTTTCCGCTAATTCTGTTAATGATTGTTTTGAATCCTTTTCATTTTTAACTTTATCTTTATTTATCGTGTCTAGTACTAATTCAGGACCGTTCTGGAGTATTTCTACATGTGGCTTGTCTTCTTGCTTTTGGAATACTTCGTCATCGTTTTCATAATTTTCCGTGGATTTCGGTTTTTCAATTTTATCAACAACATCAGATACGCTAGAATTAGATTTAGGAACAGAGGAGACAACTCTGGGTCTTGTTGGAGGTAGAGTCCAATCAACTGGTTTACGCGGTGGTGAATATCTTTTAATTAATTCTTCAAAGAATTTTTGACGATCGATCGTAGTTGGTGAGTAATTATTCGGCAAACTTTCATATTTTGTTCTCACAGCGGGATCCTGATTTTCCTTTCCGTCCACAGTACCGTTTGACCCTAAATCTACAACAACTCTACGAACAGGTGTCGGTGATGTGTAAGGTTCGGCGAAAGGAAATTTATATAGATTAGGACTTTCAATTTTATAATTTAATGGGCTCGTGGGTTTAACCGGCATAGAAGCTCTCGTGCCATTTCGTACGAATGACTGATCACTAGGGTCATGTAAATTTGAAGCCAGGAAATCCCTTCTAAGTTTAGAAAGGCGCCGGGTCCTTTCTGATGTGCTGTGCCTGTAGTCCACGTCGTCACTCTTATTCAATTCCGATGTAAAGTTATCTGAGTATTTTCGAGGTCGAAAATCGTAGTTTCGTTCGTCCGTCTTTGATTCCCTCATACTGGAGTAACCGGGATTGTTCCGTTTGAAGTTCGACGTCGTCTTCCCGTGGTTTGAGGTGATGATAGGTTGCACTTCCGTATAGACCGGCGTCAAGGTGGTGGGAGACGGAATCGGGACGTACACAACGTCGGGTTGGTCGAACACTTCCCGCCTCTGACTGAACTGATCCACGCCGATCATTTCCCGCGACTTCACACTAGTAGGCGATTTCGTGCCCATTTCCGTTCGATTACAAACCGCAACACTTTTGTTATTGATACTATTTTCCTGTAAACTCTGTATTTCTATTTTTGTACCGCACACATTATGACTTCACCGGTAACATCGCGAGTATAAAAGAGTACACGTCTGCAAGTTAAATTGGACAATAAAGGTGGTCGAGTCGTCCGTATAAGGCGAGCCTTCGACGATATATACCGAATGATCAATAGAGTGGATGCGATAAGATACGAACGTCGTGTAACTCAGTATTTTTGGCCGATTCCTTTATCTTTTTAGTGACGAACAGTTGAATAAATATGTAGAGACGACTGAATACAGCAGTCCGCCGGTAATATCGCGGGCTGAGTGAAAGCGAGGCGCGGCGTGCGATCGACGCCGAGTCATTATATAATGAATATTAAAACAAACGTCCCAAATAAGTTAGTCTGACTTAGCGCCTCATCACCTAATTGTCTATCCATTGTTTCATATTATTAACTAGTTGTTTGTTTATTTAGAGATGCGGTGTATACTTAATTATGCCGTTATTTTTAAAAAGTAACGATTCGTATGGTTTTGAGAAATCATTTGTTAACGATATATTTATGTATTATTTATTTAGGTAGGTATAAAAATGTATGTGGATTTTACTTAATATACTTTTGGCGTATTAACATATTGGTGTAAATAAATAATTAAAATAACATTTAGGGAACTAATTTAAATATTAAATCTATGTAAGTATACCTATACGCTTTCGCTTGTTAATAAAGTTATGAGGTCGCATCTCAGATGTAGATTTAGCATTGGGTAGAATGCTTTGAATCATTGATTTTGCGTCTAAGCGATTTTGATATATTTATTACATTACAATACCTACAGCAAAACCGAACATGGCGCATACAAATAAATACAATTTAAGCATCTATTTGTAATTCCAAAGTAACTGCTTTTTACTAAATCTATATGAATGTACATACAGTACTTATATTATAAAATATTTTTAAAATTTATGTCTGTCTGTCTGTTCTTGCTCGACGGATCTTTTACTTGCAGACAGTTAAGAAGTAACTTAGGCTACATTTATTTTAGAATATAATTATAATTTATTCTAACAAAATATAAAATTTCTAAGTGGAGAAGTCCCTACAATAAAAAATAAATAAGTACAATAAAAATATATATTATGTATTATAATGTAACTCTATTTAGATTTTTGTTTACCCCTATAACTATTCACTCTTAAAACTACCTTGTATAAACTAAATAATGTCTATTATCCTATTAAATTATAAGAGATTGTACAACAGAACGAGTATGCTAAACCTATATGACTATTGCACCATATGTGTGGATACCTACATTCTTACACGTGAATTTTGGAACCTGTGCAATTAGACATAAAGATCAATGTTGTTTGTTAGTCAAAATGTCGGAATTACTAATTACAATTAGGTACAATGAAATACGAATTGTCCATGCGGAACTAGCACATACCTGAATCATTGAAGATATACAAAATCTAGGCTGGGTACACAATACAATTAGACATTCCGCGAAACTCTTTATTACACGAACAATAAAGTTTAGGTTTGAATAACAAACTGATGCAGTTAACCGACATTTATTTCATGTAATTAGAATAGAGTTCCCAAACGTCCTGTATTCTCAGAACATGTCCTGGTTATTGTAGTATTATAGTATGCTGCTACGTCCTGAGTAGTTTTGAATCGGCGTCGTAGGTTTTTAATTATTAGGAAATTTGCAAAATTATTTAATTTTATTCACGTACTTTTATTACAATTTATGATTCTTTATTACTTTAACTTTATTTCACATATTTTAACTACATATTAATTTAACTATTCCAATTCTATTACTGCGTCCTGTTTTCAAACTGAATTGTCCTAATTTTTTCAACTTTTAATCCTCGGGTTTTTAAATTGGGGTTGGCAACCCTAAATTATAATGATAGGGAAACAAATTAATGGCACACCAGACGATAAGTTATAACCATCGCCTATATACATGAACTGTACCATGGACGTCACATTCTACCCTGTTCTCCTCATGCTCTACCAGGGGACTTTTTTATACAAAATTGGTTTTGAAAAATTATATCTTTGAATTTTTTGAGATTATTTGTAGACTAATCCTTTGGTATTTTTATGGACAATGGGTTTTATGAATACCTATTACTCAACCCTGACAAAACTAGCATTGGCCGCAAGTGTGATTTAAATACGAGGTTGATGCTTTGATAATTTGATACCTATAAATGGGTATTAAACATCTAAAATAGCGGAGGCGTAAGACGCAATCACAGAAGTGATCTCACCCAATTTGCATTCACATTTGGGGTTTGGCCATGGATCAGTGTTTCTTTGATACCTATACTATGTAATATTATGTTATCTGTGCCTATACTCTAAAAATGGTCAGAGTTCGGGACAGGGATGTCAACTGGACAAGGATAGTACAAATATGAGATTGTCGGTATTTAGTATAGTACATATTATTCTTGTACAATTTTGTATGCCATGTTAACCTAAGGAATTATTTTTTGGATTCAACAATTACCAACCTAAAACTCAGATCTTATTAATATTATGAACGCGAAAGTTGAGTATGGATGGAAGTTTGTTAGTCTTTCACGTAAAAACTACTGAACGGATTTTGATGAAACTTTTCAATAATATAGCTTATAAAATCCGCAGTGTAATGGGAAACCGCAGGCACAGCTAGTTCTGTTATAAAAGAAATGAGATTAGTGAGAATTTTCCTAAAATTATATTATAGAATTAGATTACGATTATATAGAACGAGATTTTTTACTTCCTTTGTCACGAGAACTTTCTGAGGTTGGTAACCCTGGTTCGACATTGAACTTGTGTTTACTGCCACGTTAACATTACCTACACATACATTTACGTAGGTATGATGCATGCTGAAAACATTGTGTTTTCACGGCACTCCAAAGCGGAGAATTTATTTATTACTCGGAATCTTTGTCTCTACCGAATCAATTTGGATGATCTTTTACATATATTTGTATGTTTTAATGGATGATTATGGAATGTTGTACCCGGCTGCGGTAATGGTTTACGCTAGCGGGGCACCAGTAGAGGATCGTAAGATGAGTCTGAGGCTGACCGCATACTCTTATTATCAGTTAGCTCATTGTGGTAAATTCATCAAGAATTTATCACGATGGTTGCAAGGTGCAACTATCTGGAGGTCAACCTGTTATGGTACATTGCTAGCAAAAGGATTGTTAGTCCACATTACTAGCCCTATAGCGGTATGTTCGTTTTCATTTATTAATAGAATAATTCCTGACGAAGATTTAGGTATCTATACATATAAATAAAATTGGAGCGTCTGTTTGTAATATTGAACTAACCGTTTTTTACTACATGTATATGAATATAAATACGGTATATATACCAAAATAACATTTTTTACAATTTTTGTAGGTATGTCTGTCTGTTTGTTCCGGCTAATCTCTGAAATGGTTGGACCGATTTTGAGGAGACTTTTATTGGCAGGTAGCTGATGTAATAAGGAGTAACTAAATAAAGTTAAATTCCACGCTAAATAATACAGCTAGTATAATATAAAGTACTACGGTGGTAGTTTTTATATAATTGAAATGGCAATGGTAGATACAGCACTTTACATAGTAGTAGACAGTGAATATGGATACAATAACAACATATGTATTTATTATATTAAATGCATTACTATTTCATCACAACTTCGACAGTTGACAATGTCTCTGACTACCACATCTGGGATCTGGTGTTGGTATGTAGATTACAGGTGCAAGATAAAAAATGAACAAAAAATGGTCATGTTTGACTGCGCATTATTTCGTGACGTTGTGCATAGAATGCATATCAAAATGTCAACAAATTACATATTTACTTTGAGTTAGTAGAGTTTGAGATAAGGAAACCCCTAAGTATACTTTTTTATATATTCAGCAAGTAACCTGTACTGTATTATAAAACTGAAGAGTCTATTAATGTTTGGTGGGACGCGGTGATTACAAAAATAATGGGTTCGAATTGAAAAAATATTTTACTGTTGGATATGCCATTTATTGAGGAAAGCTAGGCTATAAGCTAGGCTATATAACATTACGCTACGACCAATAGGAGTAAAACAACAATAAAGTTACGTGGGCCGGCTTGTCATCAAATGGAAATATTATTATCCCATTAACACTTCGTGTTGTACTACATTGCAATTGAAAAATTTGAAATAAAAAGTGATTTATAATTAGGTGATTTAAAAAAAATCAATAAATTCCTACAAACAAGGATGTCGTTAATAAGAAAAGTGCAACCAATATAGTATTATATTAATGTTAACGTATATATAGCATAATATGACGTCGCTTCTGCTATATGTTCGCTTAAATGCAGTTTTAATAAAAAAAGTGAGCTACGAGAAAGGTTTATATGTTTATTAGTTGTACACCCATGCGAAACCGGGGTCGTAGTTATTTAATAATAAATGACAATATCAACAATAAAAATTGGTCTAAATATCCCGTAATGTGTACTGCTTGATACATATGTGTGTACTAAGATACAAATAAAAATTCTTATCTATCTGTCTACTATAATAAATTCACCCCAGTTCTCTGGATTTATCTATCCCAGATGGTATATATTAGAAATTTTATTAACGTCGCGTCGTGATAAATGTAAAAATTGACAGGACTACATTTGTTGGGTATTTTTAAATTCATCGTAGCAGGGGGCGAGTTTATCATGACGTCTTTTGTATAACTTCTTGGTTCGTTATCGGTGTTACTAACACCGGGGAGTCAATCAGAAATATAAATTTATTGCTGTTGACCAGAATCATTCCAACCACTATGTTATAAACTCTCTCAGTTTTATGTTATTTATATAAAAAAATTTACTTTCTTACATAACATATATTTGTAATGTGACTAACAAAATATTTAGAGCAATCGTATTTTATCAAAAAAATGTTTTATCACGGTTCTTCATAGGTTATCGCCCTGTTGGAATGCAATATTATTTTATGTATTTGCTAATAACGAAATACCTTGCAAATAATAATAGAAATATAAATTAATACATATAAGCGTCTTAGCCCTCGTAGTTTATTATCTCGGATTACAGACTCGGTAGATAGAGGTCTTGAATTCGAATTTGATCGACACCAAACTGTTTGTGTCCATTTATATTTTCCTACTAACTCTCCGGTAATGGAAATAAATAATAAAAAGAATATACATCAGCTGTTTCAGGCGGCCTTGTCAGCAAATACGTCTGAACATTTTGTATTCAATCACAGGTACTTTTATTCAAAATTTTTAGTTTTTGTGAGAAGGTTCGAAGATCAAAGTCATAATTTGATTCGACCATCTAATTATAATTAGTAATCGCCTCTTTGCACACGATGATGTAATAAATGAACAATCAGATATCATATATTCTAGAAATTGCTAATCAAAAAAAATTTTTATTTCCTGGATGATAATGGAATGGTGCATCCATGCTCTAACGGTTTACGCTAGCTGGGCACCATTGGAGGATGATAAGATGAGCCTGAAGTCAGGAAAGTTAGCCCATCGTGACAAATTCATCAAGAACTTATCACGATGGTCTCCACGCGCTAGCAATAAGGTCATCAGTCCACATTGCTAGCAATCCCCTTTCCCCACTATCGATTTGTGTTGCCTTCAGGTACGTACATGTAGTAAGGGACGTCGGATTTAACACTATTATTCTGTTGCTATTCGAGAAAGCCTGTCAGTGGATTAATTTTATAAATTGTGATAGCCTTCGTTTTCCTATAATAAATAAATAAATATAGCTAACTCGTGCAATTTGTTTGCGTTTTCTAAACCTTTATAACTGCTGCCTCTAAGGGGTCACGTGATCATCATTAAATATCAATGCTATGCGATATTAACGCATCATGATTTAAATTGATGATCATGAGTTGATTATTTTTAAGAAATATTTTAGTTTTATACCTATTTTGTTACAGTATCTAACATTGAAAATATGTTTATTAGGCATAGGTATGTGATAGTTACTCTGCAATGCATTCCAGAGTATTAAGATCTCACGCCTCCATAATCCGAAATTTCAATGCCTTTGTACTTCGTACTTTTTAACAAAACACAAATTACAAAGCTAGCTGTTTGGTGGCTGAAATAAGCGAGACAGAGGTACCCTCGTACACGTCCTTGTATTAACTCTACCTTGCTAAAATTAGTATTAGTCTTGGTTACTTATATGTTTTCATTTTAATAAATGAAAAAATTGAGAAGTACTTATCAGACAGCTAGCATAACAAGTCAATTCTGTGAATTTGAAAGAGGTCGAGTTTTATTATACTACTTACAATTATATTCTTGATAGACGATATACTTAAATATAAAATACCTAAGCATTTTATAATCAATACGATATGAGTCAGATAGAGAGCAACTATCACGTAAGCGTAGGTATATTATTTTAAAACCATGTGCAAAGGATAGTCAAGGTATACTTAGTTATACTTAGTTTTTGATACAGGTTTATATATTGTAGATTTTTATTATGTAACTAACTAGAACGGCAAACTAGCTGGCAGCCGATCTGATGGTAAGTAGTACATATTGCCTATTGCCACCAAGGAACAGAGTATTGACGACTACATAAGAGTAATCTGACATTAAGGATGACGCAGTTGGAGTCGAGTCACGAGTTTCAAGGCGTTTGTCTCCCGGGTCACCAAAATACTGACCACCTTCATGAAGGACTACTGACCGGTGGTGGTGAATTGGAACTGTGGACGTCGTGGCTTTGTGCGGTTTATACTTTACAAATGTTCGAATTTCTCGAGTTTTCTGTACCTTAATATGCATGTATTTTACATATAAATCTTCGTCTTGTATTACTGTATATATTGCTGAAAACTGTATTAAAATCCGTTGAGTAAATTAGAAAAATTAAGCGTACGGATAGTCGTAACGAGTTTGTGTTATACCTACTACATATATAAAGATTATTATTTCATATTACCTTAATCTCTAAAGTAGATATTTATAATATGGGCTATTAGTAGCCAGAATTAAATAAACAAATAAAAATTAAATTACTCTGTTTCAATTATACAGACTAGAATTGAAAACTCCCATATTGTTTTGTAGTGAAATTGTTGTATTATCAACATGATATCAGTTACGATAGCTAAGAATAATGGTTGTAAATGTTGGAACTTATCACACAAGTAATTTCGTATCACTGATTATGTAACTTACCTCTGATAAGCATTGTACTAAATTTTCCAGAATAACGTAAGTCATGTGGAACGATGACTCACATTTTGCGGGTCAATGTCAGGTCACCTGCGCGTTTATTACTATTCTCGCACTGTGGAGAATATCATACAATAAAAATAAACTTAATTCACAAAATTTTGTGTCATTTTAAAAGTCAATTTTTTGTGCGTATTTTTATTCTACCGCTCATTCATACGGTTTAGGAACCAAGAAAAAATCTTTTATTAATAAATGATAATGGAATGGTGGACTTGGGCTCACAATTTTTTTTTATGGATGATATAGGTGGTCACGCCTGCGCTAACGGTTTACGTGGGCCAACAGAGGATGATAAGATGAGCATGAGGTGAGGCGAATTAACCCATCGTGACAAAAGCACAAGGAATTTATCAGAATGGTTTCCAGGGGGAACCGTGTGGAGGTCAACCTGATGGGTCATCAGTCTATATCACTCATCAATACAGTTCATGCTTAGTTCATAAATTCACCATTTACAAGAAACTTGTTTGATCCAATCCTATTTTATGCATTCCTATTTTCATATGTTTAGCGTTCGTTTCTAGTGTCCCAAAAGTCGACGATAAACCGAAAGGTAGGTAAAAAGAAGCTAAAAAATCAACAGCCTATGAAGATTATTTTATCCTTGTTGCAACAAATTGTAAATTTTGCTCTGTAATATTTTTAGAATATAACTCTGAGTAATGTAAATATCTAATAATTGGAGCCAGACTCTCCACAGCGACAATAAGCTGTGAGATCGACGGGATCAATCACGATACAGAATTATATAATTATTATAACTCTAAGAATAGCATTTTTGTACATATTTATCTTTGCCCTTGCATTGTACTAGTTGTATCTGCAATATAATCTAATCTATTAAGATATAGTACATATCAATGAGTGTATGACAACCGATTAGTTTTATTGTAAGCCATAATGGTTATTGTTTATTTTAAAATAATATAATAGATAACCAAATAGTGAAATATTTTCCTTCAATATTTCATTGAAATGTATGCAATAAGATAATGTTTGTAATATTAAACTTAATATAAAGATATAAAATACACAGTATCTTGTTATGATTCTACTCCGATGTTCGTAATATAGATTCACCAGAAAAGAATGGATGAGAATAGTGGCTTTCATAAATGTAGAAATTTTGTGTAAATTTTACAAACATTTAAACTGTATGTTATTGTAACACTAGCAACTTGTTTAGATTTGTGAATAATATTATAACTAAATTTTTGACATAATTTATTGTTATAAATTCCAGGGTATGAATAATAATAATATTAAATAGTAGCTGAGAAGCAATGAAAAATGTTGCAAAATGGGTACAATTAATTGCTTTTGAGGAAGTTTCTGTGACTCAAAGATGCACTGCCCTGACCCAGTTCGTTATAGCATAAAGTATATGAACGGGAGGTACAATAAAACTTTAGAAAAAGAAGTAAATGAAACAATTAGGTACGTCCAATATTATTTATTGGCAATTATAAAATTGTTTACATATTGTGTAACATTATTTCAATGAGATTATGAAATCTAAAAATATGTTAATACAAAGATACTCTAATATTTTTCGTCTTTTCCTTAGACCTTTTTCAGATTGATAACTAATTTTATTTATTTATTTCAGGCTACTAATAACTCGTATTATAAATAGCTTATATATTGATAAGCTAGCTAAGTAGATACTTATACGAGTATCATTTGGTATCGCATATAAAAGATAACTGGAGAGCTGAGTGTGAACCATATAGAAAGAGATACTAAACTGTAACGGTAAGATTTGAGAAATGTGTTGTCATTCAAGATAAATGAACTGGCATCTTGATTTCAACTTTTTGTTCTACTTAATAACTATCAGTAAATGCAAATTATCTTAGTTAATTGTCGTCATTAACAATGAATTGATTTATAAATGAATGAAGTCATTAACAGTCAACATGGACAATCATTGTTTATTGCAAAGTTTTGTATCAATATTCTCAAGGACGAATAAATATTGGATAAGATTAAATTTCTGATTGTCGTATTAATATGCCATATATTGTAGATGGCATGAGTAGATAAAAACAAATGGGTATAAAAAAGGTAATTTTAAAAATAGGCATTAAGTTTACTCAGTTCATTTGTAGTTTTGTTGAGTTTAACAATATCGTATACTGCAGAAACGTAAACTATGAATTCCATGTCTGAATCTTTAGAAACAAACTCAACCGCAGTTGTCACTACAATGATATTCGACAATTAATATTAATAGTTTTTAATATACATTTAAAACACATTAATAACACATTCAATAATAAATATACAACAACCTCAGACTTCATTTTAAATATATAACTAATACAGATCACAATGGAAGCTGTTAATCATGGTCAACAATAAATAAATTTATTTACACTATAATATAAATAGAGAGTGCAAATTTTATGAGTTTGTGTGTGTGTGGAGTATAGTCTCCAAAACCACTACAGCTATTTGATTTTTACCAGATTAAAATTAGTCATACATAAATTAAGACTTTGATAACACTTCCTTCATAGCTAATTCTATTTTTAATTGCACACACGCCACCCTTTCTTGGAATATTTGATTGATCAAACTCAGTCTTTTCTGCTCCAACATAGCATTCTCTTTTATCAGTCTTTGCTTCAACTCCTGATCTTCTGGTGTTTGATTCTCTTTGTTCTCTTTATGTATTCCATCCTGTTTATTCTTCAAAGCGACCTTCTCTTGACTCCTAAGTTTAACTATTTCAAACTGTTCCGAATTTATTTTCGCTTGCAACAGTGACTTCAATTGCAGATACTCTGCATTCTCCAATTGTAATCTTAGAAGTTTAATCTCTTTTTCTGTCAGTTTTGGTTTCTCAATGATTGGTTCTGCAGTAGGCAGGTCTTCTACTAGAGTTTCCTTCTCTTTTTCCAGTTTAAAATCGAAATTATCTTCGAATTCCGCTTCGAATGTCGGATCCGGTAGTTGAGGAGACTCTTTTAAATCTTGAAATGCATCTGCAGATGGCGTTTTCACTTGCTGAGTTTTGACTTCCTCCACTGGTGCAGGTTCGCTGGGCTGCGAATTTCGTCCAATAACTTCTTCATCTGCTTTCTCGTCGATAGATGGTTGTGGCGGTAGAGAGTTAGGTTCCACAGACTTTTGGACTGTCCTTAGTTTTCTCTGTAATTTGAAATAAATTGGAATTAAACACATATTTATGCTTTTTAATAAATAATTAAAAAAAGTAACATAATTGTTACCTTATTTTATTTTTAATAACAGTATAAGCATTAAAAAATAAAGTATATAATTAATAGTTCATATAACTGAGATATAAGATATATTAACTTTCGACATATTTAGCATTTGTCGAAATATATATTATGGCTAAATTTAGTATCAGCATTTATTAAAATGAAATATTTTCGACGTACTAAAACTTCCAAATGTTTCTTACTAAACGATATACCATATGATACAAATATATGAAAACATTTCATTTTATATTGTGACCTAACCTAATGTTCCTTGGAGAAAGTTGTATTATTCATGCATACTGTTTGTTAGTGAAAAGCCGGCTATAATGCTATGATAGAAATGCTAACCTTTAGCTGTGTGACGATCCTCTGCGCCTCCCATAGTTGGTGGTCGCGTGCTTGTGTGATGAAACCGGCATGCATCTCCGCATGGATCTGACTCAGTAGAGACTCCTGCTTGCGGAGTTCCGCACTCATCTCAACCGCTGACTGTGGAAAGTCTACTGGGAGGGACTGCAGTGGCGGTACATACCTATAATTTTACATGTTACAATGTCAGATCTTACCTTACAGATACACTGAAATCAAATCAAAATATTTTTATTCATGTAGGCCTATTACAGACTCTTATCATATGTCAAATCTACCGTCAGTTCGGAATGCTTTCGAGATGAGAAGAACTGACAAAAATCAGCTCGTATTCTTTTCAAATAGTTTATAATAGTACAAATTGATTATTGATTTTTTTTGAACAAATTCAAATTTGGGAGAATAGAGTGACCACCAGCATATGCATTTTACAATTTTATCAAAAGCAAATAGAGGTATCAGTGTTTGAGTTTGAGTCCCCTCAAGCAGCACTTGTTCACGAGTTTGACGGAACGATACCTAGATACATCAATGTAATACTTACAACTAATTATGGTCAGTAAGACATACAAAATATTGTCTACTAAGAACTGCCGTGTCTAAACTATGCTAAGGTGGGGTAAAAACCTTACAATTTTACTATTGTTATTTAGTATATAAGATCAATATTTCAATGTACATTTTGTCAGTTTACTATCATCTGTAATATACATCCTCTCAACCGAAAACATCGTATTATTATCTCGCAACAATCTGATTGACGGGAGAGGGAACTGTCATTAATGAGGATCAATCAAACTGGATCAGTGTACACTGAACAAGGATTGCATGCAACTGAAATACGAATGTGGTTTTTTATATAATTGGAATGGCAAACAAGCTGACTCCCAACATGATCGTAAGTCCTAACCGTCACATACATATACGAACAGCCCTATAGAAATTACATTATGATGTAGCACCAGTGTTAGCAGTCATAGGTTGTCATTTCAGAAAACTAAGATGTCATGCGTCTTATCTTGTAATTTCACTGCCTAAGGGCAACTACAACGCTTGCTTGGGACTACTGAGACTTCCACGCAAGCATTTAAACAGTTTCTGGTTTTCTGGTTGTTACAAAAATGGGCAATATAAGGAATGAATACATCAGAGAAAGTATGAATGTATAGTGTCAGAGATATTAAAACTAAATTGTTAGTCAGCAAGATTGTGTATTCTTCTAATTCAATTAAAGACTTCCTTATAACCATATAAATATCAGTGTATTTGAGTCTCTTTTCTCTCAACCACGCGGTTTGAGCAGTATTCTTTAGGTTACTTACCGCAAATTATTATGTCAGAAGTTATTTTTAAAATGCATATTATTGATATACTTTACGTCAAAAATATGAATAATTTATATATATTTTATTATAACATGAAGAGCACTATGATATAACATTACAATGTGATATTGATGATATTAATCACGCGTTACCATTTCAGGACTAAGACAGCTTATCCTGTAATATCACTGTGCCATATGAATATGACCCTTCAAACAAAACAAGCTGCATGGCGGTCTCGGTGGTTTAGCGGTTTTGCACACCTTACTTTCGATGGCTGCGGGTTCGATTCCTCGAACCGTATAAACATTTGTATCCTTGAATATGATTGTATCGGTCTGGGTGTTTACTATGTTTATTATACAGGTATACAAAAAGTTGGATATGTATTTATATCAATGGTCCAGTATCTATAACACAAGCTCTGCTTAGCTTGGGAATAGACGATGCTGTGTGAATTGTCCTGAGATATTATTCTCAACAAAAGGCTGACCTTCGACACCGACGTGAATCGTCACCTCATTCTGTTCTACGTGAATCGTCTCATTCTCATCATGTTATTCCAGTAATTTCCTAAAACTTACTTAGTGAGCTGCACATTAGGGAACAGTTTCTCAGCTTTGGTGATGAAGTATGTGAGGAGATTCAACGACATGTTGAGAGCTGGACCCATTACAGTCGATATTGTTTGTATGTTCACATGATTCACCTGAAAATGTAAATAATTCAAAATTATATGTTATTCTAATGTATAAGCTATATTACTGTAAAGTTACATCAAAATCCATTGAGTAGTTTTTGCGTGAAAGAGTAACAAACATCCATCCATACTCATAAACTTTCGCTTTTATAATATTAATAAGATCTGAGATTCTGAGATCCTGCCAACGGTTTAATAGACCGCCTTACTTCCGATGGACGGGTTCGATTCCTCGTACGGTGCAAACATTTGTATTCATGAGTATGATTGTTTATATCGGTCTTTGTGTTTTGTAAGTATAATGTGTATGTGTATTTTTGGTTATTTTCTACATCAAATGAAGGCATTCTAATTAGAAGTCTCAGAGATGACAAATTTTATTATTTACTATACACAATGTCCGCGCTATCAGAAAAAGAAAAAAACTTGACTATGTGGTTATGAAAATATAGGTACCTATTAAAAAATGTAACAATTTGTAACTTCTGCTCTTACGAAGGATTTTAATAATAAGTCATATTGTTAGTATAGTACAATAGGTATAGACGATATACGATTCATATTAAATATATCACGCAATATAACCAGTTCTATGGTTCACCTTGGACATTAATGTCACGAGAAGCAATAATTTATAATATGCAATAGACAAGTTATACATAATAACATTGTAATAAACAATTTTTAATAGACTTGTATATATGGTAACTTAATTTTAAATTAGAGTGACCCTTTTAGTATTTCCTATTAATTTCTGCCACTATGCATCATCAATCATCATCAAACAAGCATCTCCAGCTATACATTCAGCATACTCTATATTTTCATCATCTGTTTCTTCCTTATTCTATTCATTTGTGGTCGGCGTAACATGTTTTCTCTTCCATTCATCTCTGTTCGCAGGCATCTTGTTATTCTCTCCCTTTCATACATATCTTTTTAACTTCTTACTACTATTAATAGTAGTAAGAAGTTAAAAAAATAACATTACTAACAAATTACATTATTTAAAATATAAAGTTACATTAATTACGCATTATATGCCCACACCATAACAGATGATTATTATTATTACTCAACTTCTCAGACACTGGCTCAACTTTCATACTTCCCCTATATTTTATTACTAAATAAGACATACCTGTTCATTAGCTACGACACTCTCAAAGTGCCTCATCAGCCAGGCGACGAGGTTATGATTGCAAGAAGGCAGTTTCGCTATAAGAGACACTATGGTCGTCTCGCGCTGCGGTTCCGCTATTGCTGTCGCCTGCTCAAACTGTCCATGTAGCTCTTGTGTTAATATTGATTCTGGTAATTCACTGCAAATAATAATGATATAATGTCTATTATTCATATAATTGTGGTTAATATATTTTTTATGGCTATTCAAAAATGTTTTTTTTTTATAACACAGGGGACAAACGAGCATGCGGCTCACCTGATGGTAAGTGATTACCGCCGCCCATGAGCACCTACAACACCAGGGGAATTGCAAGTACGTTGTCGGCCTTTTAAAAAGGAATAAGCTCTTTTCTTGAAGGTTTCAAATTGTTTTATTTTTATAGTTAGTTACTTTTATTCAATTGTTTTATTTGAATATTATTTATATTTCTACCCATGTATACTTTGTAATCACTTCAAACGAATACATTTTACAAATGTTTTAATACTTGGAATGTATCCAATTTGTAAAAGATTTGTAAGATGTATTCGTTTGAAGTTTGATTACAGTGTATCCAACATTAATATAGAATGGTACACCTGCCAGTGCTAACGGTATACACCGTCGGGACACGATCTAGGAGGATATGGATGAAGTTTGGTAATATATTATTGAATTAGGTGTTATTTTTCGGAAGTCCATTTCAATACTTAATGGATTTATATTATCTTGTTTAATTATGCTACCAAGGTCGCTAAGAAGTTTGTAACTCTTTTAGTAGTGGAGGTCAGGTTCTCTCTTCTCTTGCACTGAAAATTTGTGGTCTTCCACATAATAATAATAACGGAATTAAACAAAATAATACAAATCCATTAAGTAAGAACCTCAATCAGGCCAGTTAGCGTATCGCTGCGAATTGTCCATACCTAAATCGCAATGGATCTTTTATTTTTAAAAAATCTGAACAAATCGTGGATACCAGCTACTTATTAGCAAAAGTGTATTTGTCTGTTTTTAAGTCACGTATAACAGTCCAGTGCTCAATTAAAATTACCTAATGAACAATTTGAGCATGGCACAAGCGACCGGCACATCCCAGTGGTACGGGAACGTGGGGCCGCGGTCTGTGAACAGTTTCCGTAGTTGTTGCAGCTTGATCTTGTCTGGTTCCGCTCTGTAGATCTGGTTCGATTTGATGCCGTGTGCCTGTCCAAATTATGAATATCGTTTATTAGTATATTAGTTATTTTGTTGTTAGGTAGTATATTAGTTGTTATATTCAGAAGATATGAAATAAATAAATATATATATATAGCAGTGTGTTGTCCGCAGCAGAATCGAAGTGTAAACAAGTAGTTTATTGCACTTTTAAATACAAATTTTGAATACACGTTATAAGTTTTGTTTACAGAGGAGAAATTTGTAAATAAAACTTAATTGTTTAAATTAGAAGGAAAACTATCAACCAGCGAATGTTTTTCTTCTAATTTATTTATATAAACTATGAAATGTATTGGATCCACTTAACTGATTAAAAGCACTTTATTTTTTAAACATATTTAAGTACCTAACATTTGTAATTATGAATATGATTGCATGTTTTGGTCTGGGTATTTTCTATACATAATATGTCTGTACCATACGTAATATGTATAGAAAACACTCAACCAGTCACCTAAGATATAAGTATATCTATTAGTTCTCTAGTACCCATAACACAAGCTATGCTTCGCTTGCGACTAGATGGCACTGTGTGAATTATCCATGATATTATTATTTACCTGTAAGAAGTCGATGCTGTCGCGCACAACGAGAGGCAGCCCGGTGTCGTCATGGCATCTCGACCGCTCCACTGAGTGTTGCAGAGGAACGCCAAATATTGGCAGGGCCACTGTAATATGATTTACTATTGTATTCTTTATTTAAATTAAAGAGAAATATTATTAAAGAGTCATAGTTTCGTAGTTTTTTTTATACTACGATGTTGGAAATCAAATATACGGCCCATTTAACGTAGAGCGAATGAGTGCGAATTGAAATCTGGCCGACACGAAAAGAAAAATTATTCATAAATATGTAGACTTATTCTGACTATCTAGTCTGCCTAACTCTCCACTGATGAAAACACCATAATAAACTAGGGACTTCATCCCCGTGGAATTTAACTTTTTTTTATTAATACAAATAAAATTTCTAAAATAAAACTAAAACGAAACGTAAACGCCTAAGTTACTCTTTATAACATTAGCTATCTGCGATTGAAAGTCCCGTCAAAAGCGCTCCAGCCGTTTCAGAGATTAGCAAGAATAAACACAAAATATAGACAGACAAATATTTATATAAAATAACTTTTTGATTTAAGTACCGTATATAGCTTAAATGCACTTAGACAAAAGCTGTTAATTTGAAATTACAAACAGATATTTTAATTTTATTTATTTGTGTAAATTATTTAAAAAGGTTGGGTAAGTTCTAATGTTCAGATAATTAAAAGTATTGAGAGGCCCTATAATGCAAGAAATATCGTGTCGATCAACACGGTTAAGCAACGTTGAGTGAGGTCAACTGGGGTCACTCCTTGGACCGAATAATGGTAACTTGCGCTTCGGATAAATAACAGTTGTTAGTTCCAGTAATTTAAGAGGCGACTCAAAAGCGTGTCGGTAAGACTAAAGAAATTTCATAGTTTCCTTTATGCCTTTATGTTTATGCACAAAAAAAGTGATACGGCAAGAACGAGATGACTGCAAACACAAATGAATGGAAGAGAAAAACGAAAACTTTGCAATAAACAATAACTCGACAAATGTACCAAATCCGTGTAAGATACAGTCATAATATATGCTTATAAAGTCGTTTGTCCAGACTGACTATCAATGGGTATGTATCTTTACGGTTACATACCAAAAGTCACTAAACCTATAACGTAAACGTCTGTTAGAAAAAGTTGAAAATTTCTGAACACAAAGTGTGCCACAACAAATACAAATGTTAATATTTTTAAAGACATTATATTATGGTTTATGAAAAAGAATAATTAGTGAAAAAAATAAACTCACCATCTATAGTGTAATTGTCTAAAAAGGGGTTCATGTTGTACGAATGAAAGATGAAACGAAAAAGATCTAATTTGTTTGTGGCATGATGTTATCTGTGTTTTACCTTGATATCTGTTTGTGCCGTCATTTTCGTAGATATCACAGCTGACGTGTGCCACGCATGTGTATACTATATAGATATTGTGTTGTTGAAGGGTAAATGCATCAAATGCGCAAATCTATTAAGTTGTCAAAAAATTACTACGTTAAGTATTTTTCGAACAATCTAATACTATTTCAATAAATAGTTCTATATTTAATAAACTGTTCGTTCTCTCGAGTAATGATATGTTAGGTTGGTCATAACTAGCCTTACAGATTTACCGGGTGAAAATGGGGGCTATTGCTAAAATCGTGTGAGGACTCATGGAGCGAACGAAGGCCTAGTTATGCTTGACGTATACGTCTTCCGCTGAAGGCACCACAGCATGGTTAAACCTCGGCGCAGGTCATAGTAATTTCGATCCCCATTTGAATGGAACAAGGTGTCGATCAGAGATGAGTAACGGAAGGCGATAATTATACATCTTCTCATACATTTATCTGGTACCTACTCGTGGCCATTAAAATCAGCTGTTATTTTTTTGTCTTTTATTTTATACATGTATGTCTTCCGCACATTACTGCAGAATGTATATATTAATGTATTTACATTATATCGTGACAGCATGGACATTTAATGTTTCATTTATACGGATTTCTAATTACATTACTCGGCAAAAACATAATTCAAATCTTCGCGTTTAATACACATTATTTATATTGTACACCTGGTCTTAAACGAAGAGGGAGCCAAATACCTTTACTATTAAATTATTCGTGTTAAGACTCGGTTAACAATATAAATAAGAACTTAATTAACCCCATTTGATATATATTTTTAATAATGGGAATAGCAAACAAGCTTACGGTGCATCTGATTGTAAGTGGTAATAGACATCACATAATTATGTGAAGTCCACTCATGCGTTACTATTTCGGAGGATTAAGATGTCATGCCTCTTATCCTGTAATTTCACTAATTTATCTTACTCTTCAACCGAAACATAATGCAGGACAAAATATTGTTTGATACAGAGGAAATATAATTCTATCCAGATATTTTATCATTACATAAAAGCAATTAGTAAACACTGAAAATGTAAATTCACTTACCTCCTAAGGTAAATATTTCTTCAAATGGAACACCAGACGTCACAGTTGATGGCACTTTAGTTAATTTCTTATCCTTTTTGTCCTTGTCCTTTTCCTTTACTTTCTCTTTTTCCTTCTCCTTCACTTTCTCTTTATCTTTATCTTTTGTTTTTTCTTTCTTTTCATCTTTGAGTTTCTCCTTTGATTCTAGTTTGAATTTAGCTTTTTCTTCCTTTTCCTAATCAAAATTATTATAATAAATAAATATTTTAACGAAATAAAGATGATTACGTAACATAATGTTGATAATAAATTAAACAAGATTACTATACGATTATGCAGTTATATCTATGAATCGTAAAATAGTGTTTGAATCTTAGTATTATACACTTGATTAAGGTTAAAAACACTTGTTGACAAATGCATAATGACATACTTCGGCACCGTATATAACAATCTAAAGATGTAACTTTTATTTCAAAAGTAGAAAATTAATAAATAACACAATAATATACAGAAATTAAAAATTAAAACATATTAGCACCTTGGTGAAAACACAACGTAGATGATGCATGTTGCGATTTCAGAACAGAACTGAATAAAACATTAGTTATTCTGTGTGTATGTTTACACATCAAGGTTGTTCTATTCAATAAACAGTGAAATTATGCAAAACAATCGACCAGCCAACCGTGAAAGATTTCCATGAGATTTTCGTCATACCTTCACGCAGCTACATATATTTATCCCATAAACATGTACACACGTAACAGTACTTGTAGAATGGCATGTGCAGATTAGAAACAATCCTCACGTATTTATTTACCCGACTGCTAAAAAAGAAGCTTAAATTTTTTTCTTTTTCTTTATTTTTTCGGACGATTCTAAAATATTCGCCGCAGTTGGACTTTACTGCTTCACCGGATGATAGGAGGCGAGTGCAGATGACACTTCAAACCCGCGGAAGGACTTAAGAGGAGCGGCTGAAGGCCAACTTCCGCCTGACAGATACGCGGACAGATATACTGAGGACACTGTGAGGCACACCTGGGCTCAAGCCGTCGTAGTTTTGATCCCTGTTTGAATTGGATGGGGGATCGATAAAAAGCTCAGTTTATATGTATTCTAATATGTACAAGGTCATTTGAAAGGAATAAGAGCTGATTTTCTCGTCAGTTCTTCGCAGCTCCTAAGCACTCCGACGGTAGATATGACTGAGATCATAAGAGTTTGTAATAGACCAGAGACCTAGATGAATAAAGATGTTTTGATATTTGAATATCTAATACATTACATATGTTCCATTTTGTTATTCCTTTTATCACGTTATTCATTATTATTTGACACTACTTTTATATAAATTGCATGGTAAACAAGCTGACGGCAACCTAATGTAATGTGGTATACGTTGCCTATATACATAAACAGATCGTTGACGTCACAGTGTGTCGCCTTTTATGAGGATTAAGTTGTTATAGGAACTGGAAAATGGCTTGCAAAACAAGCTGATGGTAAAATTAAGTGCCATATGTTACATTTTGTAATATAAGATAGATTTTGAATTTAAGATAGTAATCATTTTTGTTCGATTTGATACGCTGATCTTTGCAGCAATTTTCAAGGCATAACAACTTACAGCTTGAAATAAATCCAGAGTACTGAAGTTAAAATAAATGAAATAATTTATTTGAGAAATATTGGTATAGTAGAGAAGATGTTACATTAAAATATTATTGATCACCATATATTTATAGAAATAGGTATGCAAATGATATGAAAGTATTCGCATTTGTTAATGATTTTTGGACACTGTTCCAATTAATAAGCAACAGTCAATTTTTCAGTACAGTTTTGTTTGAACTTAATAGAATTGAACAGACTGAGGGTTTTAGAGAGATTTTAAGTAAATCGAAATAATATTTGATACAACGATGAATATGATACCTTAAAGTTAGGTATAGCTTAAAGCAAATTACTTGCTTATGATCAACAATAAGTGCACTTAAGTGTATATAATATATCTCGCGTTGAGTATAAGAGAATCGTCGTAACAGTTTATAATAGGCAAGAATGTAGTAAATACACCTATCAAAGGGGACAGTATATTCTGCAATTTGTTAGTATTCATGGATAAGATTTTTTTAACGAATGATAAGGTTATGGTGAGCCTGCTTGCGCTAAACGTTTACGCTGTCGGGACACCAGTGGAGGATGATAATGATAATGAGCATGAGCATGCAAAGAGGTTTCTAGAATTTCCTTGAAATTTATCAGATATTTATCACAATTGTTTCTAGGCGGAACCGAATGGAGGTCTACCTGACTGGTGCATTGCTAAAAATGGGGTCATTTTTTAACATTACTAACAATCCCTTTCAATATATTGATCATAGTTAGTACTTTCCATAAGATAGGCTGTTGGCTTATTTTGCTAAAGTGGTATAAATAAATACACAATCTAAAATAAATAGGATCTTATCAGTGTGTTATCACGGTTATTAGATACGCAGATATTATGAATTGGTTTTTAGTGTATAAAATTGGTAAGGGTGTTTACTAAATTTGTTATGGATTACTAATAATTTTAATGACTTACTATTTTTAGCCCGTATAAAGCTATAAACCAGTTTTTTTTATAAGCAATGGTACTGCGGTTAGATTATATATCTCTTATTAGACATAGTTTTAAAATTTTTAAATAAGTTGTAATTAAAATATACACTCCAATATTTATCAAATTAATTAAAATACAATCTTTTTATAAAGATTTTTGTATCTTTAAAAGTGTTATAATATCATTAATACATTTTTGCCTTTTCTTCTATATAATTACCATGGAAAAAGGAAAATATTTTATTCTACTTTCTGTATATCCGTAATTCTACAGAATTAGTTACACTTTTTTAGAATTATGAATATAGACGAGTAAAGTTCGTAATCCGAACAACTGAATAACATTGTGCCTATTCTATTGTATAATTCAGTTTAATTTAATTTAATTTTAAGAAATAATAAATTAATTTTGATACTCAGTGTGTAAGAAAGCAATATTTTATCTTTCCTTTTCATCCTTAGGATGTCGCAGAAGGTGGCTATAGTCAGAAGTGTAATAAATGGAAAACTAATAATAAAAACTGTGTCCACAAACCACAAGTTAGAGAAGCGATATGTATTGAGTTACATATTTCACTGCAAATAGCATGCATACTAAAAAAATAAACAATATTGCTCGAATATTAATGCACTATTAACCTACTTTACTTCAATCCAAACATTTGAAATAACTTTTGAATTGTAATAATTAATATATGTATACATATGTAGCTACGTGAAGGTATAGGTTTTTTTAATTTATTAAATATCACATCACTGAAATGTCACTGGAAATTCATAAAAAAAATGTGGAATTTTCACGAAAACTAACACAATAAACGCACGGTATGACCGCTGTACGACGAGGCAACGTTGACAATGAAACGATAGGCGACTTTACCAGACTGACTCATGGCCTTTTATAATACTAGTAGAATTGTTGAGCGCTATTGCGTCGCAATAGCGTTCACTTTCTATGGCGTAGGTTTAGATTAAACTATTGTTTCGCCATGACATCGTTTAACGATGGCGAATGTAATATGTGTGTTTGATACATTTTCACACAACGAAATAAAAAAGGATGAATACAAAATATTATTATATATTATATTAATACGTGAAGCGAAAACTTTGTACCCCATTTTACTAATTTTGCGTGGGCGAAGGAGTCTGAAATTTCGCACACTTATAGTTTATATAGTGTGTGCAGATTGCTAATATATTTTAAATAGCCAAAAAATACAATAAAAACATTTCACACTATACTGAACTTATATAAGTATACTCTTTTGTTCATTGTGAAGTCTGTGGTTAAATTGAGAACAGATTAATGTTATTTGTCTATAGTCTTACTGAATGTTATTGTAATTATGGCCGATAATTGACCTTGGTATTCATGGGTATGACAGTTTGTATTGATCTGGGTATTGATCGTGGCCTGAATGTTATTGTAATTTTACTAATTTTTTATGCAAAATAGAGGCAACTAGTAAAATAAATAATAAAAATAATTTACCTTATCTTTCTCCTTCATTTTCTCTCGTTTTTCCTTTTCTTTCTTCTCCTTTTCCTTCTTTTCTCTTTCCCTTTCCTTCTCCCTTTCTTTTCTTTTTTCCTTTCTTTTTCATTTAGTTCTTTTTGTTTTGCCGCATCTTCTAACACTTTCTCCTTGTCTCGTGATTTTTCACGTTTTTCTTTGCTTTTAGTAGGGAACTTAAAAGATTTTGTCTTTTTTGATTTAGATGGACTTCTGCAGCAATAAATTGTGTGTTTGTTAAACAAAGTCTTTTATTTAACCAACAATAGATATGGGAACACCTTTAATTTTGTGAAAATTTCAAATCTAATACATATTTGGAAGCTAAACTAGATACCAAATATTTATTTTATTAACTATATTGTGGTTCAAAACTTCACCAAAGGCATGTATCATTGGTTTCTTTAGAGTAAGAACTTAGTAATCTATGCTCATTACATGGCTAGAATTTTAATTATATTCCATAGCATATTATTAACATATTATGTAATATAAATCATATGATATGCAATGTGTGAAATTATACATATTATACATACTTGGTATCAGTATCTTCTTCTGGAGAGCTCTCTCCTTCCAGAGCAGCATAACCTCTATCTTTTTTGGACTCTTTTTTGTCCTTACGACGTCCCAATAAATCCTTTTTGCTTGGTTTCTCATGGTCACCTCCATCACTGACTGGTATATGAAATAATATATACAATAAGACAAAGAATCAAACAAAATATATTTTTGTTGGAACTGGACTCACCATAAATAGTAGATTTGACTAGTATCTGTAATAGACAGATTCTAGTCAAATCTACCATTAATAGTGAGTTCAGTTCGGAATGTAGATTCAAGTAAAGAAGACAATAGTAACAATTATTTCATATTTTCGATATGTGGTTTGGAAATAGTATTAATCTTTATTAAATAAATAATATAACTTTAAAATACTTTACTTTAAAACAGTACAGTTTATTCTACAATAGTTATCATAGGATAACATCCTACTGTAATGCGGAGGTCTGGATTAGATTAGTATTGAATTTTTATAATAGGGCATTACTGACTAACAGCTTATGCAGACATAGCACCAGTTGTGGATGTTAGGACAAGCACAAAGTCAGGTCACAGTCACTCTTTGTGGCAAATTCACAAGGAATTATGAGTGGTTTACTGTATGGAGTTCATCCTGACCTGACTCTAAAATGCACCAGATTCTCTATGGAGTGTGGTTATCAAGGGCCATAAACTTCTCCAGTGGAAGCCAATATATTCAACAATGTTAGACAATGTTTATCAAATGGTTGGATCGTGCGAAAATCGAACCCGCGACAATCAGAAAGCAGTGTGCTAAACCGGTCCATCACAGAGGTCGTTAATAAATCAATATAATGAACATTCCATATTTGTGACGATATCTTCAAAATTTACTGAGTAAATACGTAAATACAGCTTTAAAAAGGATATGTATGTAATGTAGTTAGATTTTTGAGATTTTGGTATCTTGGGTATCATTTTAGGGTTATGTAGAAAGCTTGCAATTGCAGAAAAAAAGTTGAATAACGTTATGAATAGGTGACTATTTACAATTTCCGGTAGAAATGAACTTCGAATTATCAGAACCGTGAAATTAAGTTTTCTTCAATCAAGTACTCACAGTCACTTTCATTACTTTTACGTCCTGCTTCAGAAGCATATAATCCCGGAAAATCTTTTTCGACATCAGGACTTTCGAAATCCATTATGACATTCCTTTTGTTCGTGTTCCGGTCACAATTTCAATACTTCATTTATTATTATTTTTGCAAAATGCAAACTTGTGAAAGTATATTTATTTATTTAATCGATTAATTATAATTACTTCTTCCATCATTCATTCAATTTCCATGACATTGATAATTTAAATGACAGCCCGAACAGCCGATAAAAAAGGAATCTCGTACATCGCCATGCGAATTCATTCGAATCGGTTTTTCAAGTTTGGATCAGTGTCATTTATAGACTGACAGCTTATTATCAGACACCTGTCAACCATTGACATTTTTCTAATCAACATGACGTTTAGACGGAACGTGACGTGTTGTTTTGTTTGTTCTCTGTCTCTATCAGTCATGTTCACGAATGTGAATTGAAATTTTAATAAAATTAAATGGTAAATATAAGTATTTTTCTTATTACTCATTTTATTGATAAGTTTATTTAATTTTTTTTTGGTGTTAGTTTTACCCTTTCTTTTCTGCCCTCCAATTTAGTCGTGGTATGAATACATTAACTGTAATAATTTCTGATTAAATTAAATTTGTTTTATTTTCATATTACTACAGGTATAAAATTAACAAATGGCATGGTTTGCGGAGCTCGCTGGGAAGGCGGAGAGCCTGCTCAACAATCTAGATGAGCAGACCGGCGCGGCTCTACGAAACCATAACAATGCACCAAAACATAAAAAACACGAAATCCCTCCCGAGCCAGCTTGGGCACAAAAGAAGAGGCCAATACCGCGAAATCTGAAGAAGCCCTTTACTGGAACCGATACTAGATCTAATGCTGTTCCAACCAAGAAAACATCACCTATGTCCCGTCATGAATCCCATTCACCTATAAAAAACAGTCAAGCAGTTCCGAGAGAACGGTCTCCAAAGTCTCGAAACTCACCTGTTAGGAAGCCTAGACAATTCACTCTAAATCATTGCCCGAATACTTTAGTTGGTGATTACAGTGATGATCAGTTTGGTTTGAAACAGAGGAGTAAGTTATCCTTTACATTTATACATAGTTTAAGAACCACACATTGATGTTAGCTTTCCTACTACTGGACAGATTTGTATTGATATACGTATGTACAGGTGTATTCCATGGAATATAGTTTGTTAATATGTTTAAAATAATAATATACCTGTATTTTTGCTTAAAATTTGCCATCACAAATTAATATTAAAATGAAACAGTTATTTTATTATATAATTATTGATCGTAAAAACTACCAACATTCTCATTTATTTATTTCTAATTAGAGAATATTTAATTAACACATATTTATAAAATTATTTTTAAAGCAATTCTGTTATTGTTATAAATGTAAAGGTTTATTACAATGGGTAGGAATCAAGTGTAATTTTATATGCTAAGAGATCATTTTCTAAATAAATAAACAGGACACTTATTTAAAATAATGTGGGTAACACCACAGGCTAGTATTCAAGTATCAAGAATATTATGCTCTAAATTAGTTTCAAAATAGTTCACTGTATAAATTAAATATTATTTCTTTTCACAGGACATAGCTTGCCAACAGATTTAGAACTGATAAGTAATGAAAGTTTGATATATAAAATGCAAAATTTAGAAGTAGAAAATGCCATGCTCAAAAATGAACTAAATGTAATGAACAGAGAGGTCTCCGAATTGCTAGATAGGTTACGGAAAACTGAGGATGGTAATATTTTTATTAATGGTTTTAAAGGTAAAAAATATATGATATTAGATTATTTCTCTTGGCATGGGCACTAACAGTAAGCTATTCTATTTGACATTTAACTATTTAACAAGCTTTATTAACATAACTAATGAGAAAGGAATTAATTGAATACAAATTTGTATAAAGGAACATTTTGTAACATTTAATATGTAATTTTTAATGTATTTATAAATATATTTGTCTTGTAAGTTTTTATACATCTAAAGATTTCTTACTGCATGAAGATGGTCACATAGACATACTATTTACATAGTTGGTTATGGTTGGATAGTCTAGACTTCTAGAGAAAGTGATGCATCCACTTTCCTTAATATACTGTATACAGCAGTGAAATTTATGTGTATTCTGGCATGAACTACCTATTATCTACTAATTATGCCTTCTTTTCTGTAGACAAATGGTATAAAATAATATTTAATGTATTCACATTACTAATAATTTTTTTATTATTCATTTGAAAGCAAATTGAATAGTAAAGATTTTTAGCCCTTAATTAATTCGAGGTAATGATCATGTACCTATATATTTTTGGTTGTTAAGGTAGTGAAGTTAAAGGGTGTGGCAATGCATAAGTGATACCATGTCATCTTACTTATTACTAACTAGCTTTTGGCCGCGGCTCCGCTCGCGTTAATTTATGCCCTTAGGGGTGGAATTTATCAAAATCCTTTCTTAGGGGATGCCTATGTCATAGTAACTTTATATATATATTACTAATTTAACTAATATAAATGCTGACGCTTGAGAGTGTGGATGGATGCATAGATGTTTGGTGCTCTTTCATGCAAAAGCTACTAAATAGATTTGAATAAAATTTTACATATAGGTTATACAATATAAATATTATGCGGGCGAAACAGCGGTATTAACGGTATAAGCGGTATTAACATAGTATTTTATTTTAGAGTTAAGCAAAACACATATTAAATTAGAGAGTTCGGAACTTCTAAAGCAGAGGTCTGAGCTAGACAAGGACGCAATGAATACCCATTTAGATCAACTGAAACAGAAGATAAATGAATTGACAAATGTAGATATAATAAAATATAAGGGGCAAATTCAAAAGTGGGAGACAGAAGTTTCGGTATTAAGAGATTCCAACAAGGAATTGGAAGATAGGTCAGTACTTTTATTTTATTTTTTATAAAATACAATGTGAGGTAACTGGACACCTACTATTAAGGTCTTCCAGACAAGGACGATTTTTATATTGTGTAGCTGAGGGCTGAACAGCCCAAGCTGTAGGGGTTCACAGTAGAATGTCACAGCGACCCCATCACCCTGACATTAATAGCACTCAAAGGTTCCTTGTGGTTTTTAGGAGGTAACTTAAATAATGGATATTCCTTCACTTGTTTGAAATAAGCCATGCTATATTATAGCTATATTATATGTTCATGTCCTCAACATTCTAATAGCAATATTTAATGTTATGTAAATATAATTATGTTACCCAACAAGACCAAATTGACAAATATATATTTATATATATATATATATATATATAGAGATAATAGATATAATAAATGTAGTATAATAAAGGACTATTCAAAGTTGCCTAAATATAATTTAATTAAATAATGGTTAGTTCTATACCATTCAAAATAATCTTAGTATAATTTTATTTTGTTTTATTCAAGAGTACAACAATTAACCGAAAAAGTTCAGGAAAATCAGTCGGCGCATATCAAATTAGAAAACGAACTGAGATACGCACAATCCACAATCGGGGAGTTACAAAATGATCTAGAAAGATCTACTGCAGAGTGTCGAAGACTCGAGAAAGATTGGGATGCTTATAAACTTAGAGTGAAAAGCATGCTGTATGCTAAAGACAGCGAGATAAAGGCGTTACAGCAGGGTGATAATGTCGCGGAGGGTACTAAAGAGTTGATTGAGCAGCTGGAGAGTTTAAAGTAAGGAACATAATCAATACTAATATGTAAAACTGAAGTTTTGATTAAATCAATAAATAAAGTATTACACATACTATATTTATATTATATGATGATTGATGACAAAACGTAAATGACAAATATTGTTAATTTTCAAATCTGCGAATCGAGATTTGTTTCTGCGCTCTTATTTTTGTATATGAAGCAAGTCTTAGACAATAGAACCTTAATAATGATCAAACTTATTAATTAAATTTATTATGGTCGATTTGCCACCACTACGCGACTACTAGTATGAGGAATAACTTATTTAGCAAAATTAAATACATAAAATGTAGTATCATATACACTACACTGTCATATATAACAAAATTATATCATATAATATACACCTTAAGGACTAACATGGAAAATAATAAGCATATAGTCTCCCTTATCTCTCTACAAATAAAATATATATTGTAGAGAGGAACGTGACGAGCTGTCGGAGTGTGTGTTGCGTGTGCGCGGCGATTGCAGCGAGATGCAGCAGCAGGTGGGCCAGCTGGAGGGTCAGCTGGGCGCGGCCGGCCGCGCTGTGGCAGCGTTGCGGGACGCGCTGCGGGACGAGCGCGCAGCACGGAACCGCGCCGACACGCAAGCACGCGCTCTTGCCAAGGTAATTTTTATGAAGTGAAACTACACTACTTCTTAAGTTAAAGTCTATTGTATTTCTTTTAGTTTTTTTAAGTAACCCTCTCTAGGCTTTAATTCGTATTAATATCCGGGGGTAGTCGCTCGCGGACTTGATTCCAAAGCAAAGGGGTTCGCCCCGAGGCCCCAAATTTCTTCCCACTAGAGGGGTTCGGATGACCAGTGTCAGTCGGCTTTTGCCAATGTAATATATTTGAAGTAAAACTTCTATGGATAAATTGATATATTAGGATCAGTCACCTTTGAGTTATATATATTTATAAATATTTTTAATTTGAAACATCTTTCTATTTTAAAGGAGTTAAAGTCCGTCCAAATCGAGACAAGTCAAACCATAGCTGGTTTACGCACCGCTCTTCGAGATAAGGATACCGAATTAAACCACCTTCGCGATACCACCTCCTCACTTCAGACCACAGACACGAGTGCACTTAATGTTGCGGACTATGACACCATGCAGAGCAGCATTGACAATGATAAAATACATTATTTAACGGAGACTTTAGTCCAGAAACAGGGGAAAATAGACTCGTTGTTAGCAGATAACAATATGCTCAAAATACAGCTCGATAAATTACAGGTATTGTTAAGTATAATATTTATTTTATATTTATGTAATAAAATTACTTTCTATGTTTACTCTACTATTATTTGACGGCCTTGATCTGGCGGATTGGCACACCTCTTTACTGACAATGGCCGCGGGTTCATTTCCTCTCACGGTATAAATTATTATTAATGAATATGATTGTATGGATCTGGGCGTTATATAGACCATCGGAATAAAGGCGCTATGCTAAATCGCTAGAGTACCGAGGCCGTATTATTGACTGTACTCGAGGTACTACTTTTGTCCCGTGCTTATGCATAAATATATGCCTGTTTCTTTAGGTGCTTATAAACATTTATATCAATATACATGATATTGACTAGTATTATAAATGCGAAACTGTTCGTCTGTTTCATTGTTATTTTCACGCCTAAACCTAACAATAAAACGAGGAAATACTAATTTTTTTTATAGAAATACATGGCGAAAGTCATAGGCAAATTTTTGATACGAATATAAAATCTGAAGATGAATTTTTTTGTATAGGGAATAAATAATTTTTCTACTACACTACTATATACTAAATAAAAAATCATTATAAATATAAAAAAAATAATCTGCTCAAATTACTATTTCTACGCAGAGTAACGGTTATTAGCTAGTGTTGTATGTTTGTCTCTGTCCACTCGGTATTAAAATACTAGTTGTAAAACCGGTATAATTAACAGTATTACGAACGAGTTTTACTCTAAGGATCCGTATATATACCTCTGTTAATGTAAAACATTATATTTCTTTATTTGGTCATCGAGTAATTAAAATAATAATTTATGTAAAATGCATTCATCTGTGTACATAAAACGCGGTTTCAAAAAAGCTCCTCTTTCCTACCATGTACATTTAGATTGTGGTATAAAGTACCTGCTGAGGTTTTCCAGCGAAGAATTATACTATGACATATTTTATGTTTTTTAATAATTAAAAATTAAAAAGACAAAAACTTCGTTTTTTATAGTAATATATTGTTATTACTTATCCTACATTATCCCATGTAGCAAGTAATTATTATATTAATGAAGCAAAAACTTTGTACCCCTTTTTACAAAAATTGCGATGACGGAGGAGAAATGAAATTTCGCACACTTATAGTTTATATAGAGAAGGAGTACAGACTCCTAATGTACTTTTTTTACAACATTACACACATAACTTTTATTTGATACACACACACATATATACTCTTTTGTTTATTTATTACTAGCTGTGCTCGGGGTTTTCTCTGAGTGCAATTTATATTCTGATGTATGTTCTGGATTTAGTTCCCTCGTCAGGTAAAATTTTGGTAATAAAATAAATATTCTTCTTAATGTAATGACGTATTTTCAAAGATAGCCATAATAAACATTTTCTATTGTACAAAAGCATAGATAAAAAATAATAATTAGTTATGTAGTGTTGACCGTACAGAAAATTGAACGAGCTATATTATTGTAAAAGTCTCAATAAAATCCATTCAGTAGTTTTTGCGTGAAAGTGTAACAAACATCCATCCATCCTTCCACATTCATAAATTTTCAAGTTTATAATATTATATAAGATTGCTAGTTCAAAGATCTTTTTGTATTCTTTTTATTATGGTCGAATATTGACTACCACTAGTATATATAATGTGGTAGCACCTTTTATATATCTCTTACAGTCAAAATTTAAATGTGAGGTGTCCAACATGAGGGTCAAAAACGCCCACAGCGTGGTGAATTTGCAGGACAATGAAAGACCACGTAACCGCCTGGAGACGACCTCTGGCATCGGCAAACTATCGTTAAGAATAGGCCTTATTCTAAAGAGAAACCCCCTGTTTAGAGTATTTATCATAATTTATATGGTAAGTACCTATAATGAAATATTAATGTATTCTCTGTAGTTTATGTATTTATATTATATGTATATAATATTATTGTTTATTTTATTGTGTATATTTTAATTTATTTTCGGACTACTCTATAACTGTTGGTCGTAGGTTTGCAGCTTCACCGGATGGTAGGTGGCCAGTGAAGATGGCAATTTAAATCCGTGGAAGGACTTATGGAGCGGGCGAAGGCCAACTCCCGTCTGACGGATACGACGTTAGTCTGAGGGCATCGCTTGGTGTTCGAACCTCGATTCAAGCCGTCGTAATTTCGATCCCCGTTTGAGTCGGACGGGGTATCGATCTGAGGGGATATAATTTAATTATATATGTACATAATTTTGTTTAGTTATTTATATAATAAAGTGTTATTGAAATTGTTTTTCGCCAGGACTGCCTACAACGCTTTCTATTTCTACCTTCTACATTTTGTACAATTTTGTACATATGGCATTCTTACCAGATAAACTTTTTATCTGGTAAGAATGCCATATGTACAAAATGCGAGCCTAATGCCATAGCATTATGCTCGCATTTTGTACAATTTTATTGTGCAACGAAGTATATTTATTATTATTACTTACAAATTATATTCAAGTATATAAAAGTCAAGTAATTTGATTACGTACAAGATAAATCATACACCAGAGGGGAGAGGGCTAAATTCAACAGGAATGGGATAATAACAGGACCTGATAAATTATAAATCTATATAATAATTTTTATATATTTCTCAGTGTGTATTTTAGTTTGTTTTTTTTTTCAGATCGGTCTCCATTTCTGGGTGCTCACTGTTTTGTTAACAAGCACACCGGAAGAAACTAGACCTAGCAAGTCGTGAAGTCACAAACAGCTTTAATTCCAATAGCCATAATATGTTTTAGAAGAAAATAATGTAATAATAATTATAATCTCAGACTATAGCCAGCAGTAACAGTTGACACTTTAAGATAGTATATTATAAAAAAAAACTGTATTTACAGAGATTTCTGAATCAAAGTGAATAATTTACCTTACTATCAAGGCACAATCCAAACTGTGTCTTAAAAGCTTTATTCATAGATTTATTTTATAACGCTGGACTTATAATAATTTGTTAAGATTTGTTATTTAAAAATTGTAAACCGCGCGTGTAAGTTTGCAGGTTAAAGCCATTATAGTATAAAATAACTGTCTTGAGCAGAGCGTGTTTAAACAAAAGGAGATCTTATCGCTGACATAATTCTTACCAGAACTTGTTAAACTAATAACGACAGACATAGTGTAGTTTTCGAAAATAAAATTGTTCTCAGTCTAGTTTTTTATATATATATGTCGGAGTAGGAAAGCAGGAATACTTTTTAAAAAGCTGCAGAACCGTTGACCTATAATAGGATCATCGGTTCTACTAGTGGTAGTAGTTTAACATTACATTAAAATAATAAAAGAACAAGCGAAATTAGATTAGTTTATTATTATAATAATAATCTCTAAATATGATTATAGTCTATCTTTCATTTTATTTTATAACACAATACTTTTCTAATGTGATTATAATTACAAATCGATTCTACTAAAGTAACAAGAGTTTTCAACTTACTTCCACGCCGCTCGAGCACCGAACACAGAATGAATCTTATTCACAAGACCAGCCATGTGGTCAAAACGTGTTCCCTCCAACTTGAACGCGCGCTCAAGTCGGAAGGTGTCGATCGCCACAGTGCCGGAAGTAAAATACCATTTTTGCCTAAGGCTTATAATTAAACAATAATAAAGCGGCATAATTACTTAAATTACCGTCTAGTTATTCTAATAATATTAGCAATTAAATAAAGCCATAAACTTGTAATATTAATAAATTTGACTTACACTATTAACCGAATCATCCGGATGTTTTTCATGTTGATTTTAGTTAACAACTTAAATGCAAAATAATTGAATGTTACATTATTGTTAAAAATAACTTTATGGTATTTAAATTTAAATCAAGATGATTGCATTATTTTCTTTTAAAAATGGTTACAAGATTTTATCAAAGTTTTAATTATTGTGAAGGAAATCCGCACGCAAATGGCGGACGTTACGCAACATCCGACATTCGCTCGACATAGATAAATTTATTTACAATTCACATAACAATTGCTTAATTCATAATAAATTTTAACATTTAATTTAGTTTTTACTACATTTAGTAATTTTAAATAACAAACATAAGTTATTAAAAAGGACTGATAATGACGCCATCTAGCGGCATTAATTGAAGCGATTATGCGTTGATATTAAGCCGCATGGTAGCTCCATCTATCGTCCTTATATTAAAGATGTAATGAATGTGATTCAGTTTCTATTAATGTTGATAATCAATATGGTAAATCAACAGCAGATGCGTCATTCATCTCCTTATTTTTATTTTGTGGGTTATAATGTAGCTGCGGCGACACGGCCATTCTGATGTGCAATGCGTGCTCTGCATTGCTCCATGTTACCTGGAAATAAAACAATTTTTCTGAGGCTTGGCACATTCAGGGTACCATTCAATCATTTAATGTAGAGAGCATACAGCCAAATTAGTAAGTAGAAGTAATGATAGTAATAATAGTAAGGTCAAAATTTATGACTGCTCATTCCACATGACAACAGTCGCAACTATAGTCAGAATATTCTTAATTAGTTATCATATCACGGCTCACTCCACGTGAAAGCAGTTATAAATGATAAGTTAGTTATGTAATTAGGTTTATATTAGTACTGTTCACTCCACGTGACCACAGTAGTCTTTTTTTTTTTTTTTTATTATTATTATTTTCTTTCTTTGCTTTTTTTTTTTTTATTATTATTATTTTTTTTTTTTTTTTTTTGTTTTTTTTTTTTTTTTTTTTTTTTTTATTTTTGGGAAGGATGTGACGGTGAAAGGTCGATGCTGTTTTCACAGAGGTCCTAAGGGATTGGGTAGGTCGATGCTGTGCTCTAGGCGGTCCTGAACGCCGCGGTACACAGAGGCATTTTATTCTTTTCGGATAGGATTTCTTACTATTGGACGGCTCCACACGCCAATAGTAATTAATAATATTTGGCCAACTGTGTTGCCAATCATAATATTTGGCTATTGTACGGCTCCACACGTCAATAGCATCTTTTGTTTTAATAATTATATTGTTTTTTTTTTTTTTTTTAATTTTTTTTTTTTTTTTTTTTTTTTTTTTTTTTTTTTTTTTTTTTTTTTTTTTTTTTTTTTTTTTTTTTTTTTTAGATTATATTAGGTTAATAGTTTTGCAACAAAAATAGAAATTACCAGATTTGAACAACGAGCTATTCGTCGTTTTCCAACATGCCAGCAGACGATTGTTACTCGCTACAATGTTGAAGACTGAGTGGTGTAGAGTGGTCAGGTAGCGCAGGGCTCCCGACAGGCGACACGGCCGCCTGGGCGCCGGCTGCTGGCTGCGGCGCTCGCCTCAGCTGATCGTGAGCGACCTTGCGTGGTCGACCGTAATGACCTACTACCTTTTTCACGAGGTAGCGATCATTTTCTAAAACTCTATATACTTCATAAGGGACACTAAATTTGAGGTCAAGGGATGTTTGGTTTCTAGGATTATTTTTTATTAGTACAAAGTCGCCGCGCTGGAATTTGTGAATTTGTGCGCGACCTCTATCGAATCTTTGCTTGTCTTTTACAGCCAAGTCAGTCATTCTTTGTTTAATATGTTGTTCTAATGCTACTACATCGATTGAATTGTTATCAAAATTAACTAGATTGAGAAGTTCAGGAGGTACGCAGTTTTGGCGTCTAGTCAGGAGTGTGAGTGGGGCTACTCCGGTTGTACGATGGACTGTGCAATTTAAAGCAAGTTGCAGACTTTCTAACGCCGTGTGCCACTCTGGACTTTCATAATTTTTTATAATTACGAGTCCGTTTTTTAATGTTGCCATTACGCGCTCGACTTGTCCATTGGCTCTGCTAGCGCCTGGAGATATTGTATGTAACTCAATGCCAAACCTGTCACAGTAGTTTTTGTATTCGCCGAGAAATTCACGCCCTCCATCAACTATGATTTGTCGTGGTGCTCCAAATAGATGAATTACACGTTTGAGCGCTGCGAGGGAGCTATGTTGACTTTTATCATTAGTATAATGAAACATAACATATTTAGTAAAGGCGTCTACTGTTACTACTACGTATTCTTGGTTAGCAGAAGTTCCGAGTTTACCAGTAATATCCATGTGTATTACTTCAAATGGGCTTGTTGGCTTAGGGATCGGATGTAGTTGTATTTGTGATGCTCCGGAGGTTTGTTTAGAGGTTCTACAAACAACACAGTTATCGACGAAGTCTCTAATAAAACTATTCATTTTATCGAAGTGATAACTCTCTCTTATTTTGTGTAAAGTCTTGTCCCACCCTGGATGTTTTAGGGCTGTGTGGTAAGTATTTGTAAGGCTCCATTGAAACGCCTTGGGAACTATTGTAAGGGTTTGATCACCTGCCACTGGGTCCGTTCTCTTAGACTTGAGTAGGCCATCTTCAAGGAAGTATCCAGTGACTTCATTGCCAGCATGGATGGAATCGATAATGGGCCTTAACTGCGCGTCGCGACGTTGTTCTATTTTTAGCCAGTCTAGATTACTTGACATGAGGTTGATAGTCAGAGGATCAGGATTCCTGCTCAAAAAATCTGCATGCTGCATCCGCTCGCCCTTCCTGTATTCTATATCAAAGTCAAAATTTTGAAGGTAAGCCCACCATCTATGTATTCTAGGTAATAAGTCTTGCTTGTGTTTAGAGGCTTTCAAAGCATTGCAGTCGGTAATTACTTTGAACTTACGTCCATACAAGAAGTGGCGAAAGTGTTTTATAGCTCTGACCACTGCTAGTGTCTCGAGCTCATACGAGTGATATCTACTCTCTATTTCTGTTGTACGCATGCTAAAATATGCAATGACATGTTGTCGTTCATTTATTAACTGAATGAGTATCGCACCAAAGCCTAGACTGCTAGCGTCAGTAAATAGCTCTATAGGCTTGCCTTCTTGGAATATAGTGAGGACAGGAGTAGAAGTGAGATGATGAATGATTTTTTGACGTGCCTCTTCATGTCTATGACTCCATTCCCACTTAGTCCCTTTTTTAGTCAGGTCGTACAGTGGTGACATAGTTCGCGCAAAATCAGGTATAAAACGACGAAAATATCCAGCCAAGCCATTAAATTGTCGTATCTGTTTTACAGTAGATGGTATAGGGGCCTTTATTAGAGCCTCTACTTTTTTTGACTCGGGCGAACCTGACCATTTTCTATTACGTTTCCAAGATACTCTATTGACCGTTTAAAGAATAGGCATTTATCAATATTTATAGAAAATCCCGATTCACGTAACGCTATAAAGATTCTCTCCAAGTAAGAGATGCCCGATGTGAAATCACGACATTTGGAGATGACGTCATCGATATAAACCTGGGCCACGCTATCGTTATGTAAGGTATTAGCACTACCAGGGTTTAGGAGCTGTCCTAGGGCTCGGTTTATACATCGTTGATACACGGAAGGTGCATTACAAAGACCGAAGGGCATCGTTAAATATTCATAAAGTCCGTCTGGTGTTACAAATGCGGTCTTTTCGATTGAGTCTGGCGAGATAGGTATCTGGTGGAAACCAGATGCCATATCAAGTGTGGTGTAATACTGCCCACCTGCCAGTTGATCAATCTGGTCAGCAATAAGTGGAAGAGGGAAATGGTCGCGTATTGTATTAGCGTTTAGCTCCCGATAGTCAACACACATACGGTCGTCTCCATTTTTCTTTCTTACTAGAATTATTGGGCTGGAATAAGGTGATCTGCTCTCACGCACTATATTGGCTTTGATGAGTTCCTCCACAATGTCTTTGACCTTTGTGCGTTCGACTGGACTGAGTCTGTAAGGTCTTCGCTCAACATATTTATCTTTATTTTTCAAACGGATTTCTAATTCGCCGGTTTTAACGCGCGTTTTTGAATACCCACGTGTGAAAAGTTCAGAATATTTGTACAATAAAGTAAGGAGTTGGTTAATTTGATGTTCGTCAGTCAAGTCGTGGTCAATTTTCTCAAATAAGGGGCTCTTTGACTGTATGTATTGAATACAAGGATTATAACAAAGTCTTGCTCTTTCTCTAGTTACGATTACACTAAGACCAGAACTATGTAGTATGTCTGCTCCAATTAAAACATCTGTTGTCATGTCGTGGTCAGGTAGAATATAAAACAATATCTCTACGTTTTGAATACTAACGTCGTCGATTATGCACACTGCTTTCAGCGTGGACGTGGAAATAATGGGAAATGGACCTATGCCTCGTAGGTGTGTGACTATTTGACATCTACGCCCGGGTAACTTATTCGCAACGGATTCTCGCATGACCGAGCATTCCGCACCGCTATCAAATACCGTGTTAATAAGTTTTCCACAGACACTCATACGCATTACATTTAAAGTATTTCCTTTATTTGCGAGTGAGTTTACATTAGAAGAAATCTCCTTTTCTCTCCGAAAGCAAGTATCAAACACGTGACCTGGTTTACCGCAAAACGAGCAGTGTTTAATATTGTGAGGTCTACCACTTTGAGGATTGGCTGCGTTTTTGTCATTGATTAAATTTAAGTTAGCAGATTTCTTATTACGACAATTATTCAACGTGTGACCAGTTCTTTTACAAAAATTACAATATTGCGCAGTATGCCTATGGTCAATTGTATATCGCGCACGTTTTTGGAGAGGTTGATCGACCCTAAGTTGACTTGAACGTTTACTACGGATAGATGAAGCAACCGAAATTAATTCTGGCACTGAGGTAGCTCTTGCGTTCATTAACTCTATTCTAAGACGTTCGTCACCGATAGTACCAAGAACAGCTTCAACAGCATCACTGTTATCTAACTTATCCTTAGTTACGCGTCTCCATAAAATCCACGATTGAGTTAAGAATTCGGCAATATCTTTAGAAGAATCATAGGTATGCTCTCTGAATTTAAGTACGTCTCTCGAATAGCGAGATTCAGGTTCAAAAGTAGTAATAATTATTTGCCGCAGCTCGTCCCAGGTACTGGTGGTCACAAGCCAGTTATCAGCCCATACTTTAGCACGACCCCTCAATAAGCTTGTCACTTTCATTCGTAAATCGTAATCAGTTAGCTGATAGGTGTTTTTAGCCGTTGAAATGTGGTTACACCATTCACGGACCCCAACGTTTCCATCGGGATCATAGGAAGGTAGGAAAACGTCAGTAATTTTAACCCTGTCAGATTGCTGTTGATTTAGTAGCCTATCACTCATATTTTGCATAACATTCATCATTTGTAAGAAAAAATTAGGTGGTACATCACCGGGCTGCTGTTGGAGTACCGTAGCTGTAGGGGCGCCTTGTTGAAACGGGCCTGGACAGGTTTCTATCGGTGCTGAAGGTGGCGACCTGGAAACACCGGTCACGTCCGCTTGTATCGTTGCACTCGCTGCAGAAGTATTTCGCTCGGTGTCACTCATAACGTAGCCGTAGGGTTTGGTTTAACGTCAGGATCTGAAAAAATGTTATGACCGGGGCAGAAAGGGGATCGCTGGAGCGATCCCACTTCTGATGTCGGAGTAGGAAAGCAGGAATACTTTTTAAAAAGCTGCAGAACCGTTGACCTATAATAGGATCATCGGTTCTACTAGTGGTAGTAGTTTAACATTACATTAAAATAATAAAAGAACAAGCGAAATTAGATTAGTTTATTATTATAATAATAATCTCTAAATATGATTATAGTCTATCTTTCATTTTATTTTATAACACAATACTTTTCTAATGTGATTATAATTACAAATCGATTCTACTAAAGTAACAAGAGTTTTCAACTTACTTCCACGCCGCTCGAGCACCGAACACAGAATGAATCTTATTCACAAGACCAGCCATGTGGTCAAAACGTGTTCCCTCCAACTTGAACGCGCGCTCAAGTCGGAAGGTGTCGATCGCCACAGTGCCGGAAGTAAAATACCATTTTTGCCTAAGGCTTATAATTAAACAATAATAAAGCGGCATAATTACTTAAATTACCGTCTAGTTATTCTAATAATATTAGCAATTAAATAAAGCCATAAACTTGTAATATTAATAAATTTGACTTACACTATTAACCGAATCATCCGGATGTTTTTCATGTTGATTTTAGTTAACAACTTAAATGCAAAATAATTGAATGTTACATTATTGTTAAAAATAACTTTATGGTATTTAAATTTAAATCAAGATGATTGCATTATTTTCTTTTAAAAATGGTTACAAGATTTTATCAAAGTTTTAATTATTGTGAAGGAAATCCGCACGCAAATGGCGGACGTTACGCAACATCCGACATTCGCTCGACATAGATAAATTTATTTACAATTCACATAACAATTGCTTAATTCATAATAAATTTTAACATTTAATTTAGTTTTTACTACATTTAGTAATTTTAAATAACAAACATAAGTTATTAAAAAGGACTGATAATGACGCCATCTAGCGGCATTAATTGAAGCGATTATGCGTTGATATTAAGCCGCATGGTAGCTCCATCTATCGTCCTTATATTAAAGATGTAATGAATGTGATTCAGTTTCTATTAATGTTGATAATCAATATGGTAAATCAACAGCAGATGCGTCATTCATCTCCTTATTTTTATTTTGTGGGTTATAATGTAGCTGCGGCGACATATATTTTTATTTTAGTAATAATAACAAAATAAAATAAACATAACTACCGAAATAAAAAACACTAAGAAATTGTAGCAAGAACCATCAAGATCATGTCAGCTTTCGAAAAAAAACCGCATCACAATCGATTTATTTAATTTAGTCCGTGTGTTTAGGAGCTGCGATGCCACAGATACACAGCCATGTAAGAATAATAACTCCTTTGTTTTTGTGTCGGAGGTTAAAAAATACTCAACATTATTGGAAAAATCTATTAGAAACATATGCAAACAGTTCACAATACAAACTTTGAGGTGTACATAATTAATATATACATATTAATGTCTGCGGTCTAATATACATATATATTTATGCAATTTAGTGTTCTATCTCTGTCTATCTCAATTCTTAGTTGGAATTATTGATAATGATACAATATTATGAACCTGTGTATAATAAGGTATGCAAATAATGAGGTTTCGTAACATTTTATGGTTTTAAAATAAAATTTTAAAACTGTATTATTATAATAACTGTTGAATAATCTTATTGCTAATAATTTTGTTCATATTTCTAAATGCACTGAGTTGTATTTAAAAAAAAGCAGTCTGGAGGATACACTTTGTAAATAACCACTAAGGTTGTTTTTAGATTAATAAATTTATTTATTGGGTATATTAAGTATGTATAAATTAATATAATACGGTTTATATTATTTTCATATATTGGTGCTATTAGAAATGTTTATAATTAAAATTAAGTGTAAAATGTATGAATACTATGTTGGGGTACATTTATGTTAGATGTTTTCTGAGGTTTAGTTTGACGTCCATAAAAAAACATCACAATTTAAATTGTATAAATATTGTGTTGTAAAAGGAATGCTATCACTAACGCATTTTTATTGTTATTTTTTTTTTAATGTGAATTTATTTTGTGTTTCAATACAGTTTATTGAAAAGCATGCAATTTATTGTACATATAAAAAACTAGAATGTAATGTATAGAAACTTGAAAAATGTTATTTCTAGACAAACCCATATAAAAAACAGTTGGTAAAAGTTATTGGAGAAACATACCGATACACATTACGACTTCTTCATACTTTTTAGAGAAGAAATGTGAATTATTCAATAATAATAATTGTAACTGTACCTGCTAGTTGTTACTTTGGATATTCCAAATGAATTACCCAATACTTCGTTTGCTTGTGGACAATGAATTGTGACTAATATTTCAACATTCGCTCATGAATGTTTATGACCATGTTTACTCGCTCATAAGTGTCAAAAAGTCAGATCTACGCTCAATAAATAAATTTCTTGAGGTCAAATAGTTTTATCTCACAATTTTATATGTAACGTTTTGTTTATATAGAATAGAAGAATCAATTAATCTTTTACAATAATTGATCGGATTTTTTATAAATAATATTATCATTATATAGTTAGATTGTGGTTTATTATGTACTAGCTGCACCCGCGACTTCGTCCGCGTGGAATTTAACTTTAGTTTTCTAAAATAAAAGTAGCCTAAGTTTACTCATACAGTTACTGATTTATGATAAAAAAAAGTTTCAATTCCATACGTGATAATCAATGAAAGAGTAAACCGACATTCGTATCGATTTATTTGGTTAAGTTCTGGTCTTGTTTCAGCCAAATCAACTTGTGTTGCATTCATGTTTGAAAAGAACAGTACAAATGTTGAATTCGATATTGGACTCCAGGGTAGATTTGCAGGGTAAACAATTTCAGTTCCTACACCGAGGTTACATGCCCAACTGCAGTATATGTACTTATGTTTTGATACGTATAATTATATATTATTTATTTGTTTATTTTCACATTACTTCATGATAGACATGTCAGTTGGGCCTAATCTTCAGTATTTCAACCTTTAAGTTTTACTTTAGTCCACGTAATATACCTATCTATGTGTTACTCAATGTTTTATTTTATAATATGTATTTATTACGTATAAATTTACAAATTTAATTAATTTGCTAGAAATAACTTATTTAAATAAATTTTGTTTACTATCTTATTCTGACTTGCCGTTTAGTAAATTATCCTATTTTTGATTTCCAAATAGATAGTAAATTAATGACCAATAAAATGGAAAAATTACAATTCATCGTGGCTTTATATTAAAATTCGTCACAATATACATACTTATTGTAAAAAAAATGTGACTCGGAAAGGTCCGAAAGGAAAAGGTTCCGAGTCACATTTTTTTTATTACAGTATAGTTATTAAATGTATATAGAATACTAAATAATATGCAATATTTCAGTGATCATTAAATAAGTATATTTTGAATATTAATTTGTTAATACTTTTGGTTGTTGTGAAATGTAATATAATTATGATTTCAATAAAATTTTTATTTGTTATTTGTACTTTCATTGGCCTCTATTTGTTAGATGAAACGCCTGTGCACGTTCTTATGCCCAATTTACACTCAGCCCGAGTGGGCAGGGAAGAGAGCAGCGCGAGAGTGGAAACACTTCCCATACCATTAGCTCTGCCACTCGTTCTGCACGGCGCTCCGTTGATTGTCGGTTTTTCGTACGCGATTCAAAGGATTGGCAGTGCGAGTGGCAGCGTGTTTTTACCTTCAGCCCTCTCGCTCAGTTGTCGCCCGGCAATATTTCCGGCAGCGCGAGTGGCAGGGGAAGCGGCTGAATGTAAACGTAGCATTATGTATTCATCGGGATCGAGTAACTGTTTAGTAATACAAATGTATCAAACAGACAAACATTTATAATGTTGTTAATGATGAATGTCAATGACCCTAGTTTTCTTAGATACTATTAGGTATAATAAACTTTCAGCCGACTCCACTGAGGAGAATATATTATAAAGATTTAATACTATTCTATTTTTAAAATACGTACTGATATAAGTATCTATGTTATGCCTTTTTTTTAGCATTCTTTCTTCAAACGAAACCGTTTGTTTATAATTTGTTATAATATTGTAATAGGAATGTTAAACAGTCTGACGGCCCTATTGATAGTAACCGTCGCTTATATACCTAACTGTACCACGGACATCACGTCATCATGTAACGTTCGTGGTTACTTGTTACTATTCACGCTTTGCCATTCTATAAGACATTACCTTATCTGTGGCAAGACTAAGAAGTAAATGCCTCAACCGAAAGACAGCTTGCAAAGTAAATTGCTTGGCGGCTGATACAAACGAGACAGATGACTTCATACAAAGTCTAACTGGGTTTATTCCCATACTTACCTACAAATTTAGCTAAATTTAATCATTTCTAAAACATTAAAACAAAAGAATTGATACTCCTATACGGTATAGGTATTATGGAAATTACATATATATGAAGACGAATTTAGTGGATTCCCCGTATTTTGTCAACATTAATGTACATACACGAATAGGCTAATATTTCCCGTCGTGACGTAATTTTTATATTACACAAATGTAACAGAGGTAAATAACCCAATCCTGTTATGAGATGGTAGCGTTTCTTTCGTCACCACTCGTAGTGTCTAGTTAGGTACAATAATAACAAACAAATATTAGAGTCATACTTATAGTTGTACTGTTGTCTGCAGAAATATATGAAAAAAGCTAAACCGCACAACTTCCTCTGTTTTCATTAAGGCGATCATAAATATTGACGTTACTGATCTGAATTTTTCTCAGCAATTACAAATCACTCGGAACTGATATTTATGTACTTCATTTTTTATATTTTATACATCAATTTCTACTTTTTCGTTAAATGAATAATAAAAATTTGTATAGTATCAAATATTGTAACGAAGAAAAAAATAATTTTTAACAACAATAATAATTAACATTGTATAAAAAACGGGACTGATTTTAGACTCAAATTTTCGCTCCCCTCATTTTGCTTGTTGCGTGATGTTAGGCCCTCAGCGTTATATCTATAGCTATAGCTATAGCTAATATTCAATTGGAAACAGTAATTAGAGATTAGTAATTCAACCTTATATTATTTTAATTATTTATAATAGTAAGTATAGTTATAGTATAGGTACAGAATACGAAATTCAAAATTGATTCATCAAAATTTTCTACATTTAATATTTCAAAATTGGAACATTTCAGATTTTTTTTGCGAAGGATATTTCTCCTAAATTTGAACAAAACACTTACTAAAACAAATAATGAGAGTTCTTATCTTTCTATACAGCAATCGCATAATTTGAAAAATGATGATGTGTTGGCTGATGACTTCTCGCGTAATAAATAAATAAAAAGTTGATGAAGTGCAATGTAAGTATAGAAGTAAATGACACTTACTTTAAAACCCATGGTCATTAATTCCTAGTAATTACTACATTTAACTCGTTCCTCTACGTTATCCCGTCTCGTTTCCTGTTTATTAGTGGCATAATAGAAACACTTGCAAAAATAATAAAAAGAAAGAAATTACAATTTTTAGATTACTAGCTATTCGCCCCGGCTTCGGGTGTACATGTATTATATATATAAACCTTTCTCTTGAATCACTCTATCTATTAAAAAAAAGTGCGTCAAAATTCCTTGCGTAGTTTTAAATACTTAAGCATACATAGGGGACGGGCAGACAACGACAGCGACTTTGTTTTATACAATGTAATGAAGAATTAAAAAATAAATATGTTTTAAATGTCGACAACAATTATATTCTTTTATTACATTTTAGTAATTATTGTATTTAATACGTAGTTATTGATTCTGCGTTCTGATTAATTATTTGTTGAAGACTTAACCTAATTTAAAAAGCGAATATTTATACAGCCTATAAACAGAACTGTTTGTAGTTCGCAGTAAAATTTTCTGATCCTTCCAACTGTTACTCGTATCCCTGTACACAGGAAAACCGTAGCACAAAAAGTAATATAACACGAGTATATTTCGCGGAAAGATTTATTTAACCACGGTCACGTAACACTTCTTAAGAACACTATTTAAGAACTTGTGTATTTAGAAACACGAACACATGAGTATCCAGAAATTCATCTGTACTTACCTCAAACAATTCAATAATAATAACATATTTTTGATTAGCAAATATCGTTAACATTACGTGTATTACAAATAGCATATGTTAAATTATATGGGCGGCATGTATACATGTCCACACACATACATATATACACACAGCCACACCAACTTAAAAAAACAATTTCTCGTATATTTTTTCGGACTACTCCAATGTTGTTGGCCGCGGCTGGTCTTTATAGCTTCACCGGACGATAGGGGGCGAGTGCAGATGGCATTCCAAACCCCTGAGAAGTCCAATTCCCGCCTGATGGATACGACTTTAGTCTTAGGGCACGCTAGGGGTTCGAACCTCGGCTCAGGCCGTCGTAATTTCAATCCCCGTTTGAATTGGACGGGGGATAAATTCTCAAGTAACAGTGTAAGTTGCCATACTTCCTTGTAACGGCGTAATTGATTTTGATTACATATGTACATGGTATGTCTGAGAATAGGTTGTATCTATTTTTTATAACCATAAGTGATAGGGTGTCCCACGACAAAAAGATTTTATTTATTTATAGACAAAATTTATATTTTTTTTGTGATGCCATTAAAAACATAATACCTATAGGAACTCTTAAATTTTCATTCTTCTACTACTGATCCTATTTTTTAACAATAATATTAATTTATATCGAAATCAACCTTTGCAGGGTCAGCTTGTATATGTATAGATTTAACTTTAATGCACACTATACAATAGGGAATTGTATATTTGCGGACTTAATTCCATGTGACAATACTACTTGTGCCCACGGTTTCACCAGCGTGAAATTTATAGTCTATATGTTATTCTGATGTATAACCTATATTATTCTGAAGTTTTATTAATTATTCAGCAGTTTTTGCATGAAAGAATAACAAACATCGATCCACCCATACTTACAAACTTTCGCGTTTATAATATTAGTAAAAATTATGGGATAGTCACAGCCACTTTCAACTGAGCGTTATGGTGAACATAACACTTGAAATGCCCATCCGATATGAGTATCTGTGTATTCAACGTGGTCGGTGATAAATATATATTGTTATTAATATATACTCTTGTTATTTCTGATAATAACAATGTTTTGCTCGTTATAAATTTAGATGATTAGTAATTAATCTGTGAGACGTAAAGAACAAGTCTATAACCTTATTGTAGCATATGTAATATTCTAAACTTATTGGTATTTCCTCACATTTTCCCGGTCTTGACGTCATTCACGTTTTATCAAGCCCATATTGGACTAGATGGAGTGGAGACACTTGTATTTATTTTCCCTGTAAAATACACTAGTGAAAATTATAATTGTTTGAATAACAGATAAGAACTGGAATATGTAATTGTTTCATTGAATGGATCACATACATACGTTTAAGCATGGTGACTAATATTGTAAACATATAATAGCTCAACTATTATCATCTTTATAAAAAGTCGTTATTATGCCACTACTGGGTATTGGTCTCTCATAATGAAAGGATTTATGGAATTTGGGATTGATTTTTCGGGGGATTTGAATTTGGGAAGATTTATGTACATTCATAATGACAATATGCGAGGTGGAATGACTTAATGGTGGACCCAGGACCCCGTAGATAGCAGTGTAACAACACTGCTATCTACGGGTGGACCACTATGTGGTTATGGGTTGTTGGTAATGTCAGGTTGATCTCCACGCGGTTCCCACTAGAAACCATCAACCAACAAACCAGCAACTTCACCAGAAATTTATCACGAGTGGATAACTGATCCGGCTATGTTAGGTCACGTATAAAGTCACGTCAGTTAGCGCGCCTTGGTTAATTCGACAGGAATTACTCAAGTTACCAGGTAGATCAACCTAAGGTGCTACAACACAGCAATATAAGCACTAGCACCCTATTACTAGCCCCCCCCCCCTGCGAATGTTATAGCTATGGTACGACAAAACGTGAGATAAACCTATTGCACGATCAATAATCTTATCAAACCTTGCGGTTACCAGACACGAACTAATTATTCTTAGAAGTGAAGATGGTTTAATGATTATATGTAGATACCTACTACAGATAATAATCATTATATTCATCATTCAGGGTATGTCTGTTTATTATCTTTTAAACTACTCGACTAAATATATGAACATTACTTTTAGAAAGAAAGAAGTAGAAAAAATAAAATACTGGACGTATTTAATTTTATTTATTTTTTGTTTCTATTTCAAAATATTATATATTATACATATATAAATTCACGTGTCACAATGTTATATCTTCTGCGTGTGTACCTCAGTGTGTACCATATAGTTTGTAAGACAGATGGTCGTTGGGGCAGTAAAGTCGTCGAATGGTGACTGTGGACTGGGAAGCAGCGTGGGAAGCCTCCGACATAGTGGATCGACGATCTGGTCAAGATTGCTGGAAAGCGTTGGATGCGAGTAGCGCTGGACCGTTCATCGTAGAGATCTTGTAGAAGGCCTCTGTTATGTAGTGGACGTCTTCCGGGTTGAAATCATATGATGTGTACCTCAGTCTCAACTATTGCAGACGTAAATAGCTTGTTTTGTGAGCATCTTTAGTTGAAGGGTGGAAATAAGAGATGTGAAATTACAGCATGTGGATGGAGGAATAACATCTTAGGCATCTCATTGTCACATTATAACTACTAACAGGCATATATACTCGTACAATATGTATGTAATGTATATAGGCGACTGTTACCACTTACCAGCAGGTGGGTGCAGAACTTGTTTGTCATTCCAGTGGCATAAAAAAAGCATTTAGCCTGAACGAGGGTTGGCTAATAACGACAATATTGTAATACAAAAATGTGGCGAAAGTTGACGAAAGCATTGGTTGTTATTGTAGGCATAACTTGTTTACAAAGACACAAACTCTATACTTAGTAGTAAACTCAGATACACGATTAGACTATGAAGTGGTTTGAAAATACCTATGGCAGTTCATGGTATTCCTATGTTTAATATTTTGAAGCTGTTAACTCATTCAAAACTCTATTTGTCCATGTATCCAGTTGTCTGTTGGATACATTTAAATTATTAGATACCTATATTTAATGTATTTTAGCATAGAAGGAGATTATACATTCGAAGAGGAAATAGTACATTTTGCCGCGAAAATGAATATTGTTAAAGCTGACCTTTTACCGGAAGCATTTAAAATTAAATATTTTCATTCAATTAATGAAAATATTTAATTTTATTCTGAAGTATGATAGGTTCTCGACTAGACATAGAGACTATGTACAGCCGAATGCAGTGTAGGAGGACTCCCTTCACTAGTAGAATGACGACATTAAAATTGTCGGCTGTTTGCTGGAAGTATTAATATGCAGATGCTTAATATGCAGATCTCTTTATTTATGTATTGAAAAAACTTATAAAAGTTAATAATATTATATGACAATATTTTTAGATTCCACCAACAAGATATACTTTGTATAAAGTCGTCTACTTGGCTAATGACTGCATGGATCTCGTAATTTTTTGTCGGAAACGAGTAATGTGTTGCCTTCTCGAGACACTGCCTCAAGAATGGCAACACAGTGGTACAACGGATGGCATACGATGACATGAAATAAGTGTATAAGACGATGGTTACCACTTTCAATCGGTGGGCCTTTGGACTCACTATTTTGGTCACTAAAAAAAAATCTGGACTGCGTCCGTTGAATAACTTAACTGAGTGTAACTCCACCTTTAGATGGACGTGTCTATTTCGTCAAAGTACGTACAAAATACCCATGTGTAAATGACCGTAAATTATTATTAAAACCTTGCTTACGGTCGCAGCTTGTTGATAAACCAGTACCATTATGACTCCCGCAAGAGGTGGTCGGCTTGGTTGATTTGTGGTTAGGGAAATACGCCCAAGTTTATTATATTATGTCTGTGATAAAAATCAATATAACATAGTGATTTTTGAATTATAGAAAATTAGCTAGTTTGTGGTTAATAATTATACGAAATAAGAGACGAGACGGATCTTTTTTCACCTTGAACCCAAGTTTTTTATTATCAAGTGGTTTTCCTCGTAGGTACTACAAGTGGTCAACATGTATTCAAGATTTTATTTTATACTTTTTGTTGGTAAGCATTCGCTTAAATTTATACCCATCTGTCTGTGTAAATAATGTTATGACAGTTTGTAGGATATTTGTAAATGCATACTTAATTAGTGATCTCGTCCAAACCACACCCGGTTTGATGACAAAATTCATATCAAAAGATTATCTACTTCACATATTTAGGTTATATATATATACATACCTACATATAAACATCGTTAATTATAAACACTTTAAAAAAGTAATTCCCTTATTAAAAAGCTATTACGTTGTAGGTATCTGATACCGGTCCATTCCATATATATATTAGTTGAATACCTATCTTCTCGAGTTAATGGTTTTATAAATTGCTTCACCATTTTTTATTTACACAAGATTCAAATACGTATATATATATATATATATTTTACTCGCGACCTGATTTGTTATATTCAGATGCACAACAACAGCCTATGTTCGTTCTTTGATACAATCTATCTTGATGTCAAATCTCATTAAAATTCGTTTAGTTATTTAGACGTGAAAATCTATATTATGTTATTAGGAATAAAAAAATAACTAACACTATCGCATTTCTAATATATAAAATATACATTTAATATGAATTTATAGTTTCAATTATTAATTTCAAAATGAAAATGTATAAGGAAACACTTCAATAATTGCCTTGAAATGACCAATCCTAGTTTGTTTACATTAGTGGGAATCTACAAATTGTTGTTGGTACAATTTATTATTATTTGAAGAATTCTATCGTAAGGTCAAATAAAAAGGTTAACGGGCCTGCACAATGATGAGAAGATAACAAATGGTTTAGTATCTGACCAGCAAATAAGTGTCTTCAGAAGGGTAGAGGAATTAATATTACAGTATAATTATATTAGATAAGTCTAATTTTTAATCGATTTTCTGTATGGATGTTTGTTCTATCATGAAAGATTTACTAGACGGTTTAAAATGAAAATTGGCACAAAGCTAGTGCTATAGTATACCTACGGGATGCTTTTATCCAAATTCATACGGCAATATTATAATCTTCAAATTTTACCACTAAAAATTAATTATTATCAATGTAAATTTTGAGATTTAAAATATTTTAGTATATTAATTTTTAAGTTAAATTTCTCATGAATTAAATAAGTATATGCAGCATACAATATATGCAGCTGAAAGTCTTTATGTTTACATAGTAAAAAATGAAGTAGTTTCCGCTGTCTATTCGCTTAGTTCTGTTAAACTACCTACACAACAGATTCTAATGCAATTTTTAGCAATAGATAGTGTTTCAAGAGGAAGGTTTCTGGTACACATGTAGGTACCCGTGTGATACCCGGGTGGGTAGCTAGATAATTATAAATCTAAAATATTAATCATTATTATTAATTATCATATTATTACAAAATAGATGTAAAGAATGTCTAAAAAACACATTGATTTTACTGAAACTTGTTGTTCCACATTTTAGGCCTTGGGTCACATTTGCTGTAAAAAGCGGCCCAACAAAAGTCTCAGAGACAAGGGAAAAAAAATTGACTGTAATTGTATTGATTTATTAGTATTAATTATTATTATTACAACTGTCAACATGTCGGTAAAATAAAATTGAAAACAAAGTGGCGGGGAATCTGTTTATTTACATTAAATGCCGTTAGTGGTCAACAAATGGTAACTGGTTAACTACCGGTTCACATATCGAACTCATTTCTTTTTTTTTGATGTACAAAGATATCTGAAGCCCATTTTCTGAACAAGCTATTTGTGCTTTTAATTTTATATGTGTTGTATAATGCAAAATCTATATTTATTTTCCTTAGAATCATATATTTTATTATTAACTTTTGTTTTTAGAATACTTACAGATATTTATATAATGTTGTGGTCAAGGCAACATTTGACATCTCTACATCGTTTGGTATATTTGAATCCAACGTGACAATTTTTCTAATTTAATTTTAATTTTTGACGAAATTGCATTCCATTATCTTACTAAGTCGTCTATTTTTAAATATATTAAATCAAAGTAGCCTATCATTATCCTCATTATATACCTGAATCACTCAATCAACTGATCAATCAGTATCAATATAACTTGAGTCAAAATCTCAGTTACCTATATTTCCATCTCGTCATATAACAGTGTTTGCTCTTTTTTTTATACTATATTTATTCTGCCCGTGTGTATTAGCTAAACTACTAATGGTGTGTCTATTTAGTCCGTTTATAAGTGACAGACGATGTATTAAAGTAAGAAATTATTTTCAACTCGCACGCACCACAATGATTATCCAAATAGAATAAAAACTTTTGAATATTTGCTCATTCGAAAGTTGTCTTATCACAACACGAGAGTAAAAACTTACGACAAGATAAGTAAAAAACTTGCATGTTGCTCTTTTAAATAATGATTGTAACTTACAAGTCGAAACGTGTGTGAATACAAACTACCAATTAGCACTAATTTACTAGGGTCATATATTAAACACACAACAAGATCAAATCAGTTCTAATCTAGTGATTAGAGAAGACTAGTCCTAACTTATCTGTGATCTAAATCAAATTGAATTCTTACCGGGATTATTTAGACTTGCAATTAGGAATTAGGTAGGAAAAAGATAGGTGACCCTGTCAATATTCAAATATATATTGCAACGTTCTAGTAGTAGGTAGTACCTACTATAGATTTTGTTAATTGGTGCTTTTCTTCCATCTACATACTAATTAGTGATGACATCATAATGCACAGTTAAATTGTACCATTACAAAAACTTTCTCGTTACTCATAAAGAAAAACCCACTTTACTTCATTTCTCGTTTCGTCGTTCATTCTACTATGCAAATTATGCGTTTATACTTTCAGTTTGTACAAAATTCGCTAATTTTAGAACTAAAACTTAAATTTCTTCTTGTGTCAAATGTCAATTTTAATATCAATGTGGAGTTATTTTTGATAAAGATAAGAACGAAGTATCAAAATCCGTTCCTATATAATGTAGAACGGATTTTGATACTTCGTTCTATTCGTTAGAAAATTAAATTCCAATTATTGAAAGGTACATTATTCCAGAGGAATACAAAACACTCGTCTAATATGAACAATTGAACACCCGGGTGAGGACCGGGCTGTATACCTACTAGTTGTTTACAAACAGTCATTATCACTCACTTTTTATTATAGAACAAATTATGTTATTAGAAAACGTTACATATTTTATAATCTGTTTTATTATAAAAATAGAGTACAAACGTATATATAATATAATAATAATAATAATGATAATTTCCTATTTGCATATATTCTCATGAAGTATTTTTAATAGGACTTCCATTTGTAATAACGGAATGATGAACGGAAGAAACAAATTTAGTTAGAGCTGTATTTAACCTAGAAGTGTAGATTTAATTAAGCTCTAAAAAATAATACAAATTTAATTTTAGAAATTAAATAATATAGGCAAATCAATAAAAAGGTTAGAATGTCCGGACAACACAATTACATAAAATGTGTCCACACAACCAAATAAATATGCCTGGCTGAAAAAATAATATTACGTAAAAATATTTTGTTTCTAGTGAGAAAAATCTGCTGGATATGTAAATATATGTCTTGTCGTGTCGGGGCACCAGTGGAAGATGAAGTCAGGCCAGCCCAATGTTTCAAATTTACCAGGAATTTATCACGATGGTTTCTAGGGCGAAATGCCTAGAGGTCAACCTGACATGGTACATTGCTAGCAATCTAGTAATGTGGTCAACAGACCACCAATTAATAATCCCTCCCCCCCCTGTGCTTGTTCCTATTTATATACTTACGAATACAATTTATTTTCGCAGTTCCTATCATTTACACAGCATCAGCGTCTGTTCCACATATAGATCAAGATATACTCGAGGATATCTTCGGGCCAGTAAAGTATGTAGGTTCTGCATCTACCATCTCCCAAGTCAACCAGGCCGTAGCTGTCACGCCTGCAAATGACTCTGTGGTGGAACTGCAGGAAATTGAGGATAATGATCACTATTCCCCACCAGCTATCGATTACGATATATTTGATTGGGCACTCACAAAGGTACTTATTATGCACATTTTAATATTAATACATACATAGATAAACATTAATGGTATATATCTTTACATAGTATAAAATGATCGCTTCCGCTGTCTGTTCGCTCAGATATTTTAAACTACCAAAAAGAATTCAATGAAGTTTTTAGGAATAGATAGGGTGATTCAAGAGGAAGGTTTTTAAGTACAATACATGTACACCCGATCGAAGCCGGGGCGGGGAGTAGATAATAAACTACTCTGTTATCAGTTAAACCTTAAAATTATAAATTCATGTACATGTCATTTCTGTTTGGGTTACAGCTACTGATTAGATTATATAATTTCAACAGAAATGCAATAGCATATGCCGGTGGTTATTGCATTCTAGGGAGAATGACTTGACTTTAAAAATGTTAATTACTATTTTTGTAATCATATACAAATTTGCCGGAGCCTATAGACTCCTGAAAGACTCCTTGCAATTAAATGCAATTTAATATAACATATAAAGCAATTCGACTATTCAGTTCTATAATAATATATGTCTATATTACAGTCTAGTTCGTATCTCTGAGAAAACAGTCAATCTTGTAGTATGTTTTACCAATAAGGACGTAAAAATCCTACTCATGAATACTTAGAATTTATAGTAATATTATGGGAAAATGGGATTGTTCGTAATGAGGATTAGTGGTCTCATTGCTATTTGTATTACGTCAGGTCGACTTCAAAGCAATTTGCACTGGAAAACATCTTAGATAATATTTCGTGAAATTCACTAAGTATTATCACAATGTCACAATTGGCTAAATGATCTGACTTCATGCTCATTTTATCACCCTCCACAGGTGCCCCGCCCGCTTATACCGTCAGCGTAGGCGGGTTTAGTATTCTATATCATTTATACAAAAAGTAACACTGATATTATACATCGATATGCAATTTTTTCATGTAATATAACTTTCCAGATTGTAGACAAGTAATGCTATACGCATTTTAACGCATCATACGCAGTTTAAGTACTCACTAAATTTGAAAAGTTTTATTGCATATAAAAACACAAAGAAATATCGTCATTCCTTGAATTTAATTGGTGTATTTATAAAAATTGTTTTCTTATAGGAATTAATAAACATGTATTATACGTAATATCCCTAACTGAAAAGCATTCTTCATATTTCTTGACATACATTTTTTTTTAATTTAATGTATTTTTACACCTTTGCAAATACGCTTATAACATGATTTTAATTAATTTTAACTATATGTAGTCAAAATGAATTAAAATTATATTATAAAGCAAAAATATTCTCTATCAAATGCAGAATGATACATTCAAGTTAAATATCTCATCTTTTTATTTTTCAGCGAGTGGCGTCATCGTCAAGCAAGAATTTCCTGATCTCACCATTAGGGTTAAAGCTGGCGTTAGCAATCCTCACAGAGGCTGCGACAGGCCCTACACGCACCGAATTAACTGCGGTGTTAAATTTCGAATTAGACAAAAACGTCACTAGACATAGATATTCGTCTATAGTTGGATCTTTAAAGGTATGCCCTTGATATTAATATAATATATTTAATTAAATAAACATGTGCAAGAATAAGGTTACATATCTTAGGGTTATTTTACTTTTTTTATTTTTTAATGAAGTTGTAAGGGCAAATAAGCTGACTACCCGTTGATCATTCTGATGATATGTCCACCATCACCATGGTTCTGTTCATCTCTTGCAAAGTAAAGCATCAATCTACTGTAAATAATTTATTATTTATATTTTTTGTTAAGATAGGAATTACCTATATATTTATGCTGACATAGTTTCATTTGGTTACTCCAAACGAGATTACAAGAAGAAAACCAAACACGTAACAATCATCCAGTGACACTCCTGTATCGCCAATTCTCCATACCTTTGAAGAATCCAGTCAGTTACGAGATTACAGTTGCAATTTTTTATGTAATTGCAATGGTAAACAACTTGATCACTAGCTTGATGGTAAGCGGTAACTATCGCTTATATATGATGAACGCATGAACAGTCCACATTGCAAATGTGACACCTTATTATGGCCTGTAGGTTTCGTCAATTACCTACGTGTACCTCACTACCCATGTATCGCTATTCCAGAGCCACTTATTCTGTATTTTTTACAGACCTCTTCAACTGACTATATTCTCAATTTGGGTAACCGGATCTACTTAGAACAAAGTATAGTGCCGAAACAACGGTTTGCTGCCGCCGCTGAGCAGTTCTATGATACTCACTTGAAACGGCTCGACTTTAGTGAACCAATTGCAGCCTCTAAGGAGATAAACGATTGGGTTTCCAGTGTTACACATGGCAGGATAACTAATTTAGTGGACCACGGTTAGTAATGAAGCAATTAAATCTTGTTTTTATAAATTGAACGTTCTTTCAAACATATTTGGTACAATTTACTTTACATAGTGAGTTTGAGAGATTTTGTTGGTAGGTACCTATTTATAGAAAATAGTATAAAGCAATTTCAATGTCTCCGTCTGCGTATTTCTAGAATTCAGATTCAGCCGACTGACTAATCATAGACAATAATAAAATCTCTCTTCTATAGATATAATTTGTAGGTATTGTTTTTACATAAATGTATATTTTAATATGCCCAATAGTACAAACAAGCACAGCATCTACGTAGGTCGCAGTGCTAACAGTCTTAACAACTGACAATAGCCTAAAACCCTCAATGACAAAAAAAAACAGTCAAGGAGATATAATATATTATAATATCAAACGTTAAGTAAGGTTCAGCCGTTTAGTTATGACAAAATACCAAACTTATTAACAGTCAGACTTTTCTCATTTATACCTAATATTAATATGGATTTGATTTTGAATAAACACAATTAACAGGACAATATTCCTATTTATATATTATTCACGTTAGATATTACTCATATTAGCACGGGTGTGAATAAAATGTGTGAACGGATGTGCTTTTGTACAGGAAGTACCGTTGTTTTGTATAGTCATTTCCAATACTATTTAGTCAACAATGATAAATAATATGCATAAGTACAAGCTATACAAATTGATGCTGTCATTATACAAATAACTGTTAATATGTAATGAAAATAATAGCGAGGAAATGGTTGTTAGTAACGTGGACTGATGAGCCCATTGCTAGCAATGTACTATGTCAGGTTGACCTCCACGCAATTCTCCCTGCAAACCATCGTAATAAATTCCTAATTAATTAAGTTTAATTTGTCACGATGGCTAATTTACCTTACCTAATAATAATCTTACCATCTTCTACTGGTGCCCCGTCGTATAAACCGTTAGCGTTGGCCGCTGCACCATTTCATTATTATCCATTTAAAAAAACATATTAAGAGATCGATGGATATAGAGAAAGCAAAATAGATCCAAGCATTTCTCTATTTTCATTATTTTTTACTTTCCATTATTTACTATCGCCTTCCCCTTGAGAATTTTGTGATCTATTGCAACTACCAGATAGATGCAACGTATCATATATGTAGGTATATATCTACAAGAAAAATAGGAAACATATAGGTACCACTTCCTATGCACAATTGAAGCATTTAATGATTATTTATTTTAATAGTCACATAGATTTTTTTTTAATGATAATTTTTTATATAGTCCTAACCTATCATATCGCTGAAAAAAAAATAGACATTCTCACTTCAACTTATTTTATAATTAATTATTTTTATTACGATACAAAAATCTTTAATATTTCTGTTGCAGACGATCTCTCCAATGCTGTAATACTTATTCTGAATACGCTATTCTTCAAAGGAACCTGGAGATACCAGTTCTCGCCAAATGCGACAAAACCCGGTACCTTCTATGTGTCTCCCAATGAGCCTAAAGAAGTACCAATGATGAGAATCAAAGAACGATTCTATTATGTTGAAACAACAAAGTTTGATGCCAAAATATTGAGGATGCCTTATTTGGTATGTTAATACTACAAATTTTAAAGGACAGTAACAAAAAATAAAAATTATTTTTAAATAAATTTGGTTGATTAGTTTATTTTATAACCAATCTTGAGAAATGACTATATTTTGGTTTTGTTTTTGTTTTGTATTCATGAGTATGATTGTTTGTATTGGCCTGGGTGTTATATTATTTAATATTATGTATGTATATTATAATAAAGAAAATATCTTAGTATCTATGTTCATCAGTCGTCTAGTACCCATAACATAAGCTCTGCTATGCTTGTAACTAAAAAATATTATTATTTTGCAGGGCAAAAAATTCGCAATGTACATCGTGGTACCAAACTCTCTAACCGGATTGGCCAATGTGCTGAACGGGCTGAGTGACTTGCAAACCGAGATGGACTTTTTGAAGGAACGTATGGTCAATGTGATTCTTCCCAGATTCAATTTCGACTATACCTCTACTTTGGATGAAGTGTTGAAAGAGGTGAGATTTTTAAACTCATATCTATTTATTACCTATTGCATCTATATGATAATGATTTTTTTTAACTTGCTACCTACTCGTCCTTATCACAAGTTATCATATTTATATGTGTTGTGATTCAGGGTCCATTTTTTATTTTTTTATTATTATATTTTGGATTACGCTTGCTCAGATATGTAATAAGTCCATATAATAGTTTAAATAGTAAGTCTTTGTTCATATTAAAAACCCATGCAATTATATAATCACGAAACTATGAAAATAGGGATTTTTAGTGTAACATCACACATTTAAATTAACAAACAATCAGAAAGTTCAAAATTACTTTTATTTCGAAAAAAAATACCAATTTATTTTGTTATATTATTTTATTCTGTTAAATATCATTAGCATGTGTGAGACCAGAAATATTGAGTATGGAAATCTAATCGACGCTACTAGAAGCGTTTCAATCTGCCATATCAGTTATCAAAAGCCTACTGAAAAAAGTCATATTACAGCGCAGTCTGCTAATGTAACTGTAGCTTAATTATTATGTATATATCTGTCTGTAATGCGAGTAAAAGACTAACTTACTTAAAAAATTCTACCGATATGTCGCAATATGGATGTAGATCAAAATCTACACCCATCTACATACATACACGTGGCATCATTACGCAATAAATTGAGCCCGGATATAGCATTGAAGCGTAGTCTTGAGTATTCGGCGTCTAGACTACGACTGCTTTTGTTTATGTTATATATATATATATATATATATAATATATTTTTGTATTAGATGGGAATAAGACTGTTATTCGAAGACACAGCTAATCTTTCCGGCATTTCACGAGGACAAGGTCTGAAGCAGCGACTGAAAGTGTCCAGAGTCCTCCAGCGGTCTGGTATTGAAGTGAACGAACTTGGAAGCGTTGCTTATTCCGCTACGGGTAAGATGATAATCGATTACATATAATAAAAATATATTGTGTATAAACTTACTGCTGCTTGCAGGTATTGGGAACATATATAAGAAAACTATACATATATAGATATATACAAGAACCCAAAACTTTCTTATAAAAAAATTCTGTTTATTTGTGCCTTTGCACACTAATTTCAGAAACGGCTTAACCAATTTAGATGCTGTCATTACTACGATATTGTGATAAGTTTTACTAAAAATTTTAAATTTGGTTTATTTCTATTAGTTTAAAAACTACAATTTATAAAATAGTGTTATTCCGAGTCCTTGTGAATGGGAAGACGTCGCAGGCTCAGCTAGTTTTAATAAATATTTATAATAGGATATACCTACCTTTCTTAATTAAGTAGATAATTAATTATATTACAATCAATAAATTTATCATTATATATTATAGATGCTCAAATATAGTCAATGATCAAATATGAGGATTATGGCCCAGCGGTTTACTACCCAACTCAGACCCTGGTCAACACTGTAGAAACTTTATTTATATCTCTAACACAGATAATGGGAGACTTAAATATACTGCTGAAATGTGAGCTAGTCAACAGTTGTTTGCATCCTCGCATTGTCGACAATGCCTCTGATTACCCCATCTGGGAAGACAGTTATGATTCAATTTGACCACAGACTTTAATATAAACAATTTAGTAATGATTTTTTTTATTGATTTAATATTTTTTTTTGCACAATTAATAAAAACAGCATTCTGCATTCCTTCTCTATATAAACTACAACCGTGCGAAATTTTAAACTATTCCATCCGCCCAGTTTTCGTTAAAAGAGATACAAAGTTAATGCTTCACATATTAATGTATAGATATTATTTCAGAGATATCGCTGGTGAATAAGTTCGGTGAAGACGATGATGTCACCGAGGAAGTGTTGGCGAACAAACCGTTCTTATTCTTCATCCAAGACGAAGGGACGCGGCAACTGCTCTTCACTGGGAGAGTCACAGATCCCCTAATCCTTGATGGTGCTTTCCATTAACAAGTGCTTTATATAATTTTTAAATGTAATTCAGTTTATTAAAAGTGAATGGACCGTGAATATATTTGATTTGATTATCTATATCTACATATTTTTAGATACCAGTAAATGTAAGTGGTTGATTTCTTGGTATATGAAACTAACATTAAGAATGAACATGCATAAATATGATAACAGGAAGAATTTACTTCGTAAATTAAAAATAATGTTGAGACATGTCTTGCAATATATCATTGCGGTGCTTTACTAATATTTTAAATGGGTTAATGCTTCAATTGGTAAATTGCAAGTGAAGCCCATGATTTTATGAAACTCGATAAGCTTTGTAGTAATTGAATCTCTGTCAAACTGTATTATATTTAATATTAAATAAAAAGCATCGATCTTGTTGACAAATAGCTAATGTTTAAAAAAATAAATGTAATTGAGAGTCTGTTTTTTTATTCTTTTATAAATACTTTTTAGGTTTTATTAAATAGAAATAACAATGTATTATTTCGAGTTACCACATCTGATTGATTACTGTCTGTGATATATTTTTAATATATTATTTTGCTGCTAATACTTGATCCATATTTAGATCGATGGGGACTTTTACCGTCAAAATGAGGTAACTCGTAATAAATATACGAGTAATTGAGTAATTGCCACTAATGACATAACATTAAGTGAAAATATATAATATTCTCTTATCTGTAAATCTTATCTTATCTGAAACTAAGAAAGTATGATTATTGTTTTGGTCGTGACCTAGTATTCTTAGAATTTTGAATCAATTTTAGCTTATAAGTTTAACGTTATGAGATAAGTACTAAAGACTCTAACCTAAACCATGAGAATCGGGGTCAATATGTGATAATATATGACATGACTGTGTAACATTACAATATTTGCGGTTGTTTTATAGTAAAAATATAATTTATATCGCATGCTCAATAATTGTTTTAAATATTAAAATAAACATTTCTGATATTTGTACTTAAATATTAGAAATCGAGTTTTTATACAGCTTTTAAAATCGATGTTTATTTGAAATACATTTCAAGTTAATGCCTTCTATTATAAAGCGTGCGATATAATACACTTCTCAGTATGTACATTATTTTTATTATCTAAGTAAGAATAATATGTTACCTTAAACGTATAACTTAGTTTATGTTTCGCACTTGTTTATCATTTTATTGTTACCGTTCCGTTTCACACGATAAACAGATCACCTGTTACTGTATAAACATTGTGCCATTTCTAACAGAAAACGAAACGTATTCAATGATCTATGTAGAAATAAATAGAACTATCCAAAGTTTTGTCTTTTATTTATCTCTGAGTTTACTTCTAGCATATTTCTTATATATATCGAAAATAGACGTATTTGCATGTTGGCTATAAACAAGATAGATATTACAAGAAATATCAAAGAATTTTCCTATATTTGCATGTAAATATTGATAGCATGTATAAGGGTTTGACTACCGTATTTTATGTAGATAAAGATATAGAGATACTAAAGTTGATACTTAGAGTTCCATAAATTTACAGTAGACTCGCCTCTATTTTTGTTCAGTGAAACTATAAAAGGATCTTGCAAACAGCCTTAGAGTATAGCATAGCATTTCTACTCCATCATTAATCAACACTTCATTTTTCATTCTCTAACTATCGCTTATGAATCAGTGATCATTATTCAATTTAGAATAAAGTATATTGTGACATGCGTATCAACTATCAGCGAGGCTTTTCTTATTCTTATTATCTTATTATCTTCTGCCTTTTTTCCAGTGCTGTAGAACCTCATTGAGGTCATGTTTTTATCAGCAACAAGCAGCTCCTATTGCCAACTTTCTATGGTATTTTGATTTTGTGTATAATTTGTTGTGCTGCTATTGGCAACAAATAAATTATCTATCTTTCTTTTATAAAACAAGAATGGCAATCAATCTGAGGAACGACCAGATGGCAAGTAGTAAGTCACCAATATATGTTTATATGTAGGTATATGAACAGTACCACCGACATCATGTCGTCATGTGACGCCTGAAACTGAGTCGGGCTTCTGTAAAGTAATACCATGAGGTTGTGATTCAATAAAATAAAAACGTTTCAATTTATGGTTTATTTCTATTTATGAAAGAATCTCTATGATTCACCTATTGGAGATGGAGATATACAATAAGCTTTAATATAAGGATTGCACTTGAAAACCAATTCCTCTATTGTTTTAGTTAAATTAGGTTATTGATTAAACATTTTTATCATGAAAGAAATAATATGAAATGCATTTTCCTTGCTATTACATTAGTTTTAGGTTAAGATTAACCACAAATAGTTGCGTAGGTTAGTTTTTAATTACGAACAAGGCCTGTTAATTACTTATTCAATTTGGCATTTGTCTTTTTAGTTTCGTCTCCATTAAAATAAGACGGAAAATGTTGTATCAACCATTCATTCAGTTCTTTCAAAGATCATCGTTCTTATTGGCTGTTAAAATTAGATATCGTTCATTCATTCTTGTTGGATTTTCCATCGTCATTAGTAATTAAGAATTTGTTGTGTTGTACCCATATATTGGTCAATAAGTTTTAAAAGAACAAGGTAAAATTGTTAGCTTGAATTGGGATATAAACAAATATGATTTTCAATATAAGACTGGGATTATTTATAGGTAAGTACTTATATACTGACTTTTATATTACCGGAAAATACATTTTTTTTAGTATATCGTTAATTTAAATCTTTAATTATCGTATGATGGAAGTAGATAGAAATTAATTTTTATTTTGATTCAATTGCTTTTAATGCAATTAGAACATATAAAAGGTCTCATTGTGTAGGTAACATAAAGTAACCATCTTATTTACCTGTACTTTTCATACATAAACTTAAGTAAAAAAAGCAATACAATATATTAAATAAAAATAAAGAACTGCATCGCGCACCTTTCGTGCGGTAGTCTGGTAAAAAAACTTAATTATTAAATTGTTGATTCACAAGGTTTATGTAGACAATTATCTGTTGATGATACGACACATACGTGTATATGAATAAACATTTGCTAACTCTAAAAACAAGTAAAATATTAATGTCATTTATGTTTCCTAATATAAAATTATTAATGTGCATAACGATCAAGTTTTTTTTAAATATTTTCCTGCAAAGTATATGTCAACTTATTTACTTTTTATAAATGTTTAAAATATTTAAATACGTATTGCTAGTTCGGGGAAAAGGTTTTTAGTGTCTACATAGTGAATTAAAGACTAAGGAAAATTTTAAAAAACTGTAATCAAATTAACCGACTCCACGTTTTCCATTAAATAATTAACCCACAAATACACATCTATCTAAATATATCTTGATTTGTACTACTTTTCAGTTTTTATCACACTACAATGTCTAAGATTCACAAACGGACAAAGGTCCGACTTGGCACGTCTAAACTTCTTTGACATAGACCTTCTCCGTTACTCTGCTGAAGATAGAAAAGGAAACGTGATATTCTCTCCTGCCAGTATTAAGTCTACTTTAGCCATGGTACTGGAAGGAGCAAAGGGTGCAACAGCGACCGAAATAAGGAATGCATTGAGGTTGTCATCCATTAAAGTAGATTTTAGAAACCAACTGTATTCATATTTGAAAGCGTTACAGGTGAGTTTGCTAAGTAGGTTTTTTAAGTAATAATAACTCTAACAATATACTGGCAGGATGCTGCTAGATAATGATAAGATGAGCATGAAACCAGGTCTGTTAGCCAATTATGGTGTAATTACCAGAATTTGACCACGATGGTTTCCAAGTGGATCGCATGGAGGTTGACCTGATATGGTACATTGCTGGCAATGCAGTTACTATTCCCGTTACTAACAACCTGGAAACCTGGAAACTGGAATGAATTTAGATAGCATCCTTCGTCATACGATACTAATAATATCTATATTACATACAATGCAACATTATATCTTCTGTTTGTTTGTTTTAACCACTAAAGGGCTGAATGGATCTTAATGAAGTTTATCGTGAATTAGATTAAATGCCGAGGACACAAGCTATCTTTTATCTTAGAAATATACAATATCATGGATAGCAAACAGTTTTGTTTTATATTATTACTCAGTAATGAATTACGAGAAAATCACATTTCCACAGACATAATTAATTAATGTATTTTTATATAAAATAAAACTATAAGAGATCAATTTAGTTAATTTGAAGTAATGAAAAAGTAATTAAATGAAGAATAATAAAGACACATGATATGCGTTAGGGTGTTGCGTATTTAATAATTGTTGTGGTACATTAGTTTCCTATTATATTTCTCTCTCTTTATGTGATTAGAAAAAAGACATAACTGAAGATTCACCTAGATAGTCAGCGGCAAGTATCGCCTATAGGTATATATACATACTAGCTGTGCCCGCGGTTTCACCCACGTGAAATTTATGGTCTTTGTGTTATTCTGATGTATAAGCTATATTACTGTACAATTTCGTCAAAACCCGTTTAGTAATTTTTGCGCGAAAGAGTAACAAATATCCTTTCATCCATCTATCCATCCATACTCAATTGTTCGCGTTTTAAATATTAGTAAGATATATATGTTACAGCACAACAGTCCATACGTTATCGTTCGACGTCTATGTTACATTTACCCTTCATGAGTTGCCATTCCGGGGTACTAAGATGTTATGTCCCCGTACACTGTTATTTCACTGCCAACATTTCAAACGAAACATAGATTATAAAGCAAGATGCTTGCTGGCCATCATAGGTGAGACAGAGGTACGTGGACAGGCACCGTTCAGGCCTGTCCACGATAAGTAAACTGAAAAGACGCAATAGGCCTAGGAAATAAATCTATATCTAAACAAATTCACTAAAATTTAGAGGTGAATATTTTTTCATCGACGAGTTTTGATTGTTTAATGAAGAAATGGCTTTGTTTTTGAAGCAATATTAAGGTACGGGTTAGTTTAGTTCAATCAGATCAAGAATACTTCATCCGAGAAGTCTGTTTTTATACAAAAAAATAATAATTATAGTAAATATTTCCAAAACCGTTCGTTTTGGATTAAAATCTTTGTTAAATGTTTTTTTTGTGTAATTTTTTTTAAAACGCGTTTGATTTCCATTGTTCACTTTGAAACTTGGAAAGCTATGTTATAGTGAAAGAGATGCGCTGTAAAGCCTTTGTCGTCAGAAATTTTAGTGTTTTGGATGAAAAGATGTGATATAGTTTAAAAAATATTACATTTATTATTTCATAATTAACTTGTTTTATTTAAATTCTTTCAGTCAAATTCTTCAGACGTCACATTAACTAATGCTAATTCAGTATTTGTATCGGATAAATTGAATTTAACAAAGGAGTACGAACATGCATTGAAATATGTATATCTTTCTGATATTCATAAAATAAGCTTTTCGGACCCCATTTTAGCTTCAAAGTTCATTAACAATTGGGTCAGAAATAATACAAAGGGACTGATACCGTCTATAGTAGAACCTGGTGAGTTAGTATATTTTTATAAAAAAATTAAAAGTATTTCTGTAAGTGTAATAATTTGTTAAGGAACAGCTGTGCTTGCTCGATCTTTAAGTATATTTATATTTTCTCTCGCGACGAACGGAATTTTGATGTTATTTCAACCCGATTGCACCTTAATGATCAAACGACCTAAAACAACGGGCGCAAAGAGAATAACAAAGAGAATAATATGGATGGACCGTCGATCAAAACTCTGAATCAGGAATTGAATTCCATACTACAGCAGATTGAATTAAGAATTCAGAAGTCTTCAATTGTATCGTAATCATGACATGGACACTACGCTATGTTAAAAAATGTCCAACCCAATAGAATGTAATGTAATCTTTATACTCTTTTTCTACATTATCTATGAATATAATAAAATCGTAAAATCATGGCGACATGAAATCTGTCTGATTGCATGTATGTAAAGCTTACGTTGGAAGGAATTAGGATGATTTTCACAGAATATATCAATAAGTAGAGAATATAACATAGATTAGGTTTTCTTTTTAATAATTTTTAATACGCAATTTATTATTGTTAATTATTTTATTAAAAAATAATAGATGGCGTCTAAATAATATATGTACACGTTATGTTGCGTTCTGTGGATTCATATCACAATGCTGGTGCCAGGTCTATCGTGTGGCAGAGAGGGAAACTCCGAGCAGATCCCGGGTGTAGGTTTTAGGGGCCCTTTTGCTGACATACGTCAACACTCAATTTCACTGCTTTTTACTGCTATTTACCTGCCCAGCCTAATCTGGTAGAAGCCTGAAACTCCTGTTTTAGATACTCGTTCTAGTTCAAATTGTTACTGTCTATACTAGATTTATCTGGGCAGGGGCTGACTTACTAAACCTGTTACGAGTAGGAGGTAATTGATGTTACTAGCGTCCTGATGGGTCGATAAATTCGACATAAAAAATATCTATATGGTAAATATCACGTGTATACAATGTGTACATATATATCTTTCCTTTTTTAATTTCCAGTGAATCTCGAGCCCTCATCTCAGATATTAATTACAAACGCACTATACTTCAAAAGCATTTGGAAACATGCATTTGATAGGACACTGACACGTGGAATGTGCTTTTACGAGAGTGAGACATGCAAAACTGTGGCCATGATGGATCTGCAGGCTGAACTTAACTATGCCTATGTTGATAATTTGAGAGCCCATGCAGTTGAGTTACCCTACATGGTAAGTAGATATTTATATTAAAAAGCTAAAAAATTTGTTTGGTAGAACTCAGGATCTGGTGTGAATTAAAAAATTCTTATAAGTTCAAATTCAAATGTAAAATATCTTTATTCATATAGGTCTATTATGTTGATTTAACTATTATGATTATCATAACTTTATATTGCTTACTACGAAATCTATTTAAATAGTGTAGTTGCTTTGTAACGGCAGTTTAATTGTTTTGTTACTTATATGTTTTAATAGATTTTGTTATTAAAACAAATGTGTTGTTATCATGGATACTCTATGCTAGTCCCATTGCTGCATAGTTTAGTATGAAACTGAAATTACTCCGGAATTATAAAGCATGAGGGGTGCTATAGATATCGTAACATGATGTCCGTGGTGCCTTTAATTTTGTCTGCAATTCCAAATAAACAAAAAATTGTTATCCTAAAATAAAAAAAACATCACTATTTATGATTAAAATAAAGAACAACGTAATTTTGGTTATACTATATCATAAACAAGCTAACCATGAAGACAAAATAACTGTACAAAAAATTACTACACAAATACTACTTTTTGTATTATTTGTGTATATTTAGATAGATACGCAAATAGTTTAGACCACATATAATAATAGTTAGGTATTTTGCACAACAGCTATATGCATATGAAGATTAGATCACTGACGTAAATATAAATAGATTAGATCAACTTAATTAAGTATACAAGTTTTGTGGGAAATACATTAGAAAATTAATTCAAAATCTGTTTACTTAACGTAACGGTAAAACTGGCGTTTCTAATTATTTAATTTTTGCAAATACCAACAGTTTGGAAATTATAAACCAGTATGGAAATTCATTTTATGATGTTATTGGAAGAATTATAAAATTAAGCGATTTAAGACAACTTAGCCAAGTTGAGGAGCCTTGGTTGAAGTCTGTTCAAGGTTTTCCTTATTACTGTGAAGTTGTAAGTGACGAATATGTTTGTTTTTGATGAATAATCGTAATAAATACTGGCCATGCCATATAATTTAGCCATCAGTGTGTCACATACACATTTTTTTGTACATTTGAAGCGAAAGGTGCCAATTTGAATTTAGAAATATTGGCAAATTTCTAAAAACAAAATAGTTCGACCAGGTACCTTCTGATGGGGTATTGATTATATCATTAGCGCGGGTGGATATACAATTCTTCTATAAAAAAAATGGACCTCATCAAGATGATTTAAATATATTAAGATAGAAAAATATTTCCAGACTTAATATTATGACCATATTTTAATCTACAGTAAATTAGGTCTAAATCGGGACAATGTCTGGTATTAGGGAATCTGATGTTACGTTAATACATTTTTTTTTAATTTATTCTCTTGTTATTTCTAGGGAGAAAGATATTCTATGATACTTTTGGTACCACAAGATCGTCAAGGCGCCATACCATTAATAAGAGACCTGCCATATATGAGTCTCAGTGACATTTGCAAGGCAATGGCACCTACAGATGTTCAACTCTTCATGCCAAAGTTCACCATAGACTATAGCGAAGATATGATCAGTGCTCTGCGTGGTGTAAGTATCAATTATAAAATAGTTGCAAATAACGATTAGTGCAACATGTGAAAGGATTTAAATGAAAATTGGTACACTATCCTATACTCCGTTAGAACATATAGTGCCGAAATCTGGACATTTACGGTACGACTAGTCCATCAATTCAAAGTGGCTCAGAACAGCACCATGGAATGATCTATATGCTTGCAATTTTTCTGAGGGATTGGTTAATGAAGTTATTCACCAAATAACTCATTTCAAGCAATATCGTTCAATGAATTTGCCAACTTAAATGAGAGTGGGCTGGTTATACCTGTTATTAAATTAGTCGCTGAAACAGACTTGTTCTAGAGTAGAGATCGCAACTCGGCAAACGTATTGTGGACCAAAACCGTAATACGTAGAGTTGCAGGTAACAGGAAGGAAAGATCTGCTGATATGACTTGTTTATTTATAAACCGATTGAAATAAAAAAAGCACAAAATTTTAAATTAAGCTTACCACAATACATTAATAGAAAACTGGTTGAAGTTTGGTAGAAAATTGGTTGCTAGGTTGTGAACGCAATGCTTTTAGTATTTAACAGTTAATATTCAATTGTCAACGTACTTACACGGTAGTTTAGAAAAACAATTTTTATCCAGAATATGAAAATAAATGGCCTGAGTATTATATATTTAAATTGCATCTTATGATGATATGACTATGTTAATATAATGATATTGGTATTATTAAACACGAGGCTGCGTATTAAGAAAACCGGTACTTTTATACGAGTTCTCCGTTGGGATGCACTGTAGGTATTTTTATGATCATTTTAGCTTGGAAATATCCATAATATTTGCGTAAGAGCCTTTGAAATATGAAGCACAAAATTTATTATGGGTTCAACCTCATGCAGCCGCGATTAAGTAAAAATAAGTAGTACCTGAGCGAACGAGGTTCATTCACCGTCAACGAGTTCTTGCTATTTATAATATTGCAGTAGATTATTCATTATAAAAAAATATATAATGTAAATAGAATATCAAAAGAATTTCTAAAAATAGAAATTAAAATAGACTTTAATTTAATAGCTTTTGAACAGTTATAAAACTTTTTCAATCTACTACTTATTCGGAAACCTGTCTCATCACAAGAAGAACAAGTAAGAAACTTGCCTGTTGCTCTTAAATAGATTGGTAATGGTTATAATTTGTTTCAAAGTTACTTTCTTTTTAGAGTATTTAATAAAAATCATAAATTAACAATGAATTTTACTATTACAGACAGTTAGGGAATAGTTCGATTATTATTCAAATAACCAATATATGACACCACTACTACTGTAGCACTATGTCAACTACTGCATGCAGCGTTTCTACTCGAGTTCATGTACCACGTTATATTTACCATAAAATGTATCCACATTTGCATGCACACGCTGCATGCAATAGTTGACATAGTGCTACAGTAGTAGTGGTGTCATATATTGGTTATTTGAATAATAATATAATACTTTTGTCTACGTATCGATGTCTAATATCAGTTAATCGGACAATCGCGGGTTACCTTGAACGAGCGAGAGGCGGAGACGCGCGGGTGGATGGGTGACCGTTGAGATATTCCAATTCGATCAGCAGATTCAACGTCACGTAGTCAATTATATCACAACTTAATTATTTTAATGTTATACTTTTATTCGCGTAATAAACATAATTTTTCTAACCTTTATGATATAAAATTCATTGAAGAGTATCTAATATTATTTTGGAACATCTGACCAAAGAAAACATCAGAATCATAAATTGACCATTCGACCCGCATTATCGTTAATTGAAAAATAAGCTAAAATACGGTGTTAACAATATGTTACCTTTAATATTAATGTTACAGTTTAATAAAAGAACTTCATTGTCCCCTCCGATCGATCCCCCGTCCAATTCAAACGGGGATCGAAATTACGACGGCCTGAGCCGAGGGTCGAACCCCTTGCGGTGACCTCAGAATAAAGTCGTATCCTTCCGCGGGAGTGCCATCTACTCTCATCTGCCCCTATCGTTTGGCGAAGCTGTAAAAACCAGCTGCAGGTAACAGCATTAGAGTAGTCCGAAAAAATATATTTATTTTACAGATGCGTATCGTCGATTTATTCTCCAAAAAGTCTAATCTAACGGGAATGTTCGTGAAAGAGTCTCCACAAATAAATGGATTCGTCCATAAGGTACACATAAGCGTGGATGAAACGGGAACCATAGCGGCTGCTGCGTCTTCAGCCTTCGTTGTACCGTTAATATCTGATGGCATACAACTCAGGGTGGACAGGCCTTTTCTGTTCTTTATAAAGGACAATAATTTGGGCATCGTGCTTTTTGAAGGAAAGGTCGATGATCCGATACCTTATGTTGCTCCTAATCATGCGGCGCCAGGTCAGTGTATTAGTTAATAGAATAGAGAATTTATTTTGTTAGAATTAATATGTAATTTATATCATAAGGAATATAAAAAAACTTTTAAAAATTATTTAAGAGTTGTATGTTACAATAACAGTTAACAATAAATCTGAACACATTGTTCTACATGTGTTACAAAAGTTTTTTTTATTATGTGGGATACGTAATAAATCAGTAATTTTAATTAAACAAAGACCTTTTGTATGTTACTTGAAAAAATTAGATATTATTTATAACACTTTGAATTTGCTTTTAAACTTTTAGTAATTAACAAAAACACAAAAATACTGTATATTTTTGTGTCTTTGTTAATCGCGACTGTTATGTCAGATTGGGTAGTATGAGGTATTGTCAACTGTCTATGTCAACTGTTGTGGTAAACGCAACACTTGAAATGCCACATTTCAGATATATTTTAATTCAACGTGGCAGGAGCGAACTTACCATTGTCTTTCGGATTATTTTTTAATTTAATATCGGTTTTTTATTTACCCAGTAAGTTAATTTTTTCTTTAGTGTAGGCTAGATTTGCTCTCACGACTTCTTGTGTGGTTTGTAGATCACAACTTATTGATACCAATTACATGTACTAATAACAACAAGTATAATAACTTTTTTATTCTTTTTTTCAGAGCCTGCCAAAGATATCAAATTAAATGGTACTAAAAATAATCAAATCCTTAAATTAAAGAGATATACCTGAATAATTAGTACAAACACAGTTAAATAGTGGTTTTGTATTGTATGAGTATTTTATAGAAGTGATACGGTGAAGTAAATAATATTATTAAAATTATAAGGTTGTATTATTTAAATTGTAGTAACTGCGAGTGAACCTAATCCTGTCAAAATTGATCCAGCCGTTTCAGAAATTCGCAAGAACATAGAGGCAGACAGATGACAATGTTTAAAATTAATATTTTGCTTGGTTGCTCACCCATGAAAAAGCGGCACAAGAATTTCGTTATTTATCCCTCCCCCGTTATTACCATTGTTGTCACAATTCTGAGACCTACGGGTGCGTCACATATTTTTTGGTTAATAAAAAAAATATATTTTAATACTTTTAGATTTTGAAATTTGACGTCACGAAATTTAAGTCTCCTTCTAACCTCCTTACACACTGGAACACTTTGCCGATTATCTCTCCCCTACTTTTCTTATTAGGTGGTTTGGGCCATCATTCGTTACTAAAAACTCACCCTCCCTTAACATGTGACGTAATTTATAGATGGTTTCTTAACATATTAGGGCATTTGATTCTGCAGTATTAAAAGTTGGTCATAGTCAATAGTTAAGATAACCTGACCACTGATCGTTAGTATGCGGCCGCTCTAATTGCGCAATAAAAAATATGCAATGTTTATTCTGTAGTAATATATTCAGGTGTATTTGTTTGTAATCTCATTAGTTTATTGTTTACTGTTTACCCGGTTATGTCGATCTTATTATTCGGGTCACAGGTGTTTAAGCATAAATTGTATGAATACATTACAATTTATTTAGTGTTAGAACTCATACTAGTATGAGCAGGGTTGCCACTCTTCTAATTTATTGCCTAGTAGTCTAAAACTGAGACAGCCGTCTCAGTTTTACACTCTCGTGACCCGACGAAGAGTTACCAAATATTCCAATTCACTATATATATCTAACTATGACCCTGTGAGGGTAGATATTATATAGGATTGACAATGATGATGGTAGTAGTTCCATTACTAGCAATAGCATATATAATTACTATTACTGAAAACATCGTGGTCAATTTCTAGTAAATTCGCCACCATAAGCAAACTGACCTGAGTTCATACTAATTCTATTATTCTTTACTGGTGCCCTCGCCCGACGTCGAACACAGGGTACCTTTTTAACTAAGAAAGCAGACGAAGTCGCAGGTAATAACATGTCAAAGACCCAGACCAACACATACAATCATACTTATAAAAACAGATGTCTCTACAATGATGAACCCGCGACCACAGGAAGTAAAGCGGTGTGCTAAACCCCTAAGCCACAGAGGCTGTCGTGATAATTAACGTGTAACAATTATAAGTAGCTTTCGATTAGAAAGAGGTAATAAGCAGTTTACGGCACGTATAAAATTGAATAAGTGAGCAGACATAGTGCAGAGAAAACAGGAAAGCTGAATAATTTATAGGAGAGAGGACATTGATACAAACTGGTTTTGCACGATAATTTAGTCAGTTCCAAGTCATTTCACTTTCATAATTGCATGTGTCTTTAATAAATGAACTATATTCTACTTAGACAGTTATAAACAAAGTTTTCTAAATCTAAATTTTGTTTGTAATTTATAATAATTATACGTGTGTTGAGACCACATAAAAACTACTTCAATCGCATTATTAAAGGATGTCTGAACTACTGATAAACACAGTATTAAATTTATATAATAAACATATATAATTTTACCGTATTAGAAGCATCACTTTAAAATATATAGTGAATCATCAAGATCGGATTACACAGGAAAAAGTTTTGACACAAACAAACAACAGACGTCTTCAGAACTTCTTAAATGTTTTGAAATTCAATCAAAATCTTGAATAAAATCCGATTCTTTATTAGACTTATTTATTTCATATAAGTATTAAATGACATTATTAGTGAGTAATTTTGATTGTATTCTATATAAAATAAATCATGAGATCTCTATAATATTTGAATATCCAATGAAAATCAGCGCTGGTAACTATGTTTCCAGCATTATGCTGAGTTGTGCTCCACATTGACTCTGTTTTTTATTTAATTAAATAATCAATTTTTTTTAAATGTTAGCAATTTAATTAATGCTTACATTTTTTATGTAACTATTATTGTGCAACGACAATAAAATATAAATACAACACAACGAGTCAATAAAACATATTCTATTCTATTCGAATATATTCGAACTCGGGACGGGTCAGTAATGCCACAGATAACATAATATTACATAGTAATACTGTATAAATTGGTCAGAAATCTATGTAGTTCATGTGAATATTGAGGAAGAATTTGAATTTCATTTCCAAACTGAAAGTAACTTTCACTGCGTGTCATTGTTTTGCATATGTAATACGAAAATTTCTACTGAAGCATTATCATATTTATCCCCGCAGGTAATATTTTTATTTATTTTATTTATTTATTTAATTCAGGCTACATGGCCCATATTATAGACTAACATATATTATTATAAAAATAATAATAAAATATGTAAACACATATATATATATACATATATATATATATATATATATATATGTATAATTGTAAAATATATTTATGCAATATATATATATATATATATATATATAATAAAAAAGAAGACCTTTGAACCACCAATAATAAAAAAAGGGTATTTATGTGTGTGTAAGTCAATTATGTGTGTAATGTAAAAATTATGACACTGCACTACTTCTCTTCCATTTGCGGAATTTTCGGGGTACAAAGTTTTTGGGTAACGTCTTCATTTTCAATATTGTGATTAACCTAAAAAAGAACAAAAACAAATGCATTTGGTCTCTTAATATTTTAGAATGCGCACGTGACACGCTTTATGTTGTAGGTACCACCGACCAGCCCAGTTTCGCCCGGGTATTTCAATAAATTTGCACAAAATCTAACTGCATGCCACACTTTTAAGAAGAGTTCCTCAAAAATCACTCTGTTAATGAACGAAAATCCTGTCAGTACTTTTTGAAATTATTAGTTATTTAGTATCTGTAACATGACCTTGCAGGGGGAGGAGGAGAGGATTGTTAGTAATGGAGACTAGTGGCCTAATCGTTCCCATTGTTAACAACGCCCAAACCAACACGCGGTGCTTCCTGGTAACCATCCTGGTTAATTCCTGATGACTTCGTCACGATCGGATAATTGACCTGCTAACCTTATGTTCATACTATCATCCTCCGCTGGTGCCACCTGCTAGCAAAATACAAGCCTTGTTTTGCTTAGGAGTATGTACGATTGTGCTAGATAGCTTTAGAATGAGAAGAAAATAACCTAATTTTTGTAGCCGAACAATCTTGGCCACGCAAGTATTGTTGTAGGAACTACTCCTAACTACTTCATACTATCTTGTATAAAGTAATGAAATTTCGATGAAGGACATTGAGGACACACAACTGGATGGACGAGTATTTACAACATTGTTTATTTAATTTTGGCGAATGGAGAGTGCAAAAAGAAAATTGGTCGCGTGCGAGCGATGCAGTTTACTCGGTATTTCTACGTCCCAGTTTTAAGTGGATTAAAACTGTCTCTCTAGATGAAACTCATTTCTAAAGTAACAAAACAAACTCATTTGAAGACTAGTTTTCTGTTACTATAATACTGTAGATATTGATGATGAACTATTTGCTGGTAGGGTGATGAATATGGTTTCAAATGGGTGCTCTTAAAGGTCGTTTTATCTCACTGCCGTACAGCCTACGGCCGATTTAAGAAGAATAATATAAGGAAACGTATTTATTAATGAGTAGGTATGATTCCTAGTATTTAGCTAAGTATTTTTTACATCCAATGTATCAAAAATACTATTTTGGATAAATCCATATTGTGAAAGGTTTATATTATAAAATGTTATCAACAAAAATACACTTTTTGATTACATCTAGAATAATGTACTAGGAATCAATCATCTTACAATAATAAGCACTTTTATCTCGCAATATAAGCAGTGATATTGCATTTCAAAAGAACTTTGTAATTCAAATATAATAGGATATATACGTCCAGTTTAACAGAATGTTTCCTTAAATGGTGGTAAAAATAGATAGAAATTAACTGAAGCTGGTTTCATAAACTTGACTTGAAGGAAATCCGTTGACGTTCATTAATATGTGAACATGTGATATTATTAATTAACTTTCTTTGTATTTATTGGCAATTTATATTAGTATGTTATTACAAATTTTGGAAAGGAAATAGACAACATGGGCTAAAAGAACCTACAAACGGCCTTATGACATGATTAATATTTATTTATATTTGCTTCATATATAGCCAGAAGAGATCTTTGTTAATTAAAAAATATGACCTAAAATGGCCATAATCACGTTTATTTGATGAATACATAAAAAGTTGTTTTTGCTCTAAATAAAGTTAATTAGAAAATAATCAATAACAATTAGTATATATTTTCCATTACCAATTGGGTTAATTCAGTAATTCAATTGGTAGATATAATATGAATCCGGATATTAGATGGACATAGAATATAAATAAATAACAAAATTTCGACACGGTAATAAATGTTTAAGAAATATAAAGTATAGAAAAAAAAGGAGCGTTGTATTCTAGTGATTTATTACTCCGATTTAAGGCCGTGAGTTCTAATTTAAAAATAATTTTTGCTTGACTCTCCGGTGTTTGAAACAACGATAACAAACCAAAAGACGGCGGTGGCATACTTCCTGCTACCCCATCTAATGTAACAGTCGTGAAGAAATAATATTATAGGTTAATATAAATTCTAAAGTAGGTGCGGAAAAGTAATAAAGCCACGCTATACTTAAGTGGTGTAAACTAACTTATGTACCATAAGTTTGTGAACGACGATTAATAAAAAAGGCAATAATTGTGAGTAGGTACTGTAATTGAGTTATGTTGGACTATTATTATTTCTTTTTATATTATTACAAAATATTTGTATTTGTAAGAACTGGCTACCTAAAAATATGAAGTTTAGCAATATTTATGTACTAAATGCTCGTATGTTCGTACGGCTCTATTCTTGCTGTCGTTTCTTCAAATATAACTGTTAAATGTCTAGATATAAACGTAGTAAGCCGGCTTCCGCGGACGTCACTCTACTTGAGAACGGCGCATGCGCGGCCGTTTCCCGCGCTTTTTTGACGTTTTACGCCTTTATTAAAATCTACCGGCAGTGTTTATTTTTTAATTATTGTGCATCGGTGTTACTATCGGACAGTTTCATTCCATGTAAGTTGGAATCGGTCATTGACTTTGTAGTATGTAGGTCATGTTCGCTTTGTTGTGGACAGTTTAACGGGCCTTTATGGTAGGCATTTAAACTTTGTTTATAAAAGCAGTTTACGAGAGTTTACGTTTCTGAATGACAATTTCAAATATTAAATTTCCAAATACTAAAAAAAGATTTAAAATATATTTACGTTTACTGAATATACATTTATATATGTGTAGCTATATAATATATTATAGCTATATATGTTTGGAATAACAACAAAATGTTTAAATATCTACCTCTCGAATGTTTTTAATTATAGCTACATATGTTCATAGACATTTTGATTATATTTTTAAATTTTTGTATAAGTTATTTAAAATAAGATGCTTTGAGATTAATAAAAACAATAAAAACATAATTAATGTGTCCTTGTCAAACTGGTTTTAAACAAACTTTCGATGAAGATTATGCGTCAAGTTTCCGATCGGGCGGTCGTGTTTGTTCCCAGAGAGACATTAGGTTTTATTTTTTTCTTTTAACTTACAGTGGCAAAGGACGTGTCGAACATTAAGAATGCGCCAGTATTTATGCGGTGAGTAAAAAAAAGTTCCTCATATTTTATAATATACAAAACAAATGTTTGCAGAGAGTGCAAACATTTTAGTTGAATTTAAGTTTTACATATTCTCGTAAGTAATATTTAATAAACTAATGATTTTATAGATAGTCATTGCATATCTAATAAGAAATGAAGATTAATGTACCTGTATACCGTCCTTGACTGTCTATTTAAATAACAAAGAACATTAATACTAAAGATTCTTTGTCAAGTATTCAAAGAGTATTATTTAATATACTTTTTATGTAAATTGAAAAGCAAATAAGTTGCCGTGTGGTAATCATCTCCTATAAACATGAACAGTACCATGGACATCATAAAATACTTTGTAAGTTGTGCCAGTAGCGCCCCTCATACCTCGCCTTTCTAAGAACTAAGACGGCATGTCCTCGTGCCCTGAAATTCCACTGGATTTCTAACCTTTTACATAGGAACTCGATTTGCAAAGCCAGTTGTAAGCTGCAAAAGTTAATGAGATGGCTATTAGAGTCTGCGAAACTGTAGAATAATAATAATAATGTTATTCGCATAATGTGACTATTCTATTTTTTAACTTCGACGATCTTTATATTTTACCACTTGTAATGAGATTACTGGGTATATAATACATCGTCTTAAAAGGAATATTAAACATATTTGTCATGTACATAAAATCACAAAACAAGTAACCGACTTTTTCTTTCAACCAATACGAATATGGGAATAACTTGCTATGTTCCTAAAAAGACTCATTGAAATGCTGTTAGTGTGAAGATATCTAGTAACTTACACAAATATTAAATACCGATTTTAGAACCTTTTTAGCAATCGATTATAAGTAATAATGGAGAACTATTATTTGCGTAGATTATGTAAGACAGCGTGATCTCATCGCAAAGTCAAAGGTTCAAGTAGTTCTTACTAGTTATAACATTTTAGAAACTCTTAAAGTAAGTGTAAACTATACCCAACTATTTGAAATCCATACTTACACAGTAATCTGTACTTACCCTATATTATAAACGAGAAAGTGCATGTTTGATACTTTTTTAAGATTATATGGCTGAATGGACTCTAATGAAAGGCGTGAAGATAGATTATCACGAGGATGTATAAAGGCTGCCTTTTTTATCTCAAAAATAACAAAGCACAGCCGATATTTTGAAAAAAGATTTTTTAAATACTCTCCTTTATGGGTATCTCTGTCTCATCCATTTCAGTCAATGCAATAGAAATCCGCAATGCGATTTTGTCAGCTGTATTTCGGTTGAATGACAAGGCATAACATGATGTTCGTGGAGTTCTTCACGTATATAGATGACAATTGCAACTTACCACCAGGTGTACCGTCAGTTTGTTTATCATTCCAGATACATACAGTAATAAAAATTTCTGAGACCAACAAACATATTGTTACGAATGTTATCCAAGTAGTAGAACAATCAGAGGCATTGTTTACTGTTGATTTTGTATTGAATGTTGGACATAGACACCTAAATAAATATATGTTGTAAATAAATTGGCTAAAAAAAAGTTATTCAATTGAGTTTTCCAGTTCAATTGAGGTTGCCAGTTCTTCTCAATTGGATCTATATACCGAATTGGAGGGTGGGGAAAAAATTAAAAATTTGACGGCTATAATTTTAGAACGTAAAACTTTTATTGATACACAAAGTTTTTTTGTGTCGGCCAGATTTAATCTCACGACTATTTACTACTTACTTAATTTACTTACTTTACTATTTACTATATTAAATGTAAATTAGAGAAATAAACCACTAAGTTACGACGCTCTCAAAAATGCCTCAATTAAAATATTATTGTGTAAGTTAGACTTTATAAAGAATACACATTAATAAAAGAGCTATTTTTCTCACGTATTTTTATTCCGTGTACTCGTCACCTTTGGCGTTAACGGATGTCGATAAATAAACAAGTCTGCATTTAAATCAAATGCAGATAATATATGTACGTGATTCTGCAGTCAATAGCAATTGATTTAAATGGCGAGTTGTTGCGTTGCTTCACCATAAAAACAATGGCCAGTGCAGAATATTTACAAGTTTTGATAACAGTAATGTCAATGGACTTGATCTGTTAACAATCTCGAGTAACACCGGTCAAAAAATACAATACACTAAACTTAACCTAACTTAAGAAGTAGTGCCATACTTGGTGACTAGTAAATTTTTTAATCTATTTTTGTATTTTATGCTATTTTTATTGTTTTTTTTTGTGTCTTAATGTTTGTTGACAGACCGAAGCTATATTTTATCTTATAAAAAACAAGAAGTCGCGTGAAACAGCTAGTTATTTATATACGCAGTAGATCTTTTGCGTTAAAATACTTATAAAGCTAATCGCAAACCGTAATGAGAGTAGCAACATATGTTACTCATAAACGCATTACAGAGTTTATGACTAAAATAAGTTTTAATGTAGGTTTACATTTTTGTTAATGAAATTATTATAATGAAACAAACAGTAAAATGGAAACGGCATTCAAATTGGTTAAGGTGTTTCAGAGTTTAGCGTTCGAAAATGGTTACACAAATACTATATAAGCAATAATATTTTTTTTTACCTCAAGGATGTAAATGCAAAGTGTACAAATAGTTTATTTTTAATATGGTGCGATTATAATTATACTAGAGACTTCGATGGTATATTAAATGTAATAATTTCTGTCCTTTTAATACAATATACATTCACAATTTCATTAAAATTCGTTAAGTCGTTGAGTCGTGAAAAGGCAATAGACAAACTGACAGATACACTACCATATTTAAATTATTAGTATGGATTAAATGCACGATTATGTTCGGGCCGATAAACGGTATGGTTTCGTGAGTAAATCAAATATAAATTCGCCGCAATAAGTTATCTCCTGTGCGAATGGTCCAAGGTTACTTTCCCAGGCGGTATGCGCTAGATTGCTTAGAGAGTAGGAACACTATGGTCAGTAGAATAAAATTTTATATCTCGCTGCCTAGGTAATCGGCTATATTATTTGTGTAGTCACATTAACTAGAAAAAAAACAATGTAGGACTGCCGTAAATCATCCCCAGCCAGGTCGAGTTATTTTCAAAACAAAAAAGAATGTTGTACTTTAAAAATGTTTTCAATAACGATTTATAGTCAGGTAGCTATTTTTAATAAATACGTTAGCGTGTCACATCCGTGTTTTTAATATATATGTAATACAATAGTTATGAATAGCTTAATTTGAATTTAAAAGCGTAAATACAGTAAATCACGATGATTATCTATTTTTCAATGTCCTCGAGTAACCTTTGTTATTTTTAAACTTTGATAGCATTAGTATTCATGAATGACTGTTTATCGATTAGAGTATTTTCTGTATAAATCTGTTCTCTCTATATATTATATCGTAATTTCTAAAGAAAAGTATTTATATAATACTATTACTACTACTACTAACTTTGTATGAGTCTAAATCGGTGTTTCCCAATTAGTGGTCCGCGTACCCCCAGGGGTACGTGAAGTGGCATCGAAAGGTACGTGCGTCTATCAGTAAAACAAACATACACACTCACAAACTTTCACTTTATAATAACAGTGTGTTTGCTACAATAAGAGGTAAGGCAAGGTTTGAGGTCCTTTTTGAAGTAGTACGCGGCAAAAACGATTTGAGAACCACTGGTCTAAATTAATGTTATGAACGCGAGGTTGGAGAGGTTAGTTGGAAGGATGGATATTTGTCACTTGTTCACTTAATAGTTCCATAATCGATTCGAATGAAATTTGGTATATAAATCATACATATCCATTCATTTTTATATTCCTACTTTAGTATTATTTTTTCGTTCAATTCTTAAAAATTGTATAACATATTATCTTTAGGAGAGCAATGGTGTCTGTTTTTATGCATTCGTTTCTGACATTTCTTATTGACTATTTCTTCTGATTAAGGTTCCCTAATATTTGTTTTTCTCTAAATTATATCTCACAATTACATCCAGTGATTAGTTATGTTTATCTTACAAGGATATAGCTGGTGAATATTTGTTTATGGATGCTGGAATAGCGCACTTATTTGCGTAAATGGTTTCAAGAAAAGTATAAAGTTCACAAGATTAATATTAACAAGTTTCAATTAGAGACCGCGTAGAGGACGTACTGACGACACGTTATTAGCAATATAGTAAAATATATTTCACGATTGAGTAATTGAACAATACCGTTATTTTTCTACTATCCGTACACATCTCAGTACAATAGCATAGGGTCAGCATAGTGCATTCACCGTGTCCGTTCGCCTGCACCGTGCTTTACTTATCCGACACTGGAACACGATAATGAATGCACTTTAGATACGTACTACAGCAATTATTGCATTACCTACATTGTGCATTCTTTGGTCCTTCGAGCCGGATGTATGTTTGGTAATTGATATATTTTTTATGCGGCAAGTAATTTCATTAGCTACATTGTTTTTATATCGTGCTATTTTGTGGCTAACATTAATACTTTTAACTTTGCGTTACAATGTAGTAGGATATGAATTAAATTTGAAATTTACTGCCTCAATATATATAAAATGTATTAAATATAAGAATAATAATATATTTAATGCTATAACGGTTATAACTTGATATTACACCCGTGCGAAGCCAAGGCGGGTAGCTAGTTAGGCTCGAAAAAATTATACATAAAATATTTCTTAGAAATATTGTGAAAATGGGTGTCACATTTATTTTGTCCATTATGTTTTCCCATAGAATGACATGCAAATATTATTTGTTTAGAAAAATATTTATATGTACCTTATAACTAGCACGTAAAAACAAACTCGTTAACTTTATAGGCTTTGTGACTGGAGCGGAAACACAATGACTTATTAATAAAACTGTTTAATAATTGTAATAAATGTGTATATTTTCCAAAAGAGCTCACAGCGAAGAACATGTCAAAAGTGACATAAAAAGCAGATATAAAAAATAATAGAAAATTTATACAAAGAATGGTGGACAAGCCGCCAGCAACAGGCTTAACGTTATATATATAAGTTTATAAAGTTATATAGAACCTACATATTATTGTAGATGTTATGACATATACTATATACATAGATAGACTACATTTTAAAAGTTTTTTTATTAAATATGCATTGGATATAAAGAGTACTACAAAAATCATAAAACATGATCTTATAATGGCGTGCAGTCGTCGAGGATAACTTATTAATTAGGTATATTATTAACCAGATGAGGTCACTAAATTGCTTGAGACAATGCTTGCTATTAAATCAACATTCCAACCGGTTGTGTCGTATATTCATGGTACATACTACAGCAAACGATTCACTAGATTATGTGATAATTATACGAATAAATGTAAAAGTATATAGAGTTTCATTTTACGGGTACTAGATGGCGTTATGTATGTAAAGTATTTCTAATTGTTTATTTTCTTACGTACACTTACATCTTAGTTTTCTTTTAACTTCTGATATATACTGTACCTATTCTATAGCAGATGATTACATGCTCTTAATTGATAACTTGCTTTTCTAATAAAAAAACAAACAAGTCTGTTTATTATGCAAGTATGTACGTATACGAGTAATTATAATTTCAAATGGAGTTTATTTGCCTGTTATACGTTGTATAGTATAAACGGTGTGTTAAATTACAAACAAACAACGGGCAGATATAATATTTTTGATACAATAATTTTGATACAATTATTATCTAGAAAACTATCCAATAAACTTATTATTAATGAAATAATTGTACAATAAATAGTGCAATTATTTCACCGGTATTCTCACTACCTAGAGACTACAATAAACAGAAAATTATGTAGCGATATCTCATCACACCATATAGTATATAACACTACAGTGGTGAATAATTATATACAATAATATTTATGTACATTATTAGTAGTGTTATTCGACACAAAACTTATAGTTAAGAATGAATAAAATGAGCAAATAAATACAATGTTTTAGTTATCAATTATGAAGAAAACGTGGAGGCAATAATAAATAATCGGACTCACATTTTCGCAATTGAATATTATAAAATTAATTCGCTGATCAAATCAGTGACATCGAAACTCTATGTATACTTTTTATTTCATTTTCAACCATAAATTGTAACCTATAGAGTCAAATATTGCTATTATTAATTGATGGTAAAGTACAAGTTATCGTCAACGCTTTGATAGAACAAGACAAAAATGTAGACAAAGAGTGTTCTTCCTTTTTATGACTTTAGAAAGAATGTAGCAATAGTCCGGAAGATTCATTTAATATACTGAGCTGATATGACGTCGTTCTAAATAGATACAGTCTCCATGATACCGTTGTGAATAACAAGCTGAGCGTGCGCTTTACGACCGTAACTAGATGGGTCCAAGATTACGGTCTACTATAGTACTGTAGCGCGGTGGTTATCCTCACCACTGTAGCGTTATATATGATATGATGTGACGTCACTACTTAATTTATGTGTTTATTATAGTATCTAGGTAGTGTGTATACCGATGAAATAATTGTAAATATTTATTGTAAGTTAGTAGGTTTATAATAATATAAACTGTGCTACAAAGATGATTAGAAATGCGAGTACTCAATGCGAAGTCGTAAGATTGTGGATTGTTTTATACTGAACTTAAATCTAGTGTTGACAGAAATATTACGAGTGTAGGCACAGTATCTTAACTTACAATACTTTGTGAGATAATTAGATTCTAATGTTCAAAAATATATCCTATATATAAAATTCTCGTTTCTTAAAAATGGCTTAACCGATTGCGATGAAATTTTATATGTACTATATACTCGGTTGGTCTGAAAATAGATTGTTATCTATTTTTTATACTCCTAAATGTTAAGCGTGGCCCAGCCCTATTTTTTATTCATAAATTTTATTATTCGTTATTAAAAAATACAATCAACCCTGAATTATGTGTTGTTTCTTATGTATTTATTCATATAATGTGAGGGTGAATTGTGAATACAAAGATTCGCGTGCATATCTTAGTGGTCTACTTGATGACGCTGGAAATAAGAAATCTCTATCCTCCTTATTTATGGTGCCATGTACTTTATCTTTAAAGGTGTATTTCACCATGAACGGTGATAAATGGCAGCAATATTATTGTGCCAACTCGAAATTAGACAGAAGTGAATAAAACAAGATATATATTAAATTTCATTGTGCACTCAAAAGATAGTATATTGATTCATATCAATATAACCGTGCACCGGTACCTCGGTATCGGTTCTATACTAGTTTTAATCGGTCTTGATTAATGTGGGTCGCGTACGAGTAGCGGTATCAATGCGATATCGTTATTTATAACGTAACTGTTTCTGCAGGATATCTCTTGGTATTTATAATACTCATCTCTGGGTCAAGGTTGTTGTTAAGATAAGCTACAAAACAAACAAATCAGCTAGAGTGAGAATTTGTAGGCAGTCTGCATAGGTACCTCGTTTGGACTATTTCTACCGACAAGAAGGCTGCTTTAAAAGTCATGTTAAGGTTGAAGGTATAGTATCTTTTTTCTCATGAATGGCAGCAGTTGTATAACAGGCGTAACAATACCTATATTTTGTATCTAGTTGAACGCAATGCCTCGTACCAATAAAACTGTTTTCTTTGTAAAGCTATTGGAATAATGGATTTGTTGATGATGATATACCAGCTGACACACGCAACTTAAGATAGTAAGATTTTATTTTATTTTATTGACAGTGTTGTTTCTATGCCTGGGGCTTACCAACGCAAGATGGCTGCGAAGTGCAAGGTCCACACAACCCAAGGAGACCAGCTTTGTGGGCGAAGCCACTAATGAACTAAGCACAGCTCTTTTCCAGGTAAAATAAAATGATTTAATAAAATGATCAAAAACTGTACCTTAATATTATTCCTCTTACAGTGTATATACTTGTACCTAATGGGTTTTATAAATTTTCGATAGACAGTTACAATAACCGATTTACGATAATTCAATTACGTATTTTCTGCTGTCTGTTATAAATTATTTGTATGACTTCATCTGGAAGTCTTCTATAAAGTGATTGTGGTGTATCGGTCACAATTTCTTTAATCATATTGATATTATTATAAACCGAATTAAACTTACTGCAAAAAAAAACTATGTTAAGGAATAAACAAATATTATATTTCATTTTCAGAGCTACATCGATGATGACAAAGATATTGCCTTTTCACCACTTGGCTATGCAGCTATACTAGCCATTTTAGCAGAGGGAGCTAAGGGTGATACTAGGCAACAACTGGTGTCCGCCCTTCACCTTCCAGAAGATGAGGTACTCACCCGAAAGACCTTCCGCTATATTATGAAACGACTGAAAAATACAAATGAATATAAATACAATAAACCTGAACTCAAGAACTACTTTTACGTTTTCAAAAATTACACAATAAACGAGGAATATAAGAAAATATTGGAAGAGTATTATTTGACGGAAGTAAGGTCTGTAGAAAAATATGGTGAAGCTGATCATTCGTGCAAAGATGAAACTTGTTTCTCGGAAGCGAAACCTAGTGAGAATGAAGAAGATGATCCAGAATTAATGCCTAAAGATACTGACGAAAAATTAATATCTTTTGCAATTGATGATAAACCTGAAAAAGTGGATGTTACAGCTACTGAATACAAACCCGCCAAGAACATCAAAGAAAAGATTAAACTAGTTAAAACATATTCTAAGAAACAAGAATCAGAAGACGATGAGGAAACCATGGTGGCTGTAGAAGCAAGAAATCACGCCAGAAGCGTTCAAATATTGGATGACAAAATGGATATCACCTCAAGCATGTCTGCTAATTACGTTGGGAAGAAAGTTAGTCCTTGTAAGTGTATTTTATTATTATTTTCATGTTTTGATGCATCTAGTAAAACTAGAAACTTAAATAAATACTGATTCATTATATATAAAGATTACGATATGTATAATTACGTATATCATTATTATGTCATAGGTATATGTTAGCTATTTATTTTAGCAATTACCGTCAATATCTACAATATTAAGAACTAACCTACCTACTACTAAGGAGACCTCAGGATATCTATTTGATAAAATTGAGATATTGGACCATTACTTACAACATTCTAGTAAACATTTCTTATTATTTCCTTTAAGTACCAGACAAATTCTAAACAATCGCATAAATATCCTTCTCAGTTCTTCTTAATTTTCATTCCAGCATCATCTGAGACCAAATCTCTAATGTTAATATTCAACGGCCTGTACTTCCGTGGTTCGTGGAAGCAGCCTTTCGATATCGTGGAGCCGGGTGTATTCTATAAATCTAGTACAGAGAAGAAACAAGTTCCTATGATGAAGGGAAGAGGTGTATATAGAACTGCATCTTTACCCAGTCTTGACAGTGAAGCTATACAATTACCGTACGATGTGAGTATATTTGGTAGTATCATAGAATACTGAATTAGACTTTGTCCAAAGATGCCTATGTGCCTTAATCTCACTTAATTCTCCCACCAAGCAACGTGCTTTGTATGCTGTGTTTTGGTATGAACATCGAAATATTACTGTGAAATTACCATGCAGACTTGAGTATTTGTCAATATATATATTTCTGACTAGTGACATTCATGCAAAAAACTTTATACAAAGCTAATCTCAGAAATAATGATGAAAAACAATCTTAGAAACATCATCATCACTGATTTTATCAACTTTTTACGAACTAACAATGTTGGTATATTGTTGGCTGCAGCAACAGCTTTATTAGACGAAACTAAGATCGAGTGGAGAGCACTTTAAACACGCGAAAGGTCTTTGTCTACAGGTTTACTCATGCCTGAAGGATACGACTCTTGTTTAAGGACATCGCTAGAAGTTCGAATCTCGGCTAAGACCATCGTAATTACTATTATATAATATGTAGGTGCCATTTACGTAGCTACGTTTTAAACTTTATATCTTCTATATTATTATATTTCAGGGCGGACGTTACGTATTGTTGATAGTAGTGCCAAGGTCTCGTGATGGTCTCACTCGTCTCATAGCTGACCTGCCTTCTACTCCTGTTGCGGACATTGAGGACAGTCTGCGGGAAGAAGAACTCCAAGTCTCCTTACCGACATTCTTCGTGGAAACCACCACTAAACCAATTGCTGCTTTGGCTAAGGTATACGAGAACTGCTTGTTGAAATTATAAGAAAATAATCCAGCGTTTCCTATTTCGATGGCATTCAAATTTTTTGTCTGCCTTCTTAATTTTTTATACAAAAGATGAATTTATGAATCAAATAGCATAATATATACATTTAAATTTCTCTTATTTTACTTAAACTTATACTCAATGAAGTCTGGTCTATATCCGCTTCGAAAAGCGGTATATTTTAACTGAGGACAGGGAACAGTTAATGCGAGTCGATTCTGCTCAAAATGGGTCAAAAGTTTAGTTAGTTATAAATAATTTAAATCTGTAGAAAATAGAGATCTAGAAAAATAATGGAATACTAGGATGGAGGTAGTCTGATATATAACTATAGTTCTATTCCTTGTACGCTATAAACATTTGTTTATATTGGTTTATGAGTTTTATATTACGTATATGTATATTACGTATTTACAAAAATGGTGTTTAAGTATATTTATCAGTTGTCTAGTACCCATAACACAAGCTCTACTTAGCTTGGGACTAGATGGCGCTGTGTGTTTGTCCAAGAAACTATTATTATTAGCCCTCCTGAATGGCAACGCATGAGTGATATCATGGATGTCACATTACGTGATATTAATGATCCTGTTCATATATATAGGGTACTATTTACCAATCATCAGGTGGGTCGTCAAATTCTCCATTCCAATTACATACATAAAAAATATGGATTATATCTTTTGCATATTAATTCATATGATGATGTTTTAATTTTCAGTTTGGAGTGAGCAGCATCTTCAGTCGTACGCGTGCAGAATTGACTGGCGTCTCCGAGATGGAAGGTCTATTTGTACAGGAGTTGGTGCAGTTCGTAGCCATCAGAGTTGAGAATAATGATGCATCTGCTTCTCAATTATCAGGTCAGTAGACCTAACAGTAGAGTAAAGTATATGTACCAGGTCACGTACTGCAAATCCAATTAGTTTTATTTCAACAATGATTCAGTTCTCCGGTACAATTTATCCTATAATTTGCCTTACAATTAACTTACAATGTTATCCTATATTGTCTTTGGAATTTCAAATTCAAATCATGTCGTTTTATTACTTATGTAGTAGTTGATGTTAATAAGTTTACGACATGAACTCTGTTCTTCATTCCATTGCGATAAAGCTTTGTTAATTTAATGATTGTACTTGTGACATAGTTATAGACTTATTACAATGTAATTACACTAGGTGGTACACATATTATAGCGGTAAATGAATTTTAAAGAATATTTGTGTAATTCCATAATATTCTGTGACGGAAATATATCGGGTGTCAAAAAGTAAAATTATTATAATCATGTGAAAATCCTTTATGGTTCACTTAATTCTTTTAATACGCTTAACATAGCAACAACGTATAATAATGTTGCGGCTAATTACAATTTAATAATAATATATAATAATCTCAGGACAATTCACACAGCGCCATCTAGATCCAAGCTAAGCTAGCTAAAGCTTGTGTGCTTGGCACTAAATAACTGATATATAGATTTTTTTTCGTAAATACATACATATTATACATAGAAAACATCCAGACCGAAACAAACAATCATACTCATGAATACAAATGTTTGTGACGTGCGAGAAATCGAACCCGCGACCATTTGAAGTAAGGCGGAGTGCTGCACCGCTAGACTACCGAGGCCGTCAGTTTGAATATTAATATACAAGAAAAAACCTAAATTAACGAAAAATTAAAGAATAGAGTTTTGTTTTAAATTATATTTAAAAGATAATATAAAGCAAACTCAAATATAATTTTAATCTAGCTTATAGCGAGGTTTTCGGATTAGCAATAATAATTTATATATTTTTTATTTACATATACACAAAGAATACATCACAATAAACACTAGATTTTATGTAATATTTAGTGAAATACATTAGTAAAAACGCACATAATTTGGTTAACACGTTTCTCAGGATTGCGCGTACAGATTATAAAACAAAAATTTTAACAATCATTGTTTTGGGACAGCTATATGTGACTTTTTTATTATATGTGTAGATTATCTTGTTTTTTAATGGATGTGTATAATATGATTATTTATTGTCAAAAATATTCTTGAAATGTGCGATGTTTAAATATTAAATTTTTTTATAGCTGCGAATCCTGCTGGCGAGTCTCTCAAGAATCTACCACTAACTCAGTTGAAGCCAGTCCGTCGTCTTAACGTCGAACATCCCTTCATATTCTTCATTATGGATTATCTGGACAATTTGATCGTAGCCAGCGGCAAGGTCGTCGACCCTCAACAGCACAAACCGTTGGAAATTTAAATTCAGAATATGAAAATTGCTGAATCGAACACATTTCTTGTCAAAACTTCATTTTATGATTCCATTTTTAAATTCATTCTGATGTCATTTTATATTATTCTCAACTGCCAGTTTTTTTTTGTTTCAATTTAAAGTTCTTGAATTTTCTTTTGAAACCTATTTTGATGTGAAATTAACTAAAATGTAGCAAATATACGGAACTTTACTACTCAATAAAACCAGAAGCATTTGATAACGAAAAAGTACACAGCCTAGGTAAGTTAGAATGTAATAATATAGTTAAGTAGATGTTATTTATTTAATTTAGTATGGAAGATGTGATTTTACTAATAAATTATTTATTTTGTGGCGTTATTTTATTTTTTCTTTCTTCTATAAATTGTGTAGAATACCTTTCCCTAGCTTTTTAAGAATATATCGCCGGAATGCTAATGGGAACTCGCAATGCCGGCGTTTGCACTCGTAGGTACATTTTTTGTAAATAGATACATATTAAATATAGAAAACACCCAGACTAATACAAACAATCATAGAATCAATGTTCAATGTTGTGTTTTCCGTCTACCATTTTTCATTTTGAAATTTATTTATAATCATTGACTTATTTTAATAAGCATGCTTATATCTATTTATAAAGGTATACAGACTTATTGATTCAATTACAATAAAACTAAATTAGTATATATATTTATGGTTGATTTTTTTTAATTGTGGGTAGTTACATGTTTATCAACATTTTAACTCGAACAAGAAATCAAAACAAGCTAGTGGCAACTCCGCTGTCAAAGTTAACGGTTTTTAATTTATAACTTGCAATTGAATAGTCACGCTGGTCGTGACTGCTTGCATTTATTCTTAAAATCACAAACACTGTAATATATTAATAAAATTAAGTGACGAAATGGAAATAAATAAGGAAAATAGGGTCGAAGTAGACAGTAAAATAATAAGCAAGATCCCATTACCAATACATCCATTACCAGCATTACCGAAGCATTTGGTAAAGGAGAAGATGCATTCAAAAAAGAATATAGTGAACGAACGCCATCCATTAAGAACTCTGAACTCTCAATCTTTGGAGTTACCAGGGCCGAGCAAGCCGCTTAGAAAGAACATTGATTCCCGACATGTGACTTTAAGACAAAGGAAAGAAGAGTTAGATTGGGACTACAAGGTATTTAAAGATGATGTTCTGAATAACAGTATTATAATAATAAGTGAAAGTGATGAAGAGAACGATAAAGAATATTTCGTGGGAACACGAAAGAAGAATGATGCCAGTGAGATCCGTGGTGCGATCACACCGACTTCGAAGTCTTTAGAACCAAGTAGAGTGAAGAAGATTAAGAGGAGTCTGAAAAGGCCTCATAGTAAAGAACTCCAGGGTATATCTCCAGCTGAAGAACATAAGCGAGGAGAAGAGAAGCATAAGCGACAGCTATATTTCTATGAACAGACAGAAAAAAGATTATCGTCCCCAGATTTTTGTAAGTAAATAAATCGAGTAATTCCTTTTAATATATACCAATGATTTATTGAATTAAATACGTAAATATATAATTAATTCCTGGCGTCCATTTTGTATTTACTAGTTATTTATAAAAGGAAATATAATTACATAAACAAAGATAATAAATATTACCAAGTAGGTATGTTCATTTTATAAGACTGATCAATAAGCAGTGTAAATCAATTGTTAGTAGATTTTTGTCAGTTTCCAAAATGGCTAATGTTATTACAATAACAGCATAGACAATAACAATGGTTGGATTTTAATAATTGACATATTCTTGCATGCTTCGCGTGGGTCACAATAAAACTAATTAATTCGCTTCATAATATCTCCAATGTGCCTTAAAGTTACTTCTACCTACTTATTATATAGATATAAAAAAATCTTACTTCTTACTAAAATTATAAACACGGAAGTTTGAGAGTTTGGATGGATCAATATTTTTGTTACTTTTTCACGCAAAAACTACTGAATGCCATATTCACAAACATATTGTGTTACCTACCAGTGTAATTATCCCTTGAGATTTTATTTTGTAATAAGTATTAATTTAAAAAAAAAATACGACTATATTTTTAGCTAGCTGTGTTCAAGCTAGCTAAGGAACACGTTTCACCCACACACAAATTTATAAATTTATAGCCATTGTATTATTATGCTGTATAAGCTATATTATTGTACAGTTTCATTAAAATCCATTCAGTTATTTTTGCATGAAAGTGTAAGAAACATCCATCCATCAATCCACACTCAGAAATCGCATTCATAATATTAGTAAGAGAATTGCCAAGTGTACATACAATAATATATATGAAATAAATTGTTGCCAGTGACAAAATCATACATGAATATTTTAAATAAGGATTACACGACCGATATATTCACTTATTTATTGAACACGGAGCATAAGCCAATTGCACCCAGGATATTAAATGTCACCCGCGCATGCGTCGTGAATTGGCTAATGAAAGTTAATGTAAGTATAATTTATTTTATGAATTTATTTGAATAAAGAATGTTCTATTCTATTATATTACTGAACCGGAGGTATTATTATTATTATTGTGTGTAAGAGGTATTGAGGGTTTTAATTGAAAATGTGACTAGTACGACAGAGATATATAATAGAATTACAAAAAGTTATGTATATAAAAAAAATAAGAATAATATAAAAATACATCAAGGTGTTCGCTACAATGTCATAACTACATTAGAGTTATAAATAACTTAATTATATTGAATTATTCATAATTATACTTTAGTACTATGGGATGTTGCTGGCAGCTTGTTCACCGTTCTTTTTGTAAATATTATATATTGAAATATTGTAAGTTCTCTTGGACATATACACATAATATTCAATTTTTTAATAAATAGTCCGTATGTTGGAAACAGTCACAAATACAGTATAGTTATGAATAACTCAATTTAAATTTTTGCTAAAATTATAATTGTTATAATAATATTTATATATATCACACAGGGCGCAAAAGGCAACCCAGCTACAATCCAAATAGCTTGCTGGTATCTAGATTCTATTTTGAGTACGGGACAAATTCATGTCGATAAATTGCAGTTAATAGCAGCTGCTTGCTACTGGATCGCTCAAAAACTTAATGGGCCTGTACTGTCCGCTTCTAGACTTGTCAGGTTTTCAAGTAACGCGTTCACAGCCAAAGATTTGATGGCAGCTGAGAAAGCAGTTCTAGAGCGATTGGTAAGTATGATAGACTTAAGAGTACTCTTTACTCAATAATTATTTACTTATATCAGAAACTCGAAAGTTTAGGTATATGTATAAATGGATGGATGGATTTTGTTACCTTTTCGCGCAAAAACTACTGAACGGATTTTGATGAAACTTTATAGTAACAAAGTTAAATCCTATGTGTTATTCTAATACATAAATTATTATGTATTAGAATAACACATAGGATTTAAAGAGATACTTTGGTGAAATATAATATCTAGTAACTATGACGCAGACAGAAAGAAAATAATATTATGAAATAGGAAAATTAATTATTAACTTCATAAAAATGCCAATGTAAGGTTTAATAAATAATACAATCCTAAACTGTCTGCTCATGTTATTCACTAGTTGAATCTCCATCTTCGTTCGCGTGTACATTCATAGACAGCATGTATTAATGATAATCAAACGACGTCAATAATTAAAACACCTATATGACGTCATTTATTAGTTTTTAAATTAATTATGTAATAAGTAGTGTATTAAAAAATATTCTCTTTATTCTCAGATTATCTTTTCCTATAGCTAATTTTACATGGCATTTTAATATAAAGACAGATCAACAGATAGTGTTCATTATGTCGGTTATGATTTATGGTAACTTTATAAGTCATAAGAAATCGTAAAATAATGGATGAAGTATAGACAATGGTTATGTAAATAAGAGGATTGGTCGTCCACCTGCTTAGTTTGCGTAGAGTCAATAAAAAATCATACCTACCATGTATTATACATATTTGAAGATCCCAAACCGGTTCTACATATATGAATAATAACTATAAATGTCGCATTAACATTATTAAAATTAATTGAAAATTAAGTGATCAAGAATGGTGACGTACGTGATATGATTCATGTTCAAATTATGGTGTTACAATTACATCTTTGTATAGTAGTCGTTGTCAATACTTTATAAACAATTTTAATTAATTAGTATACCTTGGCCGAGTAGGTATCAGTGAAGGATGATAGGATAATAGGATGAGCATGAAGACAGGTTTGTTAGCCTATGGTAGAGAATTCGCTATGAATCGACCACGCTGATCTCTCTTACTACTAAGGGCTTTCCAGTCCCCATTACTGACAATCCCTTTATCTTGATGGTAATAAATTAGAAATACAATGTGTCACTATATCTGTTCGTTAACAAAATATTAGTAGGTTACGATATACCTTGACCGAGTATCAGTGAACGAGGATAGGATAAGGATGAAGACAGGTCTGAAACCTATTGTAGAGAATTCACTATGATTTAACCCACGTTGCTGTGATGGTCCTCCCAGTTTTCCATTACTGACTCCCAGTTCTCCTTCACTTTTATGGTGACAAATTAGTAATATAATAGTCGCATTCATTGACAAAATACAATTAGATGCAATTAAAGAACTAGGAAAAAAATAGGTATCGCTGTGAGAGACGAGAGAAGGAAATGTAAAACAAAATTAAAATCTAGACAAAACCAACCAGCATGATAATAATAGCTTATATTATCTTTATAAGGAAATAGAACTATTAAGATATTTTTTTGATACTAATTATTTTATTTTACACCATGGCGGTTGCAATCAAACATACAGCTTATCTTATAATAAATTATTACCGTAATCTATGGACACCTAAACCATCAATGACCAACAATAATTCTCAATATACCCTTCTTAAAACTCCTCATCCTGTAGTGTCTAAAGAAACTTTGGCAGATAGTACATTCCACAATCTGAGGGCAGGTTCCAGGGTATCAGGATGAATTCTCTGTGGATGGCGAGCAATGCGACGATATAAAGTTTGTTGTAGGCAATATATTTTGTAACTGCATATATTAAAGAGATTCAGTGCACAAGAAAAACCTATTATGCGTTGCAGAAATTTCCAAGACAACCGGTAGTAGCTCAAGAGTACATAACATACTTCTCATGGTGGTGTAACAGTAATTGCCCGGGGAAAATAGAAATGGCCGCGACATTCCTCTGCATGAGCGGTATATTGGTTGATAACAGTTTGTGCAACATATGTCCGTCAGTGGTAGGGGCTGCGGCTGTTAAAAACGCAGTGTATTTGCTCAAGAACCCAGCATTATTGGCACGTCTACAATTATGTCCAGTGTAAGTACAAATGTATAATATTAATATTATATAAGTATTATTTTGTGGTAAATAAAGCCGTGGTCACGAGCCGACCACGGCTAGTGCAACTTAGTCGAAACGTCGAGAGAGGTAAATACTTTTATTTACCATACAATTATTGGTGTTGAAACTCGTTTAATTATATATTTTTAATAATATTTACCAAACGTGAAAGTTTAAAAGTAATAGTAAAATTAACGGTTTTCCACGTTTAGTGTCGTAAGGTGGAAGTCCTTTCTTAGCAGACACTTAAGACATATGTATAATAAATCTATGTTTTAAATTTCTAGACTCAGTAGTTTTGGCTATGCGTCCGTAGTTATCAGAATAAACAGTTTTATAAGTATAGTTTGATTAGAAATGGGCTAAATGCTTTCGCCCTTTAGCCTTTAGCTTTTGAGTTCTGTTCTACCTGAAATCAAAAAGATGTGTGCTAAAATTATATTTCCTACACATTCTACTGCAACTAAAGACATTAATAATAAACATAGGGATGGCAATAAGCTCTCCAGTTTCCATGTTGAATTTAAATATACCTATTTAGGTATGTCAAGTGTTGCGTTCATCTTGACGTCGACAGTTCACAATAACCTTTGACTACCCCAACAGTTGATTAGTTGTGAAGCTATATTATTAGTATAAATAGTTAATTAATACATTTATTTTATGCTATGAAGGGGTATATTTTTTAAATGCCTTTAAAAAAAAAAGGATTTTCTTAATTCGACAGTATTATGTTTTTTTTTCGATTTCTCTAAATCTTTTATTATTTGAAAGCTCGTGTTTGTCCTGTATCAATTACTGTATTTGTGTCTATATCTGTATTTCCTGATCAAAATCTGAACTGTTCTTGAGTTATCGTTAAAAGGCGACTGAAAACAGTTTATCCGAGATCTGAGGGTATCATTACTATAGTGAAAATATATTTATTCTCTTCTCTTCTAGAAATAAAATCCTTACATTGACTCTGATGATTTTTCACATTTTAGACGTGAAAAATTGTAAGATTTTATGTTAATAAATTCCTGAGATCTTACAATTTTTCACGCCTAAAAAGTGAAAAATCATGAGAGTCAATGTAAGTATTTTATTTCTTCTCGTAAGTCTTTTATTATTTTTTGATATCCTTTGGAAAATGTATTATCTTATTTTATTGTTATTTTTATAATGCGTGGCTACAATTGGAGGTACTATTTATATATTTTTTAATATAACTATTTTAGTTGTTTCACTACACATACTGCTTAATATATTTTCTTTCATTAGCTCATTACTATATAGTTATTTTTTATAAAAATATTTTTTCTTATTATTCTGTTTTTATTACAGATCATACACGAATTATTTTTTACTTTGTATGAACAGGTTTTTAATTAGTATACGAAATGCTAATTAAAATGACATAACTTAATATTATCATTACGAATATTTTGTAAATTGTTCAATTAATGTTTTATTACGGAGAACGGTCTTTTCGTCATTCAATCTGATGCATGACGTTTTAATATATCTTATTTTATTAATTTTCGACTTAAATAGAAGGTGCTTAATTCGAATACATTTTATGTGTATTTCATACTATTTCATGTTGCGTGTAAGTCTTCACCAATACATATACATATATCACACGTAATATTTTGGTAATCGATTATTTATACTAGTTTATAGTCTTGTTTTAATTATGTCAGGTAGTACTTATATTTATATACAAATTTGTTTTTACCAAAAGTAGACTTTTCTCTGCGTGATCGTATCAGAAATGAGGAGATCCGCAGAAGAACCAGAGTGATCGACATAGCTTGAAGAATTGCGAAACTGAAGTAGCAATGGGCAGGGCCCATAGCAGGTAGGACAGATGGCCGTTGGGGCAGTAAAATTCTCAAGTGGCGACCGCAGATATTAAGACGCAGCGTGGGAAGGCTTCCAGCAAGGTGGACCGGCGATCTGGTTAAGATAGCTGGATGCGAGCAACGCAGGACCGATCGTCGTGGAGATTTTTGATTTTTGTTTAGCTGTGAACGTCTTCCGGGCTGAAATGATGGTGAGATGAGACTTTTTACTGTTGACGGCATCATCTTTTACATCTTAGTTCTTCGGAATAGCAATGCATAATGAGTGTATGTCGCCAATATACACGAAGAACGAAACGTTCGCTCCCCATGAGTGGTATTCTTCGATTAACAGTAAAGAATTTTAATAATAAGTAATCTTGTAAAATATAGATATAATAAAAATGTAACCGATCGATGTCTGTACATGGAATATATGAAAATACTATCGAGTATTTAAAGTTTTTGTCTGTGCGTTTTTATGTTTTAAGCTCAGAAATGGTGTAACGAATTTAAATGCGGTTTCACTGATGAATTCTGGTAATATTCAAGTAAAATTTAGTGTTTCAAAGTAATTGAATCAAAGTAATGATTGTTAAAATTTATGCGTTAAACTCGAAAACGTCTAAACATATTTGAATGTGCTATTCACTAATGTTTTGTGGTAAGCTTCAATTTAAATCTAATGCTGTGTTGTTTTATTACAATCATTTTATAATTTAATAATTTAAAGCGTTCGAAGTCGGGAACACTGCTAGTGTAAAATAATCATCCAATTAAGTTTACCGCGAAGCAGCAGTTAGCCTCGAACTTGACATGAGTATGACTGGTTTGCAAGTAGTGTAGTGACATTTTATAAGACCACTGTATAAAACAACTATGCAAATGTAAATAAAAACACAATCATCCGAATAATATTACAGTGTACGTCAAGGGGAAAACCTTTGGTTTAAGTAACACCAGCTCTATAAGCAAGAAACACCATACAGCTAAAAACCCAAAATAATAATTTTATTCTATTCCACTATTAATTTATAATATCCCACTGTGTATCAAAATAAGCATATTAAAGTAATAGCATAAAAAACCCAAAACACGAGAGACCTAATATAAATATATATTTAATAAAATAAAAATTCGAACAAGTTGCACTCTGTATTTTACAATGTGTATTTCCATCTCAGAATCGTGTAAACCAATTCGCGATTTCAACTGATGTACTGTTGCAGTGTTTGTTTTTTTTTTAATCAGTTCATAACAAAAAACACTTATTGAGCATGATATGGAGGAGATTGAGTGATACATGGATTTTTTTATACCTACATATTATATATAGAAAATAGACCGATACAGACAATAACCGAGTGCCGAGCGAAGAATCCAACCCGCGACCATCGGAAGTAAGACGGTGTGCTAGACCACCGAGGACGACAAAGTATGTCTGTATACTTCCCTACACATTCAAGAAAGTATACATGGGATAGTATCCATAGTATTCAACTTAACATCTAGTCCCATAGTAAGCAGTGGCTTGGGCTGACTAGGTGGCGCTATGTGAGTTTTTAGAATCACTTATTTATAAATGTTATTCACTATCTAAATTATTATTTACAGGTTCAAAGCAGCTGAGCAGAAGGCGGGTAATTTATCACATACCTCTTCGATACTACGCAGGGCGGTTCGTCATTTAGCATCACCAATGTATGAATATAAAGTACCATTAGAACACTATGGTACACCACCGCATTACATCGCGCAGAGAATTATTAAAGCAATCAAGGAATTATATGAATCGTATACAAAAGTGTGAAATTTCAATTTAATTTGTGCATCTGTAGTAATTATAGTCAATTTTATTTAATGATCACAATTATATTTAAACATCTTTTCAGTCTTTCAAAGTCCATCTATTTTTTTTTGTTAATGTAATATCTTTTAATTAATTAGCTTTTTATCACAGTACCTATAATCATCTAGTCTATACTATGCAACTTCTAAAATCCTTTTAATAAATGTTAAGTCATCTGGTTTTTGTTGTTGTCAAGCAGTTTTTGTCAATATTTTCATTTGTTCATTCAATAACAAAGGAACAAATGTTTTAATATTATTTCAGAATGTATCTGAAATAATTTATAAATAAATAAATGATGACATAAAATTATGTACAATACGAACTACATTTTAGGAACAGTATAATTCTTAAATCGCCTATAACAAAATATAATTTTAAATGCGTCTATAGATAAATGTTAAGTTTATGAGGTATGGCATCTTTGACTTTTTTATAACCTAATTTTATATTGTAACCCAAAAGGGTGTGAATTAATAACTAAATGTAATTATATTATAAAAAGATAAAATGTAAATAAATGTAACACTCTAACTTCCTACTTTTTATTAAAATATCTGTTTATTATTTATTTGTAAATGGTAATCCAGAATATCCATTCCATATCTTTTTATATAAAAATATTTCGTTTTCTTTTCTACAACCAGAATATTGTGTATAATATTATTATATACAACAACTACAATGATAGTTGTACGTCCTCGGTAAAGACTTAGCGGTTACGCATAGTCTTCCAATGTTGCGGGTTCAAGTCCTCGCACGGTACAAACATTTTTATTCATGAGTATGATTGTTTATATCGGTCTGGGTGTTTTCTATGTATACTGTATGTATTCATGAAAAAAAAATATCTATATATTTATATCATTTGCCTATCTATTGCCTATGTCACAACTCTAGCTAGCTTAACTTGGGTCTAGATGGCGCTTTGTGAATTGTCCTGAGATTATTATTATAACGCCAGAGAAATGGTGTAGAAGTTAACGTCTGTTCTGACTGTTGACTCTGACTGGCTGTTGTTGCAGCATCCAGTATTTTGGGTATTAGTTTCCTTCCATCCTCTTCGCATTCTTTTTCTCTTTCTCATAGCATCTAGTAGTTTAAAATCAAAAAGAGATAATGCACGTGATTGAAGAACGGCTTAACTTATTCACTTTGTAAAGGTTTTAAAAAATAAACATATAAGGAAACGAACCGGCTCAAATGGGAAAACCAAATTATAAAACCAGATTGTACATCGTACATCCACTTGTTAATTGACATATTACTTTGTCCGCAAGCATCAGGGTCTAAAATAGAATGAACATCGTACTAGAACAACTTGCAGCATAAAATTATTGTGTGTTTACGGTCATTCGTGCGAAGGAAGTCACAGTCGATGTGTGTTGTCGTTCCTTTATACTTTGTAATGACATTTCTACGGTAACTACATTAATTTACGTGTCTGTAATTAAAACTGGTAGTGTCTCAAATTATAATGTTAAAATGTAAGTATTACGCTTTATTAACTATTGTATTAAGTAAGTTGATGTTCAGTTTTATAATGAGGAGGTACATTCCGATGGTCTATGAATACACCCACGTAAAATCCTTAATACTATACATGTGAAAGTGCGTTTGTTTGTTATGTTTTCGCGCCTTAACGGCTAAACCCATTAACATTACATTCAGTGTACACATTATATTTTAAATAGGCTAAACTTTGTACCCGCCACCTGGTCTGAGTTTAAAACTAGTACCTAACACATCTAGAGTGATAATTAATAGATATACTGAAGTCATTGATCATAAGTGAACATATAAATGGGTTATTTGATTAATAATGAAATCTGTGTTACTTGTTTTTTTATCACTCTATCCTTTTGTATAGTTTTTGGTTTATATTGTGTGTATTAAATCGCGTAATGACAATATTTCGTCACTCTATTCACCATAATTTTGGGATCATAGGGGATTTCCCAATAGTCTCTCACAAAAGGCAGCGAGACACTTGCATCCATTGACTCACTGATCACTGCAACTCATCTGCGATCGTCGCTCCATCTGGTGAGATAGAGTGACGTATAAAGTGCCTGTTAGGTATATCTTAACAGCGTTTTCCTGTATCAAGACTACTATTACATTAATATTATTAATCGATATTAATGTCAATGTTTCAGTTATTGCAGCAGTATGTGGCTTCATAGTAACGGCGAATGCTCAAAATATATATACGACTCCACCAGTCTATGGAAATATCCCATTGGGAAATACAGACAAAATATATTTTATTGACGATCCTAGACCGTTGAGCGTTTTACCTTTAGCAGATAATAATGATAACCAAGCAAGAGAAACATATTATCCAAATACTGGATTACCTCAGCAAGGATTAGTCCAGAATGCAAATATACTGCCTCAACAGCAATACAATCCAGGTATCAATGTTGGACAGGTAACATTAAACAGAATACCCCAAGAACCAAATGTAGCACAAGTGAATAGAAATGCTTATTATCCGACTGATAGGAATGGATTTGATGATACTGAGCCTAATATGCCATCGCATATCAATTTACCTAAGCCTGTACAACCTGGACCAATTTCACATTCAGTGACGAACTTTGGCTTGAATCTATTGAAGGTGATACATATTTTATATTTGTTATATAGGTACGGAAATTTGGTACATTACTTTTTTATCTACTTAGCATTTTCAAAAACATACTCTATTCGTATAGAATTATGTAATTATTTAAAAAGTTAATGTAATGTGTAATGTTCTCTTTAATAACGGGAGTACTTACTTTTTCTTCACATAAATGAAATCAGATTCAAGAGGTATTTGATGTCACAAAGTCTGCATATCATTTAGTATAGGCATTTTGAAAAGGTGTTGTGAAATGTTTCCATATTTCTGCTAGTGTTACATATAAACTGCAAATTTTGTGTGTACACTTACTTTACCATTTTTTTAAAAATATTATTCCTGCTGGGCAATCTATTGGTAGTCAGTCATTTTATTTTTATTTTATTATTAAAATTTTCTCAGTGCTTATAAAGGTATATTAATTGCAATTGACCTCGTGCTCGAGAGACAATTTTAAGTACGACTGGTATTTCACTTTGATATTCATTTATACAATCTGTAGAAGGTTGTGCTACTAGTGTGCAGGCAATGCAGATGTATTTTGTTTATATATTGATCACCATATTTCTATGGACGAATATTTTTATAGACGCGAAACTTTGTCGGTTTGTCCATATTCTTGTCGAAATGTATACAATCTCAGATTAACATCATTATCATTATATACCATCTCATTTTAGTGCCCCTGTTGTTCGCTAAGTTCTTACTATGAATACACAATGGATGTTCTAGGAGTATTATTTTAAGTTGTCTATATCTCTCATAGTCGCCTCTTACAACATCTCGGGGATCAATCCAAGTGGTGACATCTTTGTATTTCTTTTATGTAATTTTAATGTCAAACAAGCTTATACTAAGCTTGATGGTAAGCGGTAACTGCCATCTATATTCTATATACATTAATAGTACTAAGGAAGTCATGTTATCAGGTGACCCGTGATTCCATTAATGCATTGCCATTTCTGAGGCTTCCACAGAGCGTATAATTGAAACTCCAGCAAAAAATTAATCAGATTTGTAAAATATTTACAGATCATTCAACAAAATGGAAGAAACGTAGTCCTGTCTCCGCTTTCCGTCACCACACTGCTGGCTCTCTTGCAACAAGGAGCTACCGGCATTACGAAAATTCAAATAATGTCAGCGTTGCAAATGACTGCCGCTACTTCGGCAGCTGCGTACAAGAATATTACTGAGGATATATTGGTACTGTATTAAATCACTATTACACGATATTAAAAATAAAAAGAACTAGATATGATATTTCTTCAATGAATTAGCATTTAACACATTAGTATTAAATGCTACTTTATTGAAAAAATATGTATATACTTTATTTTCGATAGTCGTGAATTTAATTTCTTGCACAGCACACATTGTATATGTATATGAGTATGATTGTTATATTGGTTTGGGTGTTTCTTATGTAAATTGTATATTCATTGTAATGTTTTTTAAAAAAAACGTATTTAAGTTGGTTGTCTAGTATCTGTGCTCTGCTTAGCTTGGAAATAGATGACGCAGTCTGAATTGTCCTAGATTATTATTATTACTATAAAAATGTCCTATCAAATATTAATTTATACTCATGCCACATTATGTATATTGTCATATAATATTATAAACGTAAACAATATAAATAGAATGTCACATTGAAAGTGGATAAAGGCCCAATTTGATAGCTTATCTTAGATACGTATGTTCCTCGTACACTTTTGACCACTTGACCTGTCTTTCGTTATTTAGTCAATGTAACAAACTGAATTGATTTTGTTAAAAGATAATATGTAGCTGATGATAAGTTGCAACCGTCATGTCATCAAGGATGATACACTTCATGCTTTGATTTATTTATTTAAACTTTAATGTACAAATACAAATATTAATGTACATATTGCAAACGTAACAAAGAGCGTTCTCTACCAGTTCATAATGCAAACTGAGAAATAACAAAGCGGTGCTTTATAGGTAACAAACATAACTACGTCAAACATAAATAATTAGTTATTAATATATTATGGATTATATAATAAGTATGTAATAATATATATATATGTATGATTATACTTTTGTAAAAATATATACACATAATAGATCTAAATATATAAATAAATAAAATAAAATAAAAAAGCCTTTTATTTCCTAAAATGACAAGAATATTACATGCACTACTAACTATTTATAAACATATCATGTTATTGATCTTTTTACATATTCTAATATATATTAATTATATTTTTTTATTTAGGTATGTATAGGCTTTCCACAGTCTCGTAAGTGGGCTTTTGTAAAAATATATACATTTTTTCGCTCCACATAATATTTCAATCTGCATCTCTATATATATATCTAAATATATAATATATAAAAATAGCAAAATTTGGAAACATAGAAATTACACATTCGTGAGGCAGAGCAGAAGATGAATGGAGCTAAAGTTATTCAGGAGGACCAAGACATTTTGCCCGCGTAGCATGTGCAATTGTTTTAATATTGTGTTATAAACAAATTGCTTAATTATTTGTAAATTTATAGTGACGGTATTTCTTTCCTTACAGAAACGTAACTCCCATAATATTCTCAGCATGGCAAACAACCTTTATGTATCAGACAGTTTCACTATCAATCCTGATTTCAAGAAAATGGCCGTCAAGAACTTCGGCAGTGAAATAACTCCGACTAAGTTTAATGATCCTGGCAGAGCATCCCAGATGATCAATGGTTGGGTTGCTTCGAAAACACATAACAAGATTACGAATCTAATTCCTCCTGGTAAGTCTATAATATAAATAAATAACACTAAAGGATCACAAGTAGGTTTTTATAACGAATTGTATATTTGGTGGAATTTAGAAAAAATGTTTAGGGATGACTAATTTTATCGAATTTAAACTATTTATACCTATATAAAAAAAAAAAAATTAACGCTGCCTGTACAAGGAAAATATATGAGAAAAACTATTGTTGAAGTTTATCAATGTAACAGAACCCAAACCGTTGATAGTTCTTCGTTTTGTTTTATTACAAACACTTTACAAATAAACAAGTTATGAACCTAACGTTGTTCTGAATACACGGGCACGAAATCATGGAGTCGGCTTGACTGAAATATTTATAGTGCATTGTTATTCATGAACTCCCGATATTTCTGTTACTGTTTATACTGTTGTACTTGTACTATTATAACCATCCTGGTTATGTGTAGACTGTTGGGAGTCAATTAGGTCTAAAAACCCTTGAAAAAGTTTTAAACCGTTAATATAGTAGCTCAAAATTATCAGTTTATATTTTAGGCTCGAGTTGGCCTTTAGTAGCCGGTGAAGTTGTAAAGACCAGCTGTGGCCAACAGCATTAGAGTAGTTCGAAAAGAATAATATTAGGTACACTACTAATAAAGAATAATGAAAAATATTATTAACTTCATTTCAGATGTCATAGGAGATAACTCTCAACTAATCCTGGTAAACGCTATGTATTTCAAAGGATTATGGCAAATTAGATTCAATCCTAACTCTACGCTTCCAAATATCTTTACTCTCAGTAACGGTAGCAGCAAAATGACGTCATTTATGCGTATGCGTCGATATTTTAGAAGTGGCGTCGACAGAACCAATGATGCAATGGTCCTGATACTACCATTTGAGGTTAGTAGTATGAATTTAATTTTTTATTTATTTTAACTACATCTTATGTCAACTGCGTTTTGTTATTACTAAATAGTTGTGCCTACGCTTTCACCCGCATTAAATTTATAGTGTGTTATTCTGATTAGCTTATAAATCAGAATAATACATAGGCTATATTATTATAAAGTTTCATCAAAATCCGATCTATAGTTTTTGCGTGAAACAATAACAAACATCCATGTATCCATCTATACTCACAAACTTTCACGTTTATAATATGATTAATTAATTATTAAGATGTTGTACTAATCAAGACAACATAAGAAACCCCATTATCTAAAAGTATCATTGAATAATAAACATAGCTTACTCACGTGCTATTAGAAATGATGATAGGTGGACCAAAAATTAAAATTGCATCCAGGTTATTCACAAACCCTGTTTACAATTGAGTTTCCCGTTCTAATTTAGGAATACATAAGTCACCTGGTTTCACAATAAATTTAATATTATATATCTGAATATTACATAGGATAATATATACCTACTCATAAACATACAAACACTAGTTACTTATTCGCAACTTCGTCTACTCTATTTATTTATGAAAATATGTATGTTGTTTATGTACACTTTCATCGTCTATTTGCCTCTGAGATTATTTTTAAGTTAAGTAATATCTGAAGGTTGTCTTGGCACCGCGAAATTAGAGAGATCGAACCTATATAAAGTAGGATAGTGCAAATAAGAAGTAATATCCAAAAGACCGTTCTTGTAATACAATCTACCTTCAAGTCAAATTTGATTACGAAAAATGGAAGAAAAAAAAAGTCATTATCTATATTTTACTGTTACTTAGAATTTTAATAAGGAACTTAATGCTGAACGGATTTTGATGCAACTTTACAGTAATATAGCTTGTGTATTAGAAGAACAAGAATTTTTGAAATTTATAAATTGAAATTTAACGCTGCGAAACCGCGAAGCACAGCTATTAGTATATTATATTCTTATTATAGTATTTTACATTCACATTTCCAGCAAGAAGAATATTCATTGATGTTAATATTGCCATCATTGAAATCAAACGTTCTCGAGGTGCTGTCGACGTTGTCAGATTCAAAACTGCTGAACTATCATCAGTTTACACACAAAGAAATAGAGGTACAGCTACCTAAGTTTACAGCCAGAGCTGACACTGATCTACACCTGGCTCTGATGAAGGTCTGTATGAATTATTTCTAATAAATTTGTTTTTAATAAACGATTTGTCCATACTACGCGTAGATGTATAAATGGTCAATTATTATTATTACATAGTATAAAACAAAGTTGCTGCCGCTGTCTGTCCCTATGTATGCTTAAATCTTTAAAACTACCCAACTGATTTTGTAGCGGTTTTTTAATAGGTAGAGTGATTCAAGAGGAAGGTTTATTTATATATATAATACGTGCGAAACCGGGGCCAGTAGCTAGTATATTATAAACTAATATTAAAGGGAAGAAATATTTGAGTATATATTTGTATTCGATAAACTCAATTTTACAATGGATCTAATAAAACAGTATAAAAAATTCATTACACCGAACAATATATTAGCTGTAACATATTTTGCCTCCATAGTAATCCCATCTAACTTGTAATAGTCCCATGACCATGATGAAGGGACTATGAGAAGGCACTCTGCACCCATTATTGTAAATAGTTGTATTTGTTCGAATAGTACCCATCATCAATAATACAGTAATAATAATATCTCAGAACAATTCACACAGCTCCATCTAGTCCCAAGGTAAGCAGAGTTTGTATTATAGGTACTGCACAACCTATATAAATACATAGATACATTTTTTGTAAATACATACATAATATAACTAGAAAACATCCAGTCCGATACAAACAATCATACTAATGAATTTTGAACCATCAGAAGCTAAACCGCTAAGGCCGAAATGTTTCTAAATTTTTCGTAATCTTATGAAACTTTGTTTTCAGATGGGCGTAGTTGATCTATTTGGAGCACAATCCCAGCTTTCAGGCGTGGGGAGGTATGGGACACTATCACCTCGAATATCTTCTGCGGTACATTCGGCTATGTTGTCAGTAGATGAACAGGGTGGTTCAGCTGCTGCGGCAACAGCGTTCGCAGTTGTAGCTTTATCTTACGATGAGCCATCATTAACGTTTATATTCAATCGACCATTCTTAGCAGTATTGTGGGATAACAAAGCAGCTGTGCCACTGTTTATGGCGAATATCGAAGACCCAGTTCCGTAGTTTAATTTTAGTGCTATTGATATGCAGTACAATTTTGTAATATTATAAATATTTGTAAAGAAAGAATCAATCTTGCTATTAATTCATTCATAATTATCACAGTAATAATATAATAACATATCGTTTATAGCCAATGATTACGGAGAATGAGAGATAAATATAGATTTAATAAAAATTTAGAAGCCTTGAATTTTCTAGAAATCCCATAATAGCAATCTAATTTTTGTTACTTTACTTTACAACTATTTACTTTATTGTAAAAGTTTTATACGTTCGATACATTCGTTTATCATATTGTTTATTTTAATAGTCACTAAATTTAGAAATTATTACAACTGTAATTTAATATAAAGAAAATAAGATACAAGTTAGTAGGTATAAGATCACATTTATTATGTAAAAATAAGTGTATACTTAAGATATATTTTCGTCAATATAAATAATATGGATGACAATAAGAAAATAAATAGTACAACTACGAAAGTCTTGTATGAATTATATTACCTAACAAATAAAATATATCTATCTCTTCAACTTCTTGAAAACATTTATAAAAGGATCGTCAGCGAAGGTCCTCATTTTTCCGTTGTAGTAACATTCAATTTCTTGTAAACTTTTTCCTTCAGTCTCTGGGAGAAAGAAATATAAATATATGACTCCAACAAAGGCTATCCCTCCATAAACAGCAAAAGTGCCCGATAAGTGAATAGTGCTCTCTAGGTTAATGAAAGTCTTGGCTCCGATGAAGTTGATGATGTAATTTGCAGCAGCAGCCAAGCCTTGAGCAGATGCGCGACTTCTGTTGATAACAATAATTAAAATATTTACATAGCTGTATTAGTTAAAGACTAAAAAGAGATAAGTAAGAATAAAGTAGTAATATATTTCGTGATGGTATCTGACAATCTTGAAAAACATCTATAAAAGATATTTTAAGCGTAGGTTATCTATCGTATACATATAAACAACCTATTATCGTTTCACTACAAGTGTCTTTTCGACTTTAACTGTAGTTGGCTTTACAACTTTAACGGACGAAAATGGGTGTACAGAAGTACATAATACTATGCAGTACAGAAAGCAATAATAATCTCTGACTCACATGACCGACTGACAATCTTTAAAAGTACTATAATAAAAAATTAAAAAAAATTAGAAATATAATGCATCACCTTTTAATAATATAGTTAAATCAAAGTTTTAATATTAGATTAGTAGTACGGCATAACAATTAATTGAAGTCCTTACCTGAACGGAAATACTTCACCAAGTAATACCCATGGAATTGCAAATCCAGTGAACATCGTTAATGAATAAAATAAATATTGTGGCAAATAATCCTTCTCGGTTGGGAATGTGTCAGTATCATAAGAGAATACAGATTTATCTAAGTTATTCTTAGCGTAGACACTGAGTGCCGTACTGGACATAGCGATGCCTAACATAGCTGATATAGCGAGCTTGCGTTTTCCGAACATCTTGATAAAGCCAATGACTATAACGCCTGTTACAAATGTAATAATTCCAACCATCAGCTGAAAGAAATTAATATATTAATTAATACGTTTAAAGAATAATATAAACCGAAGTCTAAAGAGTAGAAAGAAGAAGATGTTTAAAAAGTAATAGTAACCACGACTTATCAACCAGCGCAATTTAGTTGATAACTAAGCAAATATATGCGCTCAAAATAATGATAGATGGGAATCTAATCCACTGTCATCAGTATGCATAGCAGTCAAGTCAGATGGTCAAAGTGACCGTCACTCACTATCTAATATAAATAAAAATTGAGGCTGTTAGTGAACGCCGAATATTAGTATCGCCAATACAGCATCAATAACTTACAGTATCTTGTAGACATATGATAATCTACATTTTTAGGAAAGAAAAATGAATAATATGTCGTAACCCATAAAAGTAGGGCGTTGTCATAGTTTATTTAGAATTCTATATAGTTGAGTTTTCTTAGGAGATATCATTCATATACCAGAAAATATAAAACAAAGTAAATTTTGCTATATTGTATCTTTACATAGTATACCTATTAGCCATTGGGTGTATTTATCTTTGTCCATATTTTTATGCGTATATGAACTGGAATTGTATTGAAAGTTGGTAGATATTTGTACTTGTACGAGGGCTACACTGAAAGTTTTTAGAACTGGCTACTTGAGAGCAATATAATAAAAAAAATTGTTAAAATTTTGAAAATAGAACACTTTACGAATAGTACTGAGTATATAATTTATTTGTATGTCATGTGTTTTACGGTTTGGCGGCAAATTGAAAATAGTCTGTGTAACGTTATCATGAACTTAACACGAGAAAATTTTCGTGTGATGATTTTTTATGACTTTAGATGTCATCTAAGTCAACAAGAAAGTTATGATAGACTACTATTGGACTTCCACGATGAAGCCCCGTCTCGTGCCACTGTTTACAACTGGTTTAATGAGTTTAAACGTGGTCGCACTAATCTCAATCTAATGATTTGCGTGAGGGACGGCCTTCTACGGCGACAACCGAAGATAACATCCGTGTTGTGCGGCGTATGATAGAGACTGACAAAAGAGTGACCTATTAGCAGATCCGGGCAAGCTTAAAGATTGGTATGAGTCAAGTGCACAAAATCCTCCATGAACATTTGGCGGTCAGGAAGCCTTGTGCCCGGTGGATACCTTATAATTTCACTGAGGCTCAAAAACTCCGTCGGGTTGATTGGTGCCGTGAAATGCATGAAAGATTTAACGGAGGTGACTCAAATTCTGTGTTTAACATAGTTATGGGAGACGAAAGCTGGATTTACTGTTATGATCCCGAAACTAAAAGACAGTGGGTATTTCCTTCCGAGGAGTTGCCAACTAAAATGAAGAGAGGTCGAAGCATAGGAAAAAAGATGGTGGCCTCGTTCTTTGGAAGAACAGGTTATTACGCGACAATTGTTTTAGAGGATCGAAAAACAGTTACTGCAGAGTGGTACAGTAATAATTGTTTGCCACGTGTTTTGAAAAAAGTGCGTGAGAAACGACCTCGCAGTAGGATCCTCCTTCACCACGACAATGTTTCGTCGCACACCGCCAGGCAAATGATCGATTATTTGGCGACCTCAGACGTAGAACTACTGGGTCATCCGCCTCATAGCTCCGACCTCGTACCTTGCGATTTTTATTTATTCCGAAAAATGAAAGAAAAAGTTCGAGGAAAACGTTTTATGGACGCCGAGGATTCGGTGGCTACGTTTTAGAAGGCCGTCAAAGAGACCCCTAAGGACGAGTGGGCAATGTGCTTTTCTCAGTGGTTCTATCGGATGCAGCGATATATTGACGTGAATGGACGCTATTTTGAAAAGATAAAATAAAGGTAAAGATAAAATAAAGGTAAAACTTGCTAATTTAATCAGTTTTTGATTTTCTAAGAACTTTCAGTTTGACCCTCGTATGTATATGAAGAGCTAAAACATTTTACCGTAATGTCCTTGCCGTCATCAGGCATACCGAACGCACCACATACATTGACCATATTGGGTCGAACTGGAATGTACCCACTCATTATGTGGAATGCAAAGTATAGTATCACTAATGTCAATGGTCTTAAGGTTTCTTTACTCATCATGACGTATCTAAATTTGTCGATAGATCTGAAAAATATCAAAATAATTATAACATTAAAGTCCAAGTTTTGTATAGAACTATTCCAATGCTGTTGTTCGTAACTGGCCTTTGCAGTTTACTGAACGAAAAAAGGAGCATATTGGATGAAGGGTAAGGAATCTAAGGCAGTGGTTTGGGGTTAGCTCCAGATCCTTGTTCAGAACAACTGTGGACAAAATTAAGATCGCCAGGATAATCGCCAACCTCCGGCAGGAGACGACGCATAAAGAAGAAGAAGCAAAAGGTATTCCAAACCCACGGAAGTGCTTAACATACCTTATAAAAAATACTAACGAAAACTTTACCTTCTAATCCAGATCATCTTATGGTGTTCACAGTTAATATTATCAGGGTTAATCTTAATGCATATTGCACATTTTTCTAATTCCTTCGTATAAACAACGAGCTTGTCAAATTCATCTCTCACAGTCTCTGGTGTGGTCCAGCCTCTTAAGTTACAAAGAGATTTGAGGGCTTCCTTTTGTCGACCTCGGTACAGTAGCCAAGTTGGAGATTCTGGTACCTGTATTGCAAAAAAATGTTTTTCTCATAATCATCCATTACAGACAGCGACAAGAAACATTTTTAAAGATACGTATAGTCTGTGGAATACTTACTAATAATATAAGTAGCATGGAGACTATAGGTGGAGCGATGGCAATTAGGGCTGCCTGTCTCCACGTGACGACTTTGCCCAAAAAATACATGACTAACGTCCCCACAGATGTGAACATTTGAGTGAATGTACATAGTGCACCGCGAATTGATGGCTCACTATAATAGAAAATGGTGCTAATTTATGTTCAATTCGATGACGGCACTAGACCATCGCCCGATGGTAATAATTCGACCATAATTAATTTAAATTATTAGTTTGAACATTATTAAGATTCCATTGTCAAACACTAAGAGTACATATACGTGTGTGTCAAATACATGGTAGTATATGTCATGTTTTTTTATTGATTTAATGTAACATTTATGAATAATTAACATTCGGCACTATAAATGTGCCAAATTTCATACTCCTCCGCGTGCGTAATTTTCGTAAAAAGGGGTACAAAGTTTTTACTAATATACAAATAACGTATATATAAAAACAGAGCATTAAAATTTTTTTTGCAGAGACGATCACCAGCTGTATTTGGGAAGCTATCAGCAAATATAATATAAGTACTCACGTAACTTCTCCTACATAAGAATTTATAGGCGCTTCCATAACACCACTGCCGATACCCAATAGAGCATTCGCAACGAATAATGAGGGTAAATTCCAAGAGAAGTACATAAGTATCCATGCAATCAAATGTGGGAAATTTGCTAGAAAATTGGCTCGTTTTCGTCCAAAGTAATCGACTAACGGACCCGATATCACAGCTCCGATCGGCTGTGTCAAATATGGTATACCACCTGTAACATAACTGAGTAGGTTAGAATATTGACGTAGTATAAAAAAGATTCAGTAGTTGACTTTATTATGTTTTTGTAAACATACAAACAACAAATTAAAACATAATTGAAGAACATAAAATGAGAGACGATGTAGATTTCACGACAAAACCAAACAGAAAAAGTTATAACGATATGATTTATAGACTACAACGGAACTTCTAATTGAACCCAGATTTTATACAATTGTAGTAGTTATTAAACTATTCTCACTACGAGTAGTGAGTATAGTTTAATATATAATACTAGAATAATCTAAGCTCTAAAATACGTTTATAATTTGCACAAGAGGTGATATAAATGATGCAGACATTAAAAAAAGAAATATACCTACATGTAATACGCTTTCTAGGTAGGTAAATCTACAAATATCTATTTGCAATATTATCGAAACATATTGAGCCTTTACCTTTAACACAGACAAATTCCGAATTTTATTTGTTTATTATATATATAATGTTTATTTGAAAATTATACGTAATTATTATAACGTTACATTTATTAGTTACTTTCAAGCGGACATAAACAAAGATAACCTCGTGTAACACAAATAAATTGACACCATAAGATGAACTCACTCACCAAACCACGAAGCCTGTACGTCATTTAGCGACAATCCCTCTGGGGCATTTAGAAGATTTGGTAATGCTATAGTAGTGAAGCTAATCGCCATACCCAAATCGAGTAGTAGTAGGTTTGGTGACATACATGCTATGACCTGAAAAACAATAACAATGATTTTGATTTAATCAAAAAAGGAAATACATAAACTTTACTTAAAAAAAACCGCTTCAAAATCCGTTGCGTAGTTTTAGAGATTTAAGCATACATAGTGACAGACAGCGACAGCGACTTTATTTTATAATATGTAGTGATGTATGTATTATATTTACAAAAATACGATTTTAAATTCAAAATGAAAAAAGTATTTAAATATTTATATTAGTTATATAGTACCCATAATACAGGCTCTACTTACAGTTATTGGGACTAGGTATAGCCCTATGTGGATTGTTTAGGGTTATTATTTTTATTAAGTAGCAAACTGTTCAAGCGAATTCGTGTACGAGTAGGTATACGTTGTTATTCCGATTTGATTGTTTCTTAATGTAATTCAAGTTACGACATGAGAAGTATTTAAAAAAACCCTGGGCAACTAAACTTTCCATGTTGTATATCAAAATAATATTTTTTATTAAAAAAAAACATAATCCAGGAAAACCCCCATAACACGATTTAGTCCCAAGCTAAGCTTATGGTATGGATGTCAGACAACTGGTAGAAATACTTTAACATATTTTTTACACATACATACGTAGAAAACATCCAGACCAATAAAAACAATCATAGTCATGAATAATGCAGCATGCGAGGTATCTATCCCGCGACCATCGGAAGTAAAGCTGTGTACTTAACCGCTAGACCAGTGATGCCATCGTAAATGTAGAATAAATTATTTATTTAATTTTTAAAGATTAAATTAAACTAATATATAATAAAGGCTGTAAACATGACGCTACTAGCACCATTCTTCTTGTAAACAAAAAAAAAATCAAATTACATAGCACGTTTTCAAGTGTATTGATTGTTTTGCTATAACATATAGGTATTTTAAAAAATGATGAGTTTATATTAGAATTCATTCCATTATTATATGAAAATATTACATCTAAGTAAATTCTCAAAACACAAGCTTGGGACTAGATGGTTATACTATTACTATAGTAATTAAATTGTACTCTTGATCCGAAGCAATATAGGTTACAGCGCTATAGTTATACAAGTCAACAGTATGAACTTACAATATTATACAGATTAAGCGCAGTTATAAGCAATTAACAATGGTTACACATGAGTATCAAATATTATTATTTCAAGTTTATTTCGTTCATTAAATTTATATTTTGAAATCAAATCAAAAAACATTTTTTTTATGAATACTGCTTTTGAACGTCAAGTTTTTAGTAATTGATATTTTTTACGCTATTGTTTATATATTGCTAACCTGAAGGTGTAAATTAATAAGTTTTTAACATGGTTATTACTAACATTTCAGGAAATTATGGTTAAATAATGCAATATTTTAGGTAATTGTGGTGGACTTATAAACTGTGCCTGGTTATTTATTCTATACAATAGAAAAAAAGGAAATTGAAAATATAGGTGTATAGAGTGCGTTATTCTTCAAGGTAACCTTAGGAAGTAGTTATTGAAGATGATAGACGCAGAAAGCAGATAAAAAATCGTTTTAGTATATTTATATTTATAGTATATATATTTGTATTTGAATCCATAGTTTTCTGTATATCTATAGAGAAAACTATGGATTCAAATAAACAAAATAGAATCCATTAGCGGGCTTTATTCACAATAGATATAACCACAATTGATTAACTGACGCTCATTGTAATGATCGTGTTGATACTACCGACTACTAAACTAAAATTATAAATATAGAAGTACGAATATTTGTTATCCAATGCTTAAACGGCAGACTGATGGATAGAAAAACTATACACAGATAGATCATATCCTACATTAAAACACAGGATGTTTTTCACTCGAATTTCTGCAGGCTGCGTCGCCATATATAGTAAATTTATATTGTTGGCAACCCTATTACGATTTATATAGTTGTTTCCTAATTTTCCATTTGCTTTTGATAATTAAGAATTGGTGATAATGTTACCTACCTGTGCTGCTACGGATCTGAATCGGCTGACAGCCATTCCCTCAGTTTCCAACTGTACCTTATGCACCATCTTTCACCAATATTAATACGAGTATATATTCTAGGCGTTGAACATTTTGATAAACTTAAAAGAAACAATTATATTCACGTCTTTACTATTGTCTTCACGCATTATAATGAAACCAGATAATATCCATAATTTAACTATGTAAATAAATAATTATTTATATTTTTATTTGTCAGTTTCAGATTGCAAAATAATATTAACGTCTTTTATTTTAAAGACTGTAAGATTAGTGTGAATAAAAAAATATTATAAATCTTTATTTAACCGCAAATGACAACTGCTCTGTCTTATAATATGTCGTTCAATGACTACGGCTGCTCTTGACAACTATATTATGTACTTGGTAATTGAAAACTATTCACATGTATTTTCACGGCAACAATATTTTCACAGCTTATTATCAGTTATAGTAGCCAATGGAGTGTCTTTTATCTCCGCTCTATTGTATATTTATCTCGCGAACCGATGCAGGAAAATTGGTGATACAATCTTAACAAATATGTACTCACTGAGTAAATACATAAAGTACATATTTCTTTAGATTATATCAGATAAGTCAATATAATGGAAGTCTGTGGGTGACTAACTTTGAAATAAACCGATTCGAATTTTAATATACCTACTTCTTATTACTTATTTATGTAGTATCAGTTTGTAAAACATATATTTATTTATTTAACTTTAATGCACACAATATAATATAGTAAAACATATATCTCTTTATATAATCGTGAATTTTGTAATAAATTATTAGGAATTATATATTTAATAAACAACAAGTAGTAATAATCTTTGTGAAATCTTCTTTAAAATTTAATGGATTACATTGTCAAAATATTTAATGCTATGTGAGTATTATGCAGATTTTACAAGGATTACTACACGTGTGTGTAGAAAAATGTAGAAATATACTTAGTCGTTTGTAGATGTTTAAATTTACAGTAACACGCTGCTCATAAAATAGTACATTAAAATAGAAATCGTAACAGTTGTCGATATTGTTAGTTCTTTTTATCGCTATTTACATGCATAGTACAAAAAAACATAACTTATAGATATTGTAAAAAAAATGTAAAAGTTAAAAAGTCACGACTGCAGTAATGCTGTTTTTATTTCTTTTATGTAAGTAACACTTGCTATGGCTTCTTTTATTAATGGAGCAGATAATTAACTAAAAACATATTCGCCCGTATATCTTTTTTATTTGTAAACTGATTGGAATGAAACAATCATATAATTGTAAATGAAATTTATTATAATATAATAGTGAAAACAGTATCCAAATCGGCTAAGCCGCTTCTAAAACCAGTGTGTACAAATGCATGAACAAACAAAACAAAACCCTAACAACCAATGCTTTCGCTTCTATGATGTTATTCATAAAATTCCCCAATAATCTTTTTTTTTATGTATTTCTATACACAGGCAGCGATCAGTTACATTTTTATTATATGTACAGATGTTATCAATGTCCCCATGATAATAATATCCTTAATAATAATTGTGAAAGTAAGTCGATTTGATGATATAACACAACAACCAAACTTATATCGCATCATTCTTATATAACACCGTAATCGTAATATAACATTCATACACACATATCTAAATCTCATCAGTAAGGAAGACTAGAACATTAATCTATATAAATAAATAAAATTGATGCCTGTTTATAACTTCACGAAATAGCTTTTAACTAAATGCACTTGTCTGTAGTAAAAACAATATTAAAATAAAAATTCTGTTCATGTCAATCTTTCACTTTCAACTTTGAATGTTGTAACTTAGACTATTTTTTTTGGAAAGTTTATATATTTTTATTGTATGCGGACGAAGTCTCAGTTCAGAGATAATGTGTAATATAATTTTCATTGTTATGAATATTTTAAATGTGAAACGGTATTTGTTTAATTCGTGTTCGTTCAATTGCTTATTACTCCAAAGAGGTAACAGTTTGGCCATCAGTAGTACGTAGTAGTCTCTACTCTGATGGCCAAACTGTTCAAGCTAAGGTATAATTAAGAAATTGAAGTTTCGTATATGTCCAACATTTGCCAACGGATTTTAATGTACTTTTAGGAATAGATAGAGTCTCTGAAGAGGACGGTACAATACATGTACAAGCCGGGGCGGGTGGGTAGTTATACGTATAAATAATAATTAAATTAATTAATTAAAATATAATGATTCTCCTGCAGTATTGGGCGGCATACCAAAGACGCTGTTGCACTTGACTTATGTACGTATTATTTGCACTTAAAAGGCTTTAGATATAAGAGAGGTTGTATTTAAGATTGAGTTACTTATCTTAAAGATTAGATATACAAACATATGTATGTATGTATGTATATATGTTCTTCTTTAATTTTATAATCCATGTTAAGTGTCCTATTGAAAATATATTTGATAATTATTAAATGTGAATATTATATAGACACTTAACATTTTTATATTAACCTAGCCTACCCGTAAAATTTTTGTTTTATTATATAAATAAAAATCATAAAGGGGTGGGTGATAGAAGGGTGAAAATTTAGAGTAAAATACATACAGTGTTTTTAATGACACATTATAGGACAATAAAAAATAAATTGTGCAAAAAACAAAAAGGGGTGGACAACCCTTATCAGTCAGGGGTATGATAGATAGTAAGTAGTAGTAATAAGTAAGTAAAATAGGTAGTAGCCGTTTCTCAGACCTCATGAATATGAATATAAAATTTCATAAAAATCAGTCAAGCCCTTTCGAAGGAGTATGGTAACTAACATTGTGACACGAGAATTTTACATATAAGATAATTCTATACAGAGGTAGATAGTAAAAGGTTATCTTCGTAAACCTCATTTGCTATTTCGCTGTATCGGGCAGCAATCGGTTTGCAAGATATGTTTTGGTAATACAGTATGGTTAGGCATTGAAAATACAAGTTCTTTTAACTTAAACGTATGATATCTTAATCGTCAGGAAATTTTGGAAATAAGAGAAAGCAGCAGTCGATTAAATATTAAAATTATTTACACGTTGTCATAAGAAAAAAATCCTGAGATACTAAAAGTGGCATATTCTATAAAAATGTGCTAATTAATTATATTTCCAATAGGAAGTTACGTAATAGTAAGTGATAACTGTTACCTATATGCATGAATAGCACATGGATATCGCATTATCATGATACCACTAATATGTTGCCATCCCAGAAGGCTAAGATTACGTCTCCATTTCCTGTATTTTCACTGCCTTATCTCCATTTTACAACAAAAATACAGCTTACAAAGCAAGTTACTTTACCGCTGTAATAGATAAGATTGAGATGTCTACGTAAGATGTCTTTTAGCAAAGTCAGCAGGAGACATTTAAAAAAAATGTTTTTTTTATATAAAATAAATAATAAATTACCCTGGACAATCAACACAGCGCCATCTAGTCCCACGGTAAGCAAGCTAGGCAGCTGATATATATACATAAATCAACTTGACCGATCAAATAATCATACTTATCAATACAAAAGTCTGTACCATACGAAGAATCTAACCCGTGACCAACAGAAGTAAAGCGGTGTACTAAACCGCTAGACCACCGAGGCCGTCGTATTTATATATATATCAGTATGTAAATATTATTTATATTCTAATTTCATTTAACAGCCAATAAATTACTGCAACATGGCGTCTGTGTGTGTATATGACAGTCGGACTGTCTGTGCGTCCACTGCTGACGGCTGCAGCCGCCGCCAATTCATTGACCAATGCGATATGTATGAGTACAACTGCGACTATGATACTCGTAAGTATACCATTTACTATACAATTTATAAAGGTGGATTTAGACTAGAGAATAAACTGGCTAAGTGCGAATGAGCCTTGTTCATTGAAGATCTCGAACAAAAATTGTGGAATGGTTTATTACACGACTTACTTATTGTTTTTTATGATAACCAGCCAGCCGTTCCAGCGGATGTATTAAAAATCTTTGAAATTCTCGGCTTGTTCTATACTATAACGTTTACATGTCTAATACATGCATTATAATACATATAGATGTTCCTCTTGAATTATTCTATCTATTGCTGAAAACTGCATTATAACTTTCTTACTTTAAAAGATATAAGAGAACTGACATCGTCGTCGAGTTTGTTTTATACTGTATAAAGATTACTAAGTAGATATAATGATAACTGCCAAAAGTTGTATAATATGAGGTACATATAAATATATCTTAACATAGGTATACATAAAACCTATCAATTGTCTAATAGGTACTCATAGTATAATATCCGCCTCTGCTTACTTTTGGACAACGTGGTGTATCCCAGTCCCAACCTAAGAAGAGGTGTGAATTGTTCAGAATTATTTATTTATTTTAATATTAATTAATTAATTCATAATTTAAAAGCCACGCTCGTGTTGGTAGAGCTCATGCAAGTGGCTTCACGATTTTAAATCATGGTCATTAAATGTTGATATGACACGACTTCAATTTTGTGTTTCATTTACTTGATATAGCTGTGTCTTGGTCTTCCTCTCCTCCTCTTTCCTTCAATTATTATTTATTTTCATAGAGAACAAATACGTATAAGTAAATATTCTCGTATCAGCAGTAATAAAAGTATCAACTTATCCTTTACGTAACGTACAGAGGTTAATGCTCTATCATTAAGTTCTTTATTTTATTGTATATTACACTTGTGATGAGGCGATTAATTATAATCTTTATTTTTATGATTATATATTTATAAGGTAATGTACGTTATATTATATAAGGCCTCCTATTCACGATACATCTCGACGTAACTTTTAATCTTTTTAAATTATCGGATGTTTCTCCAATATCGATGTGAACCCTAACAACGTGAATTTCGCAAAAAATCACCAAATAGGATCAATAGGATCTCATATAATATCACTAAGATTAAGATTATATTATTATAAAATTCTCATGTAAACACAGAATAAAAACTTAAAAAAAAAAATTATTATGTCTCCACATTCATTGATTGTATAATATATAAGTAATAATCAAAATTAATTTATACTTAGTTGGTTTATCTACGCTATTAAAATAATTGTCACAATGGGATCATATTGTGAGTCTTGCTTGATTTATTTATTTAAACTGTGCTTTAGTCGTACCGTCAATAATAAGGCTTAAGAAGTCTAGACTGTTCAAAACAAAGATTGGAGTAAAACTAGTAATAACTGAATAGAGCACGAATTAGTCTCATACAGTAATCCATATATTTATTTGTTATCTTTCAGAATATACAACCAAAGTAACAGGCTCATGCAACAGTCACATAACCAACTGTTGATAACAATTTTATTATATATTAAAGTGTTGCAATATTGAAATATATTTGTTTTACCTTTATATTTATATATATACTTTAAGTCATTTATTTTTACTATATTTTAAACACTAACTTTTTAAATTTGAAATGCAATAATCTTTAGCATAATTCACAATAGGTATATTCAATAAGAAACTTCTTCTCCAATAATTAAATTTTAATATATAGGTATGATGTAGACTGAAGTAAGAATTAAAAAAAATTGGACTTTATTACTTTAATTTCAGGTTACTACTTATATACTATTTTGTTTAGTTACAACTTTAGTTGATTCAATCATTCATAATCAGATAAGTAAATAAGGTAATAATGATAATACATACATTAATTAATACAATGTATATAAAAGTAACTACGGTTAATTAACATATATTTTTATCAGAAAAAATAGCTTATACTCCTTTTCAACTACAAATAATATAGTAAAATCGCCAATACATGATGTTATGTATCATTCAAAAACCGACAAGATAAATCAAGGTCATATAAATAAACTGACAGAAAACACTACCAAAATTGTCAATTATGCAATAACGATAAACGTTATAAAGAATGAATCTATAACTGAAATATCTGATAAGAATTCAAGCATTATATTAGAAACTATATGTTGTAATAGACCAATAACTTGGAAAACTACTACTGAAGAGATATTTTCTAATACTATTAATTTAGGATCTTTAGAGACGCCATTGAAAATTAATAATGAAATATCTTCCGCAATCATTACTAAAAATAAGAATATTACTACTCCATATTATACTAAACAAAATACTACATATAGTAATTTGACCACTCTGAATACAACATACAATACTCTACTATATACTAAAGAAAATACTGTAACTACTAATATTACTCCAAAAAATAGTAACCATGAAACACCCGGCAGGACAATGAGTATACAAAACATAAAAACTAATACTGAAGTTGTTTCATTTAATACAACAACAACTCATAATAATACATCAGTTCTGTCTTCATCTGCAAATGAAACTACAACATTTAACTTAAGTACCGATAATATAACGCATGATAATTCCGAAATAGCTAATGAAGTATCTACTACTCGTATATCAAAACCTAAAAAAGAAAATCATACTTTGAAGTTGAGTGCTAATAAAGAAGTTAAAAGAAAATTGTTAAGATGGATCAATACAGTTAATGAATAAATAGCAAGAATGACATATGGTGGCATCCAAGAATTTGCGTCTTTAAAATTGTCAACGATTAGTATCGTAACAATTTGTATTATTTCATGTGAAAATATTGTGGAGTACTATATATACTATACATTCTTGGACTTCTTTATTTTATCAAACATTCTTGTTTTAGCTTTGTATATTAAAATATTTGTTATTAAGATTACAATTATTTTTCTGCAGCTTGCGATAATATTTTAAAATAATTATTTAACTAAATCTGTTTGTTGAAATTGCTATGAATTGTTAATAATATAAATGCTAATGGGTGTATATATAATGTCAGTCTATCTGTCTGTTTGTTACCATTTCGTGAATAAACGGTCGAAAGGAATAGTTTGAAAGCCCAGTGTTGACTATTCGACGACCCTATTACAAGTCCCTGAAAGGTAATACTACGCAAATCTAATAAATGCGTATAAATAACCAACTAAATAAACACAAACTACTAGCTATTGCCCGCAACTCATCGACTTTTTTTATAAGAGGCAGTCTATATCCATCTTTGTGATAAAATCTATCTTTTCGTCAAATTTAATTTTGATATTTTCAGCAGTTTAGTCGTATGAAGGCAACAAATAAGGGACAAGCTTTCCCACTTTTAATATTAATATACTTATTTCTAAGTAATTCACGCAAGAGTAAATGCACAGTTGATATGAATAAAGATTTTATCCTTCTAAATGCATGCACAAACATAATATAATTTATAGAAGAATTCAGTCAAGTTAAACGTATTGTGAATAGTATTTTCAATTGCTTTACAGATTTCGAACAAACAGCGTGTGAAGATAGTACCACAACAGTAACTTATCAAAAAAGTATTGCATCAGGTATCGTACCCGTAGCCGACACAGATTCTAATAGCGATTATCTTAGTAATGCAGTAGTAGAATAAAAAATAAAACATCCCATTTCAGATAAAATTGAATGTTGGCCTCATTGTAATAGACCGAATGCTTGGATAACCACAATCAAAGGGGAAACCAGGGACTTCTTTAGAGTATTGCAGAATAATAAATAACATATCAAATACATGTATTGGTTATTTTATTTTTATTGATTATAATAGAAATCATTCCACTGCGCATCAGATATACCTTATTGCGTGAATTGATGTACGCATCAACCACTAGGTGCACCAGAATACGCATGAAGTCAGATTAATTCGCCTGTAATGATGCATTAACCTAAAGTCAACCACGATGGCTTCCAGAGGGGATCTTGGAGGTAGACCTGCCAGAACATTGCTAGCAATGGAGCCTCTACAATCTTTATTGATTATATAAAATATGTTTTATATTTAGTAAATAAGCAGTCAATCTGATAATCGGTAGGAGGTCTGTTTTTTTTAAGGAAAAAGAAGACAAATATTTGGGGTCGATCTGATTTTTTTAGTTTACTTACAAATTTTTCGATTTTATAGCATTAGTTCAGAAGTGGATACCTATACAATTAGTAACAATAACATTACGTTGTCACATTTCACACTTGTTCATGTCTCCTATACCGTAATAATCATTTTGCGCCAAGTAAGCTAACAAAAATGCGTAAACCATTATGATGTATATAACATGAACAAAAATTTGCTGATGATTTTATTTTATTTTCGCAGTACTTATCTGCATTGTTATAGTGTTTACTATTGTTTTAATTTGTGTCACCCCGTTGTTATGTAGCAATTTAAATTTTATTGACTTGTATTATTGATTAGACATATCACTTTTTATCTAAATATGTCACAGAGTATATAAAATATTAGCAAGCTTCACTCTTTTTTAGCGTTTTTAACAGTTATATAGATAGTAGCATAATAGCAGAATAATATAGATAGTAGCATTTATATAAATTGAGGTAAAACACTTAACTGGAGCATTCAAACGAATATTATAGACTAGCAAGGGTCACAGACTTCGCATAGGTGTGATTGTTGAAATATTTTTAAATAAACTATAACCTATAGCTACTTACTAATAATGTAAGAGGATAATTTTCAAAAAGGTTATTAAATTTATCCACAACAAAACTAAAACAAAAGAATATTTTTTATAATACTAAAGTTTCAATTATAGACTGTTTTCTGTGTATATATGTAATTAAACATTTTAAGAGACATATGTATATGATAATAAAATCATACATTTAATAGCAAATATTTATTAATTCAGTATTGATACAATTTATTTACTTAATAATACTATTTTATTTCATTAAATATATAACTACACTAAATATATTGTATAGAAATAACAATAATAGATAAAATTGGGGAATATGCATATATCACAGTAATAACCCTGGCCAATAATAATAATTATGCATGAAGTGGTCATCATTAACTAAAATATAATTACATATTACGATTCTGCAAATATTTACAATTCTATCATGAAATAGTGCTTCTTTAATAAAATTGTTTACTATCACACAGCATAGCACTATTCGAGCTTTTCCTAAAATAGTTTAAATTGCAATTATAATATACAACCAGAGGCGGATCTACCTAAGGGCTTTTTGGGCTGCAGTCTAGGACCCCGAGGATACAAAGGGCCTCCATACCCACTGAAACGATATTTAGAATATAAGAAAATATCTAGAATGTTAAAAAAGCTATCATAAGGTTAGCAACACTGAGATCAATCAACCTATGCGAGCGCACGTCTATCGAAAGGAATTTCTGGTCGCTTGCTTTTGGTCGGTGTATTTTTTTACTTGAATAATATAATTATGTAGGGCCCTAAGAAGATTTAGCTCAGGGCCCCACAAATTCACGATCCGCCCCTGTATACAAAATATCGTCAACGTCATCCTCATTAGTAGTAGACCTACTTTCTACAGCTACTTATAATTTTTGACTTCTAGCATTTTAGGGTGTTCACTTAGTCTATATTTTATGAGAGGTAGAGTGTAATAAGTCGCTAGGTTTGGTACCTCAGTCAAGCCGTCAAGGTTTCATAGCTGTGTTTCCGTTGTAGGGTAGGTTCAGGTAGTGTAGTTATAAGATAAGAGGCATGATATCTTGGTCCTATGGAATGGCAACGCATGTGTGGTATCACGGGTGTCACATGATGTTCTTTGTAATGTTCATGTATGCTACCACTTACCGTTAGGTAAGCCATATCGCATTACATAAAAAATGTTTTCTCTTCGTCTTATATAGGTATCACACTAGACTTTTATTTCTAATTTACACATGATTGTATATTAATTGTAAATCATAGAATTACACACCAAAAAGTTTATGCCTTTGCAATATCATTACAATTATAATTAACTAGCATTGGTTTATCAGCATCATGAATATCCTTCGGTTTCTTTCTAAATGAATTAATAAAACAATCATCAGCGTATATTCGTCTATCTCCTTTGAAAAATGCTTCTATTTCGGTTAAATCTTTGCGCTCAGTCTCAGGTAAGAAGAGGTATAGGTATATCGTGCCACCTATACCAAACGCAGCATATATGGCAAATGTACCGCTTATGTGGAAAAATGCCTCCAAGTTGTAATTGGTTTTTGTTGCTATGAAGTATATGACGTAACTATACGCGGCTGCAAGGCTGGTGGCCATTCCGCGGCTCCTGAAATGAAATTATTTAGAGCCTTTAATAAACGGTAATATTTTAATTTAGAAACTTATTCACCCTAAAATTATAAATAGAATAGAATAGAATAGAATAGAACAGAACAGAACAGTACAGAACAGAAGAGAATAGAGAAGCATAGAACAGAATAGAATATAATAGAAAATCATTTATTCAAATAAACTTACATTAAAGCACTTTAGAATAGTCATCACATTTTTTTTAATCTACCGCTCATTTGGAAAGCTGTCTCATCACAAGAAGAACGAGCAAGAAACTACTACTACAAGAAAATACTATCTATTCTTCGTTCTTTATTATGAGTACTCTTTTGTGAGTTGGTTGAGCGGAGGTGAATAAAAGATGTGAAAATAGATACTAAATAATAGATAAGGGATCTGGCTTGGAGATAGATATACCTATATACATGATTTACATTGGCGATTACGTACCTGAATGAAAATACTTCTGACAACAGTACCCAAGGAATACCCAAGCTGTTAGTGCAGACTAACAACATAAACAGCACAACAGGTAAAATATCTTTCTTATCCGGGAACGTGCTAAATTCATATGAGAAAACATCTGGAGATAATCTAGTGGTGGCGTAGATGCTAATAGCAAGACAGGAGATGGCATTGCAGAGAAGCGCACTCAAAATCAATTTCCTCTTTCCAATACGTTTGATTATAATTGCAGCGACGATGTTTATTGGTATTAAAATAGCACCGACGAAAACCTGAAAAAGCCGAACAAAGTTGGGTGATAATTAATTAATGGACAAATAATTAAGAGCTCTAATATTTTTTAACTGGATTGGTAAAAAAGGTGGTACAAGATGTGATGGTAACGTAATTTTATGAACAGCACCACGGACACCACTTCATTATGTAAGCACCTACAAGACATAAACAAAATCTCTCATTGTTTACTGAAATTACTGAATAATGAAATTGTTTACTGAAAATGAAGAAAACAATGTATATATACGCTCTAATGTAGCAATACTTCAGAGGAGTAATTTTGGAAATTGAACAAATGGATTTACCGATGCTCTACTGTAATTTTCTCAGAAAGTGGAAGATTTGTTCGTTAGTAGTAGCACAGGTAGTGGTAATAGTTATTTGCTCTTAAAAGTTTTGCTAATAAATACAAAAGAAAAAATAATAATAAAGAGATAAAATTTAAAAATAGTCAAGAAAAAATTTACAAATATTATGCTTACCACAATTACTTTAGAGTCGTATTTCATACCCAACGCTTTACAAAAGTTGACCATATTTGGTCTGATCGGTATGAAGCCACTCATGGAATGGAATAGGAAGTACGCCATTACCAAAAGGAGAGGTTTTGTTGTTTCTTTCACCATCAATATGTATTTAAATTTGTATATAATCTTTCGGAAGAAATTCATTTTCGAATGTTCACAAGCCATTTCAGTTTTTCCTTCTGTGACACATATGACACATTTTTGTATTTCGTCGCCATATTGGATTAACTTATCGAACTCTTCTTTAACGTCCTCTGGATTTACCCAACCTCTGAGACGACAAAGCGATTGCAATGCTTCTTTTTTACGACCTTTCGATAATAACCATACAGGAGTCTCAGGAACCTATAGCGAAATTCAATATTACATTAGATTTTTTATTCTTTTGTAATCCTACATTACACTATGATAATCCTTATACCGATAAGATGTGCAAATTGGTCCACGCATTTATGTTATAGACAAGGTCTTTGTCTTAATATTTTTGTATAGTGAAAATTATTTTTATTATACAGAATTTTCAAACCTATCCATTCCAAATAAAAATAACTATTTTATTTTATTGATTGATGATTCAATATAAGTAACTTGTTGTGTAACTATGCCCATATTGGGTTTAACTTTATTAAAATAATTACTTAATTAAATTACTAATTACGATAACTCATGTAATGAGTATTTAAACAATTGAATAAATATTTAATTAATAATTATATAAATTAACTTTCGAGTATGCATACCAAAATAATGAGAACAACATACAAACAGGACTAGAAGCATAGTGAGCAGCGGAACCACAAGAGCAACAAGAGCAGCTTGTCTCCATGGCAACACTGTTCCCAGCAAGTAAGCCACAAAGATGCCGGTGGATGTAAACCCATTCGTTAGAGTAGTGAGAAACCCTCGAAGTGAAGGGTCACTGAAATTAATACAATATTTATATATATTACCTTTAAATAAATTCAAAGCATCTGTCAAATCATATTTATTGAGCAATATCTATTACACACTAAACGATTACTTGAATGACAAACGTGCATGGCAATAGTAGTTCATGCACGGAATTTTCATTTAATTCTCTAAATATGACTAGAATACACAGTTGCAAAATATCGTATCGTAAATATGACAAATAAAAAGCGAAATCTACGTAAATATTTTTACTTGAATATCAATCAATTTATTCTATTGTAATCTTAATACGACTTAATTTTGTAAATACATATATGTAAACGTAAACGAAATAAACGAAATAAAAAATCGTAAACGATAATAATGTTTTTGTAGAAAAAAATTTAATACATACCACTGACAATATTATCTAATTACACTAATAATGAGTGCGTAGCGATTTCTATGTTGATTATCGCATGCCTCTTACTTGTTACACTGTAATTATTTATATAAAAAAACATCTATTAAAAAGAACACAAGTTTGCTCATTCTTCTTGTGATGAATCTGCATTCCGAATGAGTGGTAGAATCAAAATATGACTATTCAAAAGTGCTTGTAATGTTTATTTGAATAAAGATTATTTCTATTTCTATTTCTATTTCTATGATATATAGACATCATCGAGATACTCAATAAATAAAAATGTATGCGCCGTGCGAGGAATCGAATTATTTGTTATCAGTGTTTAATATTATTGAAGAATTAGTTAGTTTGGAGTCCACATAATAACACATATCATATTAATACCACATGTCTACATTGCTATCAAAACCGTAGATCTGACTACAAATAAAGTTAACAGCAAAATACACGTATACTCATACTGTATTAATCTCCGTTAATTGTTTTATTGTCATTGTCAAGTAATTTATCTGACTGATCCAAATTCCATAATTCGTTACTCATTGAATATTTAACTGTACCTAGAGCAAAACAAGGTTTGACTCATAAGTTGTCAACAATTAAACAACTTTGCTTTGAACAGTATGTTGCATCAATATTAGGATTATCATCATCATCGTCATCATCTGCTTTTTCCTTATCTCATTCATTTGGGGTCGACATAATAATATTTGCTCAATTTAATCAATAGTGGGATTATACTTTATAGAGTTAGGAGTTATTTTGCGGAAGCACATTTCATTAGTTTGGTCATTTTATATTAAAAAAAGGCGTGTTGCCAGTTCTTCTCAATTGAAGTAGTCAGCCATCTCAATGGCAGGAATAATGATAAAAAATATGACGTGTACAAGAGGCCATAAGGTTCTATTGTAATTATTAATTTTCAGCTTGAATGAATTAGTTAAATTCACTATTATTTATCTCATTATTCCGGTAAAGGTGACACTGAAATAAAACGGACAACGGACCCTGCTTAGATTTAAATATAACCAGAGGAATATGGGCATGTCATATGTTGCATTCACATTCGATTCCGTCCAACAAAAAATCATTCAGAATATTTTTTTATTAAGGAGTTTTTTATGAAATCTTTTCCTAGGTTCTTATCTCTATAGAGATCTCTCTCTACAGTTAGCCGCCGATAAGAATTTAAGGATATTCTTAAGAGCGAAGGTTTTTATTTCCTCAGGATAGAGTAGTGTGTACTTTCCAATGGAGATATTTTGTTTAAGCTTGAGTGGGCTACAACCACATAGGATGCGTAGTGGCGTTTTGTCTTCCATTTGGAAAAATCTGCAAATCTTTGTAATACAGTATGATAGTCGAGATTGTCTTTAATGGTATATGTAATAATAGTAGCTGAATGAAACAAAATAATATCAGTTCATTGATTGTTGTTTTATTATCTCATACAATGACATTTCCTTTAAATGTGATCTAAGGTAATCCCACATAAGTAGAACAATAAGGAAATACCTATCAATTGATCTGTTGTCTAGATAACTGTGATCTAAGATTTAAATTTGAACGGCAAATAGTAAACAGATATATTCAAGAGTTGAAGATAATATTGTTTATCATTGTTCAGTGATTTATAAATGATTTTAATCTATCACATGTGCGGGTGAGTATTTTATCGTTTCGTAGTAAATAATGATTGATATGGTCTCCTACAAGCCGCCGTATCAAAACTAAATCTGGTCTCACATTATTAGGTTCAGTCGGACTATTGACCTATGCAACACCGTTCTGATTTCCAATAGTAACCAAGTGTAAACTCGTCAATAAAAAAAAACATTTTTAAAACTTATGTTCATACAATGTAGAAATAGTTTTAAGTTTTTCGTTAATTGTTTTTAAATTTCGTGTTAATACAGATAAATGTTTTAGCTCTTGAAATGTAATATCACGATGTTTGGAATCTTTCCTATTCCTTGTAACACAATATTACATACAATTTAATTGATGTAAGGCATACATAATTTATAAATAAAAGATTTCTTTGTTTATAAATAGCATACATTTTGATTTAACTTCTATGTTTTATTAACTTTGTTATTATCTAATAAAAAATATTTTAATAATTGGCAATGTGTGTTACCGCGAATTGTCTATAATACCATAGATTATATAGGAAGCTTAAATAATCCATGGTATTAGTGAATATATGTACCTATATATACAAAATCGATACAAGCATACTTCGGTAGTAAAATTTTAATAATTAAAGTAAGATTAACAAATAAATAAAACAATACCTTACTTCACCAACATATGTGATTGAAGGCGCTTCCATGATGCCTGTTCCTATACCCAGCAGTGCGTTTGCTATGAAAAGCGATGGTACATTCCAGGCATAGTGCATCAGTAACCAGGCTACCACGTGGGGGATATTTACTAGAAATAAGGCACGTTTCCGACCGAAGTAATCCAGTAGTGGACCGGAGAATAGACTTCCAAATGGTTGGCATAGAAATGCCATGCTTCCTGCAAAGTAAAAAGTAATCATTATATTAATCACCTTAGACAATTCACACAGCGCCATCTAGTCGCAAGCTAAGTAAAGCTTCTGTTATACGTATTAAATAACTGGTATAAATATTTAAATACCTGTATTTGTATACACAGAATACACACTGACTGATACAAACAATCATACTCATGAATACAATTGTTTGTACCGCCCGAAGAATCGAACCGGAAGTAAAGCGATGTACTAAGCCACTAGACCACCGAGGCCCTCAATAAGTAAGTAATATAGTCAATATCACAAAAATATATTTCTATTTATTTTATTAAGAGCGTCGTACACTAGTGGTCTACTACCCAAACAAACAGGCCTCAAAGTTCGTGAGTTCGAATCTGGTCAGTGCCAAAAACTTTGTGTCAATTTATCTTTCTAGTCATGATATCAAATAAAATTAATCCGAATAACGGCAGTAGAATTGCCTACTATGTTTGATATATCTTATTAATATTATAAACGCGAAAGTTTGTGAGTATGGATGATTGTTGCTCTTTCACGCAATAACTACTGAACGGATTTTGATAAAACTTTACAGTAATATAGCTTATATATCAGAATAACACATAGGCTATAAATTTCACACGGGTGAAACCGGGTACGGGTAACGGGTACAGGTAGTAATATCATAATAATATTCTTGATCAAGTATTGCTTTTATACTAACAGTTTGTATTAATTGTGACTAACCTATTTGATATTATATTCATGAAGGTTCAGCCTTGACGCTATCTTATAAATATTTAATTTTAATTGGTATGAATTGTTCCTAAATATAATATTCTTTATAATAGATACGAAGCGCCTGTATGTATTGTTATAGAAATAAAGCAAATTTCTGTGTATTAAATATCTATCATACGCAGGTACAGCATAGTGTCGGTTAACGTCTGGCTGTACTCAACACTTTGTGGTTTTTGTAATATGAGACTATATATATTTCAAAGCCCTCGATAAGAAATATACATATGTATTATGTATACAACAAACAACTATCACATAGTTTTCTTAAAAGTTACGAAATTTTTAATCGTAAGATTTTTTATGCATTTCTTTTATATAACAAGAACTTGACTTATTGAACTTTACTTGCCTTGATATTAGTAAAGTTATTTATCGACAGAGAATCATTGTAGTTACATAGTTTATAAAGTATTTTAATTATTCCTGAAATTAATTTTTAAATAAAAAAGAAATATTGAAACATTTTTTACATAACTGATATTACAAGCTCTACCTGTTGAAAAGTGTTACATGAACATTATTGACCACACATTAACTATCTATGAAAATGAATTGTTATTAAAGTATTTAATATTGAACAAAGTCTAAATTGATATAAAGAAGTCAAAAATTACCGCCGTTTATTGTTATATATAAACGGCAGTGATAACATTATTCTATGATATAACATCGGTATTTTTGGTATATAAGCACTTGTGTGTCAGTATATCCAATGGGACATAACAATCACATGCGGTTGTGACATTTGAAGATGGCCATTTATAGATGGTGTTTTATCAAACGACAATCTTCTTTACACAGTATAAAAGAAGTCTTTTAAGGTTCTGTCCAAAAACTCTATAGCGCATTACATATAATCAATGTCTATTTTATATAAAAAGCTTATATCTTTATCAAGAATATACTACGCAACGACTTTTAATGCAGTTTTAGCAATAGATAGAGTGATTCAAGAAGAAGGTTTATATGTATAATACGTATTATAGAACAGAACAAGCCGTGAAATTCAAACATATTGTAATTAAAAGTAGATAAAAGGTTGTATAAAAGTATCTGTTTTATTGAAACTTGAAACGAAGAAACTTTTTTAGGTTATAATCTAAATATATTTCCTTTATTTGGTCAATTTCATTATACCACGCTAGTACATAAATATGGCATCAAAACAAAGCCTGAAAACACAACTACAACGAAAGAATGAATTAACAAAATTGAGGTAGTGATGGTTTCACTAAATATTGTACAGATATAAGCTATACCTATGTATTTGTTAGAAGGTAAAACGTTAACGAAATTACGCTATTCATTAAAATATATAATCACAAAATGAACCTGTGTGCGTGTATTACTGTGTGTGTGCGTAAATCCATGCGATTAAACCTAAAGTTGAGCGGCATCATTTTGTAATAGTCCTCTTAACTATCTATGAAAATGAATTGTTATTATTGTTATTAAAGTATTTAATATTGAACAAAGTCTAAATTGATATAAAGAAGCGAAAAGTTACCGCCATTGTTATCGGCAGTGATAACATTATTCTATGATATAACACATACACTTGTGTGTCAGTCATAACAATCACCGGTTGTGACATTTGAAGATGGCCATTTATAGATGGTGATCAAACGACAATCTTCTTTACACAGTATAAAATGAAGTCGTTTCCGCAGTCTATTTGCTTATATCTTTTATACTACGCAACGACTTTTAATGCAGTTTTAGCAATAGATAGAGTGATTCAAGAGGAAGGTCTATATGTATAATACGTATTATAGTACAGAACAAGCCGTGAAATTCAAACATCTGACGGATCTGTACAACGAAAGAATGAATTAACAAAATTGAGGTAGCGATGGTTTCACTAAATATTGTACAGATATAAGCTATACCTATGTATTTGTTAGAGATTAACGAAATTACGCTTCACACTTATAGTTTATATAGAAGAAAACTTTTGAGGAATTGATATATGTATTATACATACAATACACTAAATTAATGAATAAAAACAATACACACATAAGTACGTATTTGATACAACACGCATAGAAGACAATATAATTTTTGACAATAGAACCTTAATAATATTCATAGTTATAATTTTAATTAATTACAGTTGAATTTCGACCATTAGATGACAACTAGTATTGAAAATAAGTAATTAAAAATGTTTCAAATTGCTATTGTGATAAAGTACAAAAGTGTTAACATAGTATTATTGGTGAGTGTACTAATATAATAACAAGATAATATTGTGACATAAACCATATCTGTATTTATACCACAGACATAGATAAAGATAAATGATGCAAGCACCTCAATTTGTATGAACATTAAATGTGTGACCATTGAAGTGCTTGTCTATTACTTGTCTTAATATTACAGAAGCTATTTATTGACAGATTTTTTTTTCGGATTACTCTAATGCTGTTGTCCGCAACTGGCCTTTAATCTGAGGGCACAGCTAGGGGTTCGAACCTCGGCTCAGGCGGTCGTAATTTCGATGCCCGTTTGAATTGGATGGGGGATCGATCGGTCGATCAATACCCCTGTATTGACAGAAGATCATTTTTAGTACTGAATCGGAAGGATAGATGATGTCGTGGATGAAGATTCCGAGGTGGGACAGCAGGTACATAGGATGAGTGGATTTATAAATAAATGACACTTTCCAATTGTAATCTACTAATTGCGTATACTTTATTAAATTAAGTATATAGTAGATAGTATAATGAAAATGGTTTCAGAACACTGTATTATTATTTATACTGAACAATTGAATTTCAATATCGATTTAATTTTGTACTTTTTTGTACTGTTATTTTATGTAAAACGTAAACAAGACTAAACGAATGTCAATATGAATTATTCTTCCATTGACCTCAAAATATGGAATTAATACGTTGCGTGTAAAAAGTCGCGAATTCTGCAGTCATTAAATCGGAATTAGTTTTTTTTATGTAATTGGAATGGCATTCAAGGTAACTTGGTGTCTGATGGTAAGCTGTAACCATGTCAAATAAAAAAACAATATCTATGTTCTGGTCGGAGTTATTATTTTTATGCAACGGGACTGGCAAGTAAGCTATTCCCGTTATATAAAAAGTACCCTCTTCTTGAGCTTGTGCTATTTCAAGAGTTTTTATTTTATAGGACTAAGGTATCATACCTCTGTACTGTATGAAATCTAGCACACGTACTACAAGTAAAAGTATTGACGCGAACAGTACATATATACGGTTGTACACGACTTCTATGTATATATGATGACAGCCTCGGTGGTCCAGCAGTATAGCACACTACTTTCATTCCTTTGGTCGCGGGTTTGTTTCCTTGCACGGTACAAACATTTCATTGGTCTGATTGTTTGTGTCGCTCTATATATATTAATTATGTATTTGCAAAAAAGTAGTAGTACCCATAACACAAGCTCTAGCTCTACCGTGGAACTAGATTGCGCTATGTTAATTGTCCAGGGTTATTTATTATTATTATTATGTAAATGAAGTAAGCTGTTGGCCTGCCTGATAGTGTCACATATATACATGAACTGCACCATTTGACGCTAATGCTATTTTAAGGATTTAAAACTGTTGACACAAACAATACATACGGATGTACATAACTTCTATTTATATATGTATAAGTATGTATTCATATCTATGTGTATACCTTTACTGGTGATTTAGGTTATCGCAACCAATTAGATAACTCTTAACTAAAACCTATGTAAACACTAGTATTATTAAATATTGATGTATCAAACATTACGGTGCTAAGTAAGTGAATGTACACTAGATTTCAGATAAGTTTTTTCCATAAAACAACATAGCCATAGTTATAGACATATGGAATTTGTATGGTATTATTTTATACCATGATAATGGAAATCAATTGGGTATATGACCCATCTGATGGTAAACAGTTACCGTAGTGGACGCCTGAAAACTACTGGTGTCACTGTGCAATAAATCTATCTATCTAACTATCTAAAAATAGATAGACTTTGTATATGTCTTAAAATGTGATATTGGGCGTAATTACTGGTGAAGGAAATTATTTATAATATATAGAATATACAGAGAAAGCACCCAGACCAAACAAACAATCATACTTATGAATATATGTTTATACTCGTACTTTTCGACCATTGGACGCAAAGCGGTGTGGTAGTTTAGCATTACACCAGCCAGATCGTCAACATTGTTAAATATAAATTTATTATAGGAATTATAATTAATCTAATATCAATTTAAAGTTAACCTTTAAAACGGAACCATTTTTATTATTCTTAACTAGTTATAAAGTACTCAAGATCGCGTGGATTCAATAATTCTTCTTATTCAACCTTTATCATCAGATACGACTACAGTTTGTAAGCAAATCCTTAGTAAAAAAAATGTTTATACTAACCAAACCAGGACGCCTGTTTCTTATTGAGGCTTAGGCCCTCCTTTGCATCTAATACTTCAGGTAATACCATTGTTACAAAGCTGATCGACATGCCCAGTCCGATCAGTAAGAAGTCCAATGCGAGACACGCCAACACCTGCAGTAAATGAATATAATTAAAGTCAATGATGTTTTGAGTATTTAGAATATGGAAATAATCTTATATATAAAGTTATCGTGTCTCGAAGTTAGTTACCATAGTCCTTCGAAATGGCTTGACTGGTTTTTATGAAATTTTATATGCATATTCTATAGGTCTTAGAATCGACTACTGTCTATTTTTCATACCCCTAAGTGATAAGGGGACAACCCTTATCACTTAGGGGTATGAAAAATACCCCTTTTCTGGGCAAAATGTATTTTTTTTTTTGGGGCTTAAATAATATATATAACCCTAAATGTTCTTATTTTTTTTAATATTGAATTTTATTTATATGGCAATTGGTAAGCTAGTAATAATATAAGTGGTTAAGCAGTGCAGAGCGTTATTTCCGATGGTTGCGGGTTTAGATAGACACAAATATTTTGATACATGTGTATGATTGTTTGCATTGGTTTGTATCTCTCTGTGGGAATATTATACATGCTTTACAAAAATATATTATGATTATTAACTAATACAAATCTATCAGTTATCTACTGCCCTAGAAACTACAACTTTCACTAAGTTTTATATAAAATATGTATCCATTCACAGATCTACCTACTAGGTAAATAAAATTGCAAAGAAACCATGATCAGTTCACTCCAAGTCTACATATAGACCTACATAAATTTCTTTATTCCCATAATTACATAATGGTTAATTCCTAATCAATTCACTATATACATAAATAAACAAATATTATAACGTTAACATAAAAATACCTTGAATCCAAAGACGTCCATACAAAGAATCTGATGAGTAAATGTACGGAAGTTTGTACTTGTGATCTCACGATTTTATATGTTTGTTATAATGAAGGTGATTATTATATATTTATTTATTTAATCATATAGCTCATCTACTCTTTTAAAGAATAATAAAAAATTACCAGAAGAAGACTACATAAGGTATTTATGATTACATTAGAACTTATGTATTTGTTTGAGAACAGTCATATAATTTGTGATAACGTGATAAATTCCTGGTAAATTTGTCACGTTGGCCTAACTGACGTGACCTCATGTTCAACTTATCATCCACTGCTAGTGTCCCGCCAGCGTATTCCGATATCAGATATCTCCAACGGGTGCACCATCCCATTATCATCAATTAAAAAAAACATACCTGTGATAATACAACTCTCCATCTGCTCACTGGTTTCCGTCCTGGATCAACTTGTTCACTCATATTAAAAAAGTTCTGGCAACTATTTAATGAAACATTTACAGTTTCACAAATAAACGTCCATTTAGGCAAGAAGGAGTATATATATTTTAATGGAAATATTCTTTAATAAAATATATTACGCACAGTTTTCATTTTGCGTATGTCTATTATACTTCACTGTTACATCTATAATATTTATAAGGACATTTTATCTGTTATTGTCTACACAGTATTAATAAATATGTACTAATAAATTACAAGCAATGCTGATAAATTGAAACTTAAGCGAATAAATGGTACGTAGGTAATTATGGAATAATAAACATTTAACACTTATCTAGTATTAACATTATGTATATATATATATATATATTCTATGTAATCGGAATGGCAAACAAGATTGCCCACTTGATGGTAAGTGGTAACCGTCGCCTATATACATGAACAGCACTTGGGACATCACATTATTGTGTGAAACCCGTTATGCCGCTCAAGCGTTGCTATTCTGGAGGACTACGTTGTCATGCCCCGTGTCCTGTAATTCAGTAATTCTTATTTTCATTTGTACGCATAAGACAAGTTATATTCAAATATACACTGGAAAATGTAAGCATTTTAAGTGGCTATTTAATTTTATGGCTTATTTTACCATAATTGTGTCAGTCGATAATTATTCTGTCTACCCCATTTGGGAGTACAATAGTGACGTTAGCCATTTATTTTTAACTCTACAGCCGGTTTACGATTAACGGTGGGATTACACGGAAATAAACAATCGCTAATACTGATAATGTAATCTTATATAGTGAAAGAAACGACGATAAAATTATATTGTATTATTATAAATGTTATAAACTAACAAACTATTCAAATGAAAATTATATAAATAGTAATGTAATTGTAATTGTTTACTGGGAAATGTGTTAATTAACGATGCTAACGATTTTTATAATTATATACATATGCTTACTGTGTGAATTTCACGATTCATATTCTACTTAATTTATAATATTGTGTCTGATTACCTGAAAATGATTACCGTACCCTATGGACGCCTGTCCATAGGGTACGGTAATCATTTACCGATGGATGGGCCCTATGCTTGTTTGCGACCGTCGTAGTTTATAATTATATTTTACTAGTTTAACCCGCTACAATAAAAAATTACTAGTTTAAATATATTTTTTATGAACCAATTTAAATAAAAGGGACAGAAAATTTTAAGTACATTACATTTATTTTATTTTAATACCATATAAAGAAAACTGCAAAGGTTTGTTGCGAAAAATACTGTGTATAAGGCACTATTGTTTCCTACATAATTATCTCTTTATCTATCTACGTTATATATGTCTCGGTTATTATTTTGCTCGGAAAAGAACGTCAGTACCTAAGGTTGAACCTTAACCTAGTTTGGAAGGCAGACCAGTTTATATTACGTTATTGGGAAGTGTTCCTTTGCATCACTTTACTTCATTTTGTTACTACATAGTATTTTTTATCTGATTACTATTTGTATGTATAATAATAATAATATCTTTGAACAACTCACACAGGGCCATCTAGTTTCAAGCTAAGCAGAGTTTGTGTTATGGGTACTAGACAATGAATCATAGATACATTTTATGTGAAAATATTACATATTTTTTCCTACGAATATGTTACATACATAAATACATATTATACATTTATTTTTTCTGCATACTAATATATAGTATATTACATTATAATTAAACAACTTAATGGAATAAATTACTCGATACTCTAATTTCATATAATTAGGAAACTATTATCAGTGTAATAAGTAATATATGCGATAAGTGCTTCAAATATTTGAAGATCATTATAAATAACTGTATATATATTGTATAATATAATATATTATACAATAAATATATAGTTGTTTATGTTTGTATCGCGATTGAGCTAAATTTTCAGCCAGAAACATAGACTTTATTTAAAAAACAAAATTAGTCATCCCTAGAAGAAGCTATGTACCCGTGTGAAGCCATGGCAAGTCGCTAGTTAGTCATAGACTGCAAAAGTAGCGTCAAAAGTATAGTGCGTAGTCAAAAGTAAGTAGCGTCAAATAATAGTGTCAAAAGTAACGTCTGTGTGTTTTCTAAGTATATATATATATAAATAAATAATATCTAAGTATATATATTAGTTGTCTAGTACACACAAGCCCTGCTTACCATGGGTCTAGATGGTGCTGTATTTATTGTCCAGGGTTATTTAATTATTTATTATTTATCAAATATATATATATATAACTTTACATAGCATAAAATAGAATCATAAAATGAATTAGATCTTTTAAACTACACAACGGATTTGAATGCAGATGTATAAGCTATATTACTGTAAAGTTTCATCAAAATCATAACAAACATTCATCCATCCATCCATCCATCCACACTCACAAAATTTCACGTTTCTGATGTAAGAAGTAAGATATCCTTTCTCGATAAATACATTTTACACATTTTTGATTTAATTCGAAAAAAAGTTTCTGAGATTAGAACGTGCAATCAAACAAACAATCAGACTATTCTTTTTTTCTCTTTATAATGATATATTTACTAGTATTATAAAGTCATACTAGTATCTACAGATAGCATTATAGTCACGTAGATCAAAAGTTAGAGATCAATTACATTGGATAACCAATAACCTTATCAATGGTTTGCCATCAATTGATTGATGCACGCGAATAAGGTTTACGGCACTGAACCACGAATATAAAAAAATTAATAACCTTTTCAATCACTAACCTTCAAGTCATGCACATACCTCTTCATAATTTCAAACTTTATTCAATACTAGCGATATCTTCAGGCATTTACACTAGTGTAATTATATATTTTATATAATATAACTATTTTTTATTTTTATTTTTATCGGCTATAATTTAGATGAAAATATAAAAAAATGTTTTTTTTTAATATTGAATATTTTTTGTTATGACAAAAATAATTAAATATTTCTTGTTCATGATATCATTTGTAACAGAACTAAAATATTTCTCTTTAATTAAAAATCTTTCAAAATGGGATTAATAACGAGGTAACCACTCACTACTAAAAGTGGAAAATAAATAATTTCAATCCACATTAATAGAAACAATTTTTAACTTTAACTTATGTTATATGTTAACCTTCGCATCATCACTTATTACTTATGTATCTTTAGTAAGTTTTACGAAATATTTCATAAACGTTATTAATGTTAAAATCTATTACTTAGTATAATATACACCTATGTTTTAAATTTTGTTCTAAATTTAAACCTAGATGTCAGGCACATAATAAATTTGAACGAAGTTTTTTTGTCACTCGAATATATTTTAAATTTAGAATAAAAACTGAAAAGTCACGTCTATGTCACATAAATGAGCAGAGTCGAGCGAACCGATCGGCGGTCATCAGGCCGCGACACTGATTGACCGACATGCCGATATGGTTTAATGAAGCTAAATTAATATGTAGTAACCATGAATAAAATATTATTTAGTTATCGAATTTCTAAATGTATAATATTAATAATTTTAAACATTTAGGCGACATTAATATTTATATGTAGACATGCATGCGTTCCTTGTGCTTAGTGGTATTTCTGACTTTTCTTTTTTCTGCTCAACTTATTATCGTAATCGTAAATTAATCGTAATTATATACGACAGTGGGTTAAATAGTGAATAAGCATCTATAATAGGTTATCAAATGCAAAAAGATTTTTCAAACATGAATTTTCGGAGACTGATGTCATCATATATTAAAATTATATGAACATAATTTAAAGTGAATCAACAACTCTCAAACGACTTAAAAAGGAAGTAGTTTCATTGCTTCTGACTTTCTTATGTATTAAGTTTACTCCAGAGATGCTTCAACTAATTTTCTCTTCAATAATGTAATTTTCTAAGAAACAAGATTTTATTGTATGTTTCAATGAAGACCGTTCTGAGTCTCATACGGGTACAACCTGTATAGTACTGTATACCTTAGTCTCTTGTAGCTCTTTTTTGTTATCTTGGAGATAAATAAAGAATTGTTTATATAATAGAACATAATATTTTTAGGACCATTCACACAGCGCCATCTAGTCCCAAGCTAAGCAGAGTTTGTGTTATGGTTACTAAACAACTGATAAAATACATACATATACTTTTTTTTGTAAATACATATTTAATACATATATAGAAAATACCCAGACCGATACAAACAATCATACTCATGAATACAAATGTCTGTACCGTGCGAGGAATCGAACTCGCGACCATCGGACGTAAAGCGTTAGACCAACGAGGTCGTCATTGTTATATACTTAAAAAAAATTACAGTGAAGTTGAATCAAGTACGAAGTCATGATGTGAATGACAACAATTGAGGGTCTTAACATAATCAAATTATGACATGATAACCATAGACACTTTACAAGTAGATACACGTCGGTTGCTAGAAACTTTAATATGTTAATTTGTAAGACATTATAAATACAATTAACTCTGCCTATACGTGAACGCAAAAAGATAAATATAATGTTTTGCTCAATAAGATGTAAAAGGCGCCTAATAAAGTTCATTCGTTCATGGTTTTATTTGCTTGCTCTAAAATATAAGGCGCTATTTTTATTGTACTGTTTATTCACTAAAATTAAATGCCTTGCTGATAATGATTTTGATTTTATCTATGGCTGATGTTTCTTTATATAATTGGAATGGGAAACAAGTCCATGACCGTGACGGCCTACTTCATGGTAAGTGGTAACCATCGGCTACATACATGAATAGCGTATATATAACAAGTAACAGCTGTTAGCATTCATGTTTTACCATTCCAGAGGATACTATGACGTTGCCTTTTCACTTTTTGACATCTAAGTTCTCGTGTCATGACGAGCAGCACTCTCCTGATCTTCGGCAGCCGCTAATTTTTCCTTAATATATTAGTTGGTATCAGTATTAGCACAAAAATATTCTCCTAGTTCCCATTATATAGGTACTACAACTTTCTACGTTTCATGATGTATGTGTTTCACGTACAATTTATATTAAAGTAGCTAGCCGCCCCGGCTTCGCACGGGTGTACATGTATACATACATACATATAAAACTTCCTCTTGAATCAATCTATCTATTGCTAAAAACTGCATAAAAATCCATTGCGTAGTTTAAAAGATCTAAGCGAACAGACAACGGAAACAACTACTATGTAAAGATTTTTTTTATTCTTTCGCTTTTTCCATCGTCTTTACTGTTATAGCTAATAAAAT